CACCGCGGGATCGCGCACGGTTAGGTAATTGCATTTCTAGACAAAATTCCCCAGGATTTCGCCCTAAAACTCGGCATATCTAGCAATATGGACATTCAGAAAGCAAAGATAACCTCTTCCGGTACTTAAACAGATGTTTATCGCGGATATTAGTGTGGCAGTGTTTGTGGCACCCTGCGCGGGAGCACGAGGACGTGCTTGTGGAAAGAGGGAGGAAGATGTAGCTATGTGAGCGTCTTGTCACAATGTCCCGATTGATGATGTGCCCTGGCTACTGGGTTAAGGAGATGTCCCTTTGGCTGACTGGTTAGAGCGTATGACTCTCACCCGGGAGTCTGGGGATCGAATCCCGCCCGGGCATTCCTTTATGCACCTTGCCACATTAGTTTTTCCAGTTCGGAAGTTGTTTTAAGTGTTGCTATTTGTCTTAAACGTTCACAATGAGGATATATTAATCCTTTTTGCAATATTTGCGATTGAAAGATGGTTTGTGCCACAAACTTTGTGGTAAGAACTGGCTTTCTTTATGTTACAGCCTTGATACTAAAAAAAATAAATAAACAATGTAAAATGGCACCCTGTATTGAATGTAAACGTTTTATAAATGGAAATAAACAATTCTCCAGCGATTTAATTTTTCCCCCTTCCTTTCTTTAGTCCACTTGACATGGAGCCACAGTTAACTAGTTTGGGGCACATTTTTACTTGAAAAAAAGTATTTAAAATGATCAAGCTTTGGCTTTAATGACACTGTGTAGGTTGCTATCTATACATTACGTTGCTCTATTTAAAAGTAACAAGATAAAAGCACTTCAGCACATAAAATTAAGATTGTCACTTGCCAAATAGACTACACCCTCCCGTTTACCTATAAGAAATGCCTCAAAATATCTTTAAATTCTTTATTGATGATTTAATTGTAGACAACTAAAATGGCATTTTACTTGCCAAAAAGTGATTGAATCGCTAAGATTTTCATGGAGGCTAAAATTGACCAAATAAGGGTTTTATGTATTATCTGTTGATGTTACTGTACTCATACTGCCTACTGTATCATCAAAAACACCCCAAAAATGGCAAAAAAAGAAAAAAAAGAAGATAATTTCCCTTGCCAAAAATTGATTACAGTGTCCTGGTCACGTGTAAAGGGTTACATTTACCTAAATATTACTTTATTTATTATCTCTTGATGTTATTAGTGCCATCACAGGATGCTGGGTGTCTTTCACATTCATAAACACTTCAAAAATGGCAACAAATGATCATTTCCCTTGCCAAAAATTGATTACAGTGTCCTGGTCACGTGTAAAGGGTTAAATTGACCTAAATATTACCTTATTTATTATCTCTTGATGTTATTAGTGCCATCACGGGATGCTGGGTGTCTTCCACATTCATAAACACCTAAAAAATGGCAACAAATGATAATTTCCCTTGCCAAAAATTGATCACAGAGTCCTGGTCACCCATAAAGGCTTAAATTGGCATAAATATTACTTCATTTATTATGATGCTGGGTGTGTTCCACAATCATATTCGAATAAACATGAAAATATTCTGTCCGAATATCTGTTTCTTGTTATAAATATAACAGCATGAAGGATTTACAGTTAAAATAGGAGAAACACGTGACTCCCCAGGAAGGGTCGTAACACCACTCGCCTCATGCACATAAGTGACCAAATCAAAGCAGCATGGAGACACTCCGTCTCCAACCACCTCTCAGGCAGCAGCCTGCACTCCCAAGTTCTATACGTCACCAGAACATAAACAACCGCAACACAATAAAAGCAGTGTTATACAAAATGGAAGGCCTGTAGTGTTTATTCTCTTACAGTAACAACTTATCAATTTTTTGGAGGAATTTATTTGAGAATTTTTTGGTTTTTATTAATTGTGCAATAGAAAAGTAATCACTAGATTAATCATCTAAATAGTCATTAGAATAGTCGACTATTCAATAAAATAATCGTCAGAATAATCATTTTAAAAATAATCAGTTACCCCCAACCCTACTTTTTAGAATACCAGGATAGGAAGGATGGTGTAGGTTTACGTTTATTAGATTGATACATAAATACTACCAATAAGAAAGTGTACGTTGGTGTGTGTCAGAAACAGCGTAAGGCTTAATGTCTTTTCCAAAAAAAACATGGGCCGGTCTCCAGTCAAAATGCCCGGGCTGAATTTTTGTCCCAGTCCAGCCCTGCCCCGATTGCTGTGACACCGGGTTGGGGGGTGGGGGTGCAGCTGTGGTTGGGACAATTATTACATTAACTGATGGACCTGTAAATAAATAGTTTATAAATAAGGTAGAAATAAGTTCCTCACGCTGATAAATAATAACTAATCTCTCTGAGGACACGGTGCTAGTGCACTCTCCTACAGCACCTTGACATGACTAAATAAATGTTATGCAACATTTAGTGAACAGCAATTTGCATGTATTTGTTATAAATGCCACTGTATAATTCTTGCTGTCAGTATTTGCAAGATATTGGTATTTGGGTCTGTACTGGTTAGACTTAAATGAGTTAAACCAAGGTCTATAGCCCTTGGGTCATAAACTATGAGCTATAAGTATATTGGTCTTTTTATACTGGGAATCAGGAGTTATTTTAGTGATCATCTTGTTTCTTGTTTATTTTTGCCCTGATTGTGCCCTGAGCAGTTTTATGACTGAATAAAAAAAAAAATCTACATAAATTGAAAAATTGTCTTAAATAATCGAGATCTCAATTTCAGTCACAATAATCGTGATTATTGTTTTTGCCATAATCGAGCAGCCCTACTTTAGCATATCCGGTCACATAATGATGACGTCATATTCAGCGGTCGTTGTGCATCATTTCAGGCCTCGTGGTCAACTGTCTGAACTGCTGAACAGAAGTGCCTGGCTTATTTTCTAAGTAAAATAAATATATGCAATACGTTGTCAACATCAGTGAGTCTCTAAGTCTATTCTTTTTGTATGTTATATATGTTAAAATATGTGTAAATAGGTCGTTGATTAACACTTGCAATTTAGTGTTGTGATGGTTTTAAAAAAATTCTGAAGGTAGTAAAAAAAGTATTAAAAAGTAGTAAATTTTACTTAAGGATTGCTGTATATACCCTGGAGTTAAACTCCGTTTAGATAACTGAACTTGTTGCGCAACACCTGTGATTATGTGAGAAGAATATGTTTGATTAACTTATTAGCTTTATTGCTGATGTACTTTGATGGGACCCATGATGATGTTATTTCGTAATGGTATTTTGAATGATAATCATTATAAGAGATGATGATATGATTTGTTTGGTTATTGGTTCATTGATTGTTGTATAACATATGGCATCAATTATTTAATTGTTATTTAATCTATTATTTGATTTCTTTGTCATAGTAGTAGAACGCTGTTTTATTTTCTTCTGTGAATGATCATTTATGTTTTTGACCTTGTTTAGGTCAGGTTTTTTTTCCCCCGTGATCAGCCCTGATCAGCGCGGGATGGCGAGCCACCCGACCACCGCTGTATTGCGGTAGGATTTGCAAACCTTTGGACTAAAGATGGTTAACACATGACCTATCCCAGGCCCATGCACCTAAGTTGATCTCATACTGGACTAAACCTCATCCCACCTCCTTTTGGGATTTAATAAGCTGTTTTGTATGTCACCAAAATTTATTGTCTGTGTTGTATGTGGTTATAGTTTTTGTACATCTGTCTATATATTTTTCATACCATGCATAATATATATATTTTGAGCTCTATTTTGGGTTCCTGTGTTTTATTCACACACTCAGGCTCCACAGTCGAAACTACTTCTGATAGTTCACTGTCTGTGAAGTTGCAGTCAGGACACCTGGTCCTTTAACGTGTTACACAAGCTTTAAAATGTGAATGTATATAAAACTTATCATGCATTATTGTATCCTTTATTTGTATTTCATGTTAGAGTTTTGACATATTTATGAACGTATCTTTTTAGCTGCAACATTTAGAAGTGTTTACAGAACAGATTTGAGCTCTTGCAGATATTTTCATCAATCCTGTTTGCTGCTCTGCCTCAGGGCACAAAGATCACACTCTTTCTGGTCAGAGTTTCCACCCTTCTGGTCTGCCTGTAGATATTATTCACTGATGCTATTAAGAATATCATGTACTGTTTATGTTTTATTGGTGTGCAAATTCAAACAAAGTCTTTATCAGACTCAACCTGGAGATCTTCCCCTTTTGTTCAACAATAGATTTGTTTTTTTCCTCATTCCTCGTATTGGTTTTTGAAGATTTTGCCATAGTTTATTAGTATTTACGGTACAGCCTTGTGCAAACGTTTTATGCAGGTGTGAAAAAAGCAGTAAACATAGAATGCATTAACAATGAAGTGTTAATAACTTATTTCCATCAATCAACAAAAAACAGAACATTAAGCTACAGAAAAAATCTGAATCAAATCAATGTTTGGTGTGACCACACTACCTTCATAACAGTAGCTATTCTTCTAGCTACACACAGTTGTTGAAGGAACCGGGCTGGTAGGTTGTTCCAAACATCTGGAGAACTAACCACAGATCCTCTGTGGATGCAGGCTTCTTCATATCCGTCTGTCTCTTCATGGAATCCCAGACACTTTCCATGATGTTGAGATCAGAGCTCTGTAGGGGTCAGACCATTACTTCCAGGACTTCTTGTTCTTCTTTACGCTGAAGATAGTTCTTGAAGATTTTGGCTGGATGTTTGGAGTCACAATGTCTTTATTTACAGCATTTTTTCCACACCTGCCTAAAACGTTTGCATACTGTAATTATGGGTTTTAGGCAGGGCAGTCTATAACAGGAAGTTCAGAACAGGATTGGAATTAATGACACAAATTACAATTAAAAGCAACAGCAGATCTGATGGTAAACCATTTGTGTTGATCAAACAGCTGTGTGTAATAAACTGGATCCAGAGTGGTTTTGTTAAGAATAGATATCACCTCTCTTCTCTTGAACCTGATTGGTGTCTTCTTCACAGCGCTAGCTAGCTAAGCAGAAGTTTCAGCCATGCCAAACGAACGCACTCCTCTGATCATGTCGGGGGTGTGTGGTCTGACGTTGGAGACGGTGACATGCGGATCACAATCAGACTCCACCCAGGATTCCAGCTCTGGGAAACCAACCCAGAGTCCTCGAAGACTGAACACCTTCTTCGGTGTCATGGTGCCGACTGTCCTCTCCATGTTCAGCATTGTGTTGTTCCTGAGAACAGGTGTGTGTGAAGCAGGTGTGCCGATACTGATTTGTCATCGCTGAATCGTGGCGATGACGTGGTGCTGTGGTCTTCCTTTTGCAGGGTTTGTGGTTGGTCATGCAGGGCTGCTGCAGGGTCTCCTGATGCTGATAGTAGCCTACACCATCATCTCTCTCACAATACTTTCCATCTGTGCTATTTCCACCAACGGAGCGATACAGGGGGGCGGAGCCTACTGTATCCTTACCTGTTGGGTGTAGCTTTTGCTTCTGGTGTCTGGCTGGATTTTGTTCACCGATGACATCTGGTTCACCAACCTTAATAAAGTAACCAGACATGATAAGCCGCTCTTTAGGGCCTGAGTTTGGAGGAAGCATAGGTTTGATGTTCTTCCTGGCTAAAGTGTTTGCATGTGGGGAGTACGTTCTGGGACTTGTGGAAGCCATACTTGATATATTTGGTGCAGATCCTGGTAAGTTCCCTGCATTCTATTTACCTTTTTTAATGTTATAATTTTTTTTATCTCGCATCCGTCAAAACTGAAGTTTGTCTTCCTGTTTCAGAATCCCCCATCTCAGAGGGGGTGAAGGTCCTTCCTCAGGGTTACTGGTACACCGTTCTGTACTCCTCTGTAATCCTCCTGCTGTGCCTCCTCGTGTGTTTGGTCGGCGCCCACATCTACTCCCGCACCGCCTTCGCCATCCTGCTGGTGGTCACCGTGTCACTACTGTCCATCTTCATCAGTTCTGTGGCGGTTAAGCCTCTAGACTTTATCATCACTCACCAGGGACCTAATAACCAAACCCTCCGCTACAACACCAGCTACACGGGTTTCAGCGCCACCACCATGAGGAAAAACCTGGGTGGTACGTTTTTACTGGATCCTTATTTGTGTGGAAACTGCAATGGCTGACTGTGAGGACCCGAACGGAACACCGTACACAATGAAAACGCGTTTAAAATTTTTATTAAAATCCCTTAGTAGTGCAGGCAGGGATATAAGAGCTGGTGGCTCAGGGATATCACCCAATGGCTGATCCAAGTGGTTGTGCAGGAGGATGGTCAGAACCAGGAAGACAACGAGCAGAGTAATCCAAAATGGGGTAGGCTTGCTGAAGCAGGAATCGGGAGACAGGTCCAGGGTCAAAATCAGGAATCAGAGGTGGGGAAAGGTATCCAGATGGGGTCAAGAGGGGAATGGTATGGCAGGTATGGCAGATGAGTCTAAGGAAAGCGGGCTGTGGTTGTCATGGAGATGGGGCGGACAGAGCTGGATCATGACAAGACGACTTATTTACAAGCAAAGCTGTGGGATTTTTCTACTTCTGACAGGTTTTTCTTTGTTTCTCTCCAGCTGATTACTCTGTAGATTACAGCACCAACTCACTCATGTCTTTCGCCACCGTGTTTGCCGTCCTTTTCACCAGCTGCACCGGGATCATGGCTGGAGCCAACATGTCAGGTGACACCTTATCATTAATGGCACACCCTGACGGGATGTCTTGGTCAGATCACAGATTAATGTTGTTTTTATTCCCATTCTATCTCCTCCATCTCTAAAAGGAGAGCTAAAGACACCGAGTGTGTCCATCCCTAAAGGCACCATCGCAGCCGTTTTCTACACCTTCACAGTTTACCTTCTCCTCTTCCTCGTGGTCAGCGCCACTTGTGACAGGTCTGAGTTGTATTTCTTAAGCTTTTGATCAAATTTAAGGCTTTGACAGATCATAGAAACATGTTTTCTCTTCTTTAGGACCCTGTTGATTCAGGATTATGGGCTTTTCCAGCGAATAAATCTATGGCCACCGTTCGTCACCATTGGCATCTACTGTGCCTCCTTGTCAGCTGCGATGTGCGCCATGATCGGAGCGTCACGGATACTCCACGCACTTGCTGTGGACCACCTCTTTGGTGGGTTTTAGTGCAATAATTTTATACATTGGGTAATTTCCCTGAAAAGAAAAAAATAATATTGTTTTCTCTTTTTTTAATAGGTTTGCCCTTGGCTCCAGCTGCCATTACATCAAAATCTGGGAACCCATGGATGGCGGTGCTGTACACCTGGGGCCTGGCACAGGTGTGTTTCCACGGACTTATTTAATTTTAGAGATGAAATCTCCCGGCCGTGCTAATTTTCCAGGTGCGTTTGTGTCAGTGCGTGGTGTTTGCAGGCCAGCTCAACGCCGTAGCCGGTCTGGTGACGGTTTTCTACCTGCTCCTCTATGCTGCTGTGGATCTGGCCTGTTTGGCTCTTGAATGGGCATCTGCACCAAATTTCAGGTAAATGGATACTTTTTTTAATCAATTGCGGTTTTGTGTGTGTGTGTATGTGTGTGTGTGCCACTACACCTTAACATTGTTCTTTTGTCTGTCTGATGTACATGTGGAGGCAGTCTTTGTACAGAAACTGCTGCTGAAGGCTGTAACTTTGTGGCTGTTAAGCCCTGTCTGGAAATGAGCCTGCATGCTGTTTTCAATCTGCAAACGAAAATGTGCAGTTTCCAGTTTTTTGATTTGTTTTTTTTTGGTATCTAGGTTTCCACACAGAAGCATCATTGTCCTAGCAATGAAAGAATTGAAGCAATTATTCAGATCAGCATTAACCCCCAGGTTATCAAAGGTTATCTCCGTGACTTTTTGAAAACCCCATGCTGTTATTGACTCTGGCGACCTTTATTGAATGTGGTCACCACAGTCTTGCTCAAGTCCTTGCTCACATATTTTAGGCTGACTGAAACAGTCTAATCAGCGCTGTACGTAAGCACTGATGTAACGTTTACCTACAATGTGACTGATTTATATCTTGTGGATAGTTGAGCTAGAAATTCTCCGTTTTTCAGCCTAAGGGGTCAACCTGGTGCTACAAAATCAAACTCAGGAATCAAAATTTTGATATTTAGAATTAATAGTGTTGTTATAGCAACGTTTTGTCAGAGACGGACCAGAGTGTTGTAATCTGATTTAATCTGTGATGCTCGTGCTGTGTTTGAGTCTGCACGTGGAGCTCTGGAAACCATTCAAAAATGTACATCACTGTAGTTTTTGCATATTTCATTAAGATAAATCAGTGTTCTCATCCCAGAGAGATCACCAGAGAAATAATCTGCAAATCATAACAATGCATTGTTGTATTTTGATTTATTATTGTTGTATAATTAATTAATCAATTAAACAAACATTTACTGCGCCTCTGTGTCGGTTTACTCTGATCTCACGTTTTAACGGTTTGTCTCGGCAGACCAACCTTCCAGCTCTTCTCGTGGCACACCTGCCTGCTGGGGATCGTCAGCTGTCTGGTGATGATGTTCGTCATCAACCCTGTGTACTCATCAGGCAGCATCGTCCTCCTGTTACTGCTGCTGCTTTTCCTCCATTACAGATCTCCCACAAGCAGCTGGGGCTACATCAGCCAGGCCCTAATTTTCCACCAGGTATCCTTGCAAAGTCAGACAGGATGTTTTTGTTTGATTTTTAACCGCTCTGTCGCCCCCTCTGGTTTAGGTTCGGAAGTATCTGCTGATGCTGGACGTGAGGAAAGATCATGTGAAGTTCTGGAGGCCTCAGGTGCTGTTGATGGTGTCCAACCCCCGCTCCTCCTGTCAGCTCATCCAGTTTGTGAACCAGCTGAAGAAGGGGGGGCTGTATGTGTTGGGTCATGTTCAGCTGGGAGATTTGGGTGAGGCTCATTTCTCATCTGAAAATATAAACATTTAGAAAAATGTTTTACTGGATTGTGTTCGTCTTAGCTAACAAAGTGGTTTCACATTCAGACTAAAACCCTTCCTTAAAGCAGCACTTTAAACTTTCTCGTTACTGCCTCCTACTGGTTAAAAGCAGAATTACAAATGTCGTAAGCAACCCTGCAGCAGCCTTCTGTAGCTAGCGCTAACAAAGAGCTAACATTAAGACCAATCAACTACATATCGTATAAATGAGATGGGCGGTGCCTCCATGATGTCACCCGTAAGTTTCTTAAGAGCCGTATTGAAGCTCAGTGGGTGGCTCCCACCACCGCCTTTTTGACCGTGCCGTGCATCTCGTCGGAAATACATAACTGGTCAAAGAGGCGGAGCTGAGTGGGGCTGTGAGGGTGAGGGCAGATGATTGACACCCATCAAAATCCGAACCAATGTAGCTTTGAGCTAACTGAGTTAACTAGGGATGTTCTGATCACCTTTCTTTGCTCCCGATCCGATTCCGAGTCATTTGATTTTGAGTATCTGTCGATACCGAGTCCCGATCCGATACTTTTCAGAAAAGCATTAAAATAAGAATAAAAAAAGAAATGACTTTTAGCAAAACATTAAGATAAGAATAAAAGGGCGGGAAAATAATCTAGAACATATTAAAATAAGAAAACATCCAAATTGTCGTTTAAGTTTCACTTTCATTGTTTTAGGAAGTACACCGATTAAAAAATTCTTTACTTTGTGAATATACTTAAAAGTAGCAGCGTTGCTTTTATTTCAAGTTGTTTACTCCCTCAACATTCAGCTGTGAACCGTGCTCACGTGACGGAGCAAACAGGAGGAGCCTTCTGCAGGCAGGGTCACTTTTCTCTGCATAACACCTGTAGCTCCACTGCGCAGCACCGGGAGCAGGGTCCAGCCATCCGCGGGGCGTATTGAGCACCTGTGCTGCAGGAGAACCAGAAACCCCCGATGTTTTTCAGTCTGTTGGCTGGCTCCGCATTTTTGTCTGACATCACTGTGAACTGTGACTGTTAGAGGTAAACTGGGGATTAATGGAGAACGGTGATTTGCTTTGTTGATGCCCGAAGGGAAAAGCCGACAGTGAAAGCAGCTTGTTTGAAGGCAGCGAATCATGGAGTTGTGTCCAGTATGTTGAACACTCAATATGCACACATTACACGTGTCTGTAGCTCTGCCTTTGATGTCCGGTTTAAAATACCACCAAGGTGCAGATATTTTAGCTCTCCTGAGGAGACACGCTAGCTCTTTGTTAGCAGGTTTGCAAACAGCGGCACTTTGTGTCTGAGTCCTTGCCTGCCGTAATTTGTGTGACGTTACTATGTTGTTTTTGTACAAGAAACAAATATTATTGATGTAGAGGAACTTAACGAAATTAGATATAAGCCATTTTTATTCAATTTAAAATTCTCTATCTCAGGATGAATTTAAAAAGTCATGTTTGTTGTTTTAAAATAGGGCTGCACGATATTAGGAAAACCTGCGATATGCGTTAACAGTGAATAATATTGCGATGACGATATTACTTGCGATAAATAAAAATTGAACTCAGGAACAAAAAGAAGCAAAGACAAAGTAATAAAAAAGCAGAATCAGCAGAAAGAGCAGAACAAAGCTAGCTCAGGTGTTTGCTAACCATCAAAATTAAGTGTTAGTGCTAACCATCCAACTTATGAGAACTCGCCCAATTGGCCAAATGGGTGTAGAGCTTTATTTGATTTGTTAAAAAAACATCATGCTTAAAGGTTAAATTCGATGTATTTCTCTCGATTCTGATCCTTTCAAAAACACGTGATCAGGCCCAATTTCCGATCACGTGATCGGCTCGGAGCATCCCTAGAGTTAACCCGGAGTTAACGGAAGCTTTGCTTCACCTCCAAAGATATTTCTCTCTTACTTTTACTTCTAGGCTCTGCCATGATGCTAACAGAAAGAAAAAAAATCTTGTCCTGCTTTTTATTGACGGTCAGTGAACTGATAAAGCTACCTGCTAGCATTTGTATTAGCCACAGGCACAGTAAACAGCTATGTCCTTAAACCACTGGTGCACCTACCCGAACCACAAAGTGTGAAGTGCCATATCTGGTCAGCAGAGGGCACCAGAGTGTGGTCCAATGTGAAGTTGCTGAAGTTTCTGCCACCAGAATCACTGGATCCAGTTTGAAAGCATCAAAACTGTTTAGTGTTGCTTTACGTCTTCTAATTTAATCAAGTAAAAGATATATAGAAAATCACACTAGACATTTATCTCCTATGAGAGCAAACACAACTAATGAAATGTGTTGTGTTCCAGACTCTCTGCCATCAGACCCTATCCAGACCCAGTACAACTTCTGGCTCAGCCTGGTTGATAAACTTGGGGTGAAGGCCTTTGTAGACCTGACTCTGTCTCCATCAGTCAGACAGGGAACACAACATCTGCTGCGCATCACAGGACTGGGTAAAAACACATTCATCCCATTTTGCCTGCAGTTTGTGGAGATTGTCGTATCTTTGCCTGATCTGTTGGTTCTATGTGTATTTTTGTACAAAGGTGGCATGAAGCCCAACACGCTGGTTCTGGGTTTCTATGACAACTGCACACCTGACGACTTCTTCCTGCAGGACTCTGCCTTCTGCCATTCATCGGTGGGACAGAGCAGTGATGGGGAGTATAACTTTGGTGTGGACCTGCCTTCTTTGCAGGCTCATTTCCCCCCCGTCCGACACGTGGAGAGCCCTCGGTGGTTGTCAACAGAGGAGTATGTCGGCATCATCTCTGACGCCACAAAGATGAATAAAAACGTGTGCCTTGGTCGGTACTTTTACCAGCTGCAGGGGGAAGATAAAGGCAGTAAAACAGACGGATCGGAGCGAACGATAGATGTGTGGCCTCTCAACCTGCTCCAGCCAGGCAGCTGTGACTACCAGGATGTGTGCAGCCTCTTTCTGCTGCAGATGGCCTGCGTACTCAACATGTCCAGCAAATGGCGCCATGCAAGAATGAGAATCTTCCTGAATGTGGAGACGGGCTCCTGTGACCAGGGGTGGGTGGTTAACGAGGAGACGTTCCGAGACTTGCTGAAGAAGCTGAGGATCAGAGCGAGCATAAAGATTGTCCCGTGGGACTCTGTGGTGCAGCATTTTGCTCTGCCAGAGGGGGAGCGCTCTAAGGAGCCAGCACCAATGGCGGCCCTGTCTGAGGACTTCCTGTATGCAGTGAACCGCATGTTGACAGAACACAGCTCACAGGCTGCTGTTCGCTTCCTGTATTTACCTCAACCCCCTGCTCTCCGCAGCCAGTCACAGCAGTACTTATCCCAGCTGGATGCAGTGACCAGCGGCTTGGGGCCGACCCTTCTGATCCATGGAGTCACACCAGTCACGTGCACGGATCTCTGAGCACGCAGTCTTAGCAATTATTCATTTAAATTAAATTAAACATTTATTAATGTTTCTGTATCATAAGCACAGTGGTTCTACTTAGACAAAAGTACTACATAGTTTATTTAGTGGGATTCAAGTATATTTAAAGTTATTACTATTTTATTGTGGAGTTTTTATGATTTCTCACACATCTTAATTCTTTCGTCTGAACCACTCTCATACATCAGTCGAAGTTTTCGATTTGGATTGAGTTGTGACATTCCTACTTTTACTTGAACTGAGATTAAGCCAATAAATGGCTCTAATAATGAAGTGGTTATGATTTACGTTGATGTGACTTCCTGTTTGCATCAGCTGTGTTTGACGGAAATTAACACGTCAAAAGAAGATCACAGTTCCTTATGAGGCATTCAAGTTGCCAAAAGTACCAAAAACCAAAGTGCACATGCACATTTCAGAGTTTCAGGGATTAAATTATTGCAGATTTCTGATAAATTTGATTTCTTAATATAATTCTGTTACATAACAGAAATGGTTCTTATCAGCATTTTTGTATTATTGTTTGTCTTATTTCCTAATTTTTAAAATTTCTACCTTTTTACTAAACATTCCAGAGACTTTTTGTTTGTAACAGACTTTCCTTTTACGGTCCAGCGTCTTTCTGCTTTGCACAAGAGGGAAGCGATTTGCCATTTGACCTCCGAATGAGAAAACAGTGTCGGAAGCTCTGTACTGTCAAAGATGTGAAGAGTTCCAACTTAAAAAAAACAAATGACCTGATTAATCTATCTGGTCTGAGACCAGACCCAGGCTGTTCACACACTCCAGCATAAATTCATTATTCCTAATCTTTGTGATCAAATGGCCTATTTTGTGTTTTATTACTTGCTAACTTGACTCGCTGAGAATTCTTTAAAAATGCTTGTTTTCATTCAACATGAATAAATACATCTGCACCACATCCAGCATGTCATTGTTACCATTTCATTTTATTCAGACTTCTTTAAGAAGAAATAACATCTTATCTCTCTCTCTCTCTCTCTCTCTCTCTCTCTCTCTCTCTCTCTCTCTCTCTCTCTCTCTCTCTCTCTCTCTCTCTCTCTCTCTCTGTCTCTCTCTCTCTCTCTCTCTATATATATATATATATATATACACACTGTATATAAACGTATATATGTATATATATATGTGTGTGTATATAAACGTATATATGTATATATATATGGGTGTATATATATATATATATATATATATATATATATATATATATATATATATATACTGTATATATACATATATATATATGCATATATATAAATATGTATACATATATATATATATATATACATATATATATATACGTATATACACACACACACACACACACACATATATATATATATATATATATATACACATATATATATATATATATATATACGTATATACACTTCGTTCCGTTACACACACACATATATATACGTTTATATACAGTATATATATATGTGTGTGTGTGTGTGTGTGACGGAACGAAGTGACTGTTTTCCACCTAAAAGTCATTTTTCCCTTCTCCTCTGACACAGAACTAATCTAATCTGCTTCCTTTCCAGCCCAAGAGAAGAATGAAAAGGACTCTCCTTTTAATAAATCAAAGAACTCTATTTTTAATAAAGCTAATCAAACAAAGTGTTAGTCAATAATAAGATGTGACCAATCTGTGAAATGAAAATGTTAATTACTTTATTATAATCCTATAGAATATAATAAGTAATATAACTTTAAATGTTCCCACTAGGACTGATCTCACGTAGCGTTAAGACATGACACATTGCTTTTACTGATCCAATCAGAATCTGACGGAGGCGTGGTTTTGGTGGTGCTTGGTAAATCTGTCACCTTTTCATTCGACCATGAACCAAAACATACGAAGTATAAAACTATGCCCACGTCATCTTTAACGCCAGTTCAAAGCGTTCTAGAGAAGATGACGGAGTGGCCAATCCGTGACTCTCCTCTTCAGCCGAAAGAACCAACGACAAGCTGGATAAACCTGTTGCCATTCCACCTGCTGCAACGGTTCCTTTCAGAATAAAAGCTGAACTCACTGACCTTCTGGGTCCTTCTGACGCTGTCAACCAACTGTCGCTTTTTACCTGGAGACAATCCAAAGACTGTCGTACTGCTGACGCTGTTTCATCGGCTCCAGTACCGAAAGAGGGGTTCGAGGAGCTGGCATTCTGGATCTGTATGGAGGTCTCATTCTAAGGGTATGTGTGGAGCGACAACATGGCGTTGAATGTGTTTATGAATCTCCTAATCAAAGCTTAGCTCAAGACATCACCTTCATTCCCACCAGAACTAATCGTTTCTTTGGATTTGCTGGTTCTGAACAACATTCCACACCACACCATTCTCCGTCTCGTTTCACCTTATTAACACCATACATTTAGTGTAAAGTTAGTCTAGTTGAATTTATTTAGTAATAAATTTTTAAAGTTTTATACTTGACTCTCTCTTCTGTTGTCTCTGAGTGAATACGAAGTGGTTACATAATCCCTGCAATAAAAAGTTCCAATCTTCTGGTTAAAAAGTACCCACAGATCCATAAGGTTGATTTCATATTTACTATGGAATCTTATGTCTTATGGCTCATGAAATAACATGTAAATTATCTCATTACATATATAATTTCCATCTCATCCTCCGCAAGTGGTCTCATGCTTCCAAGCTCAGGTTCTCCACCAGAGGTCTGGGAGCTGGAGGGTTCTGCAGTATCTTAGCTGTTCCTAGAACTGCACTTTTCTGGACTGAGATGTCTGATGGTTTTTCTGGGATCTGCTTTAGCCAATCCTCCAGTTTGGGGTTACGGCCCCGATTACCACAGTACCACAGATGTCTTCACCCTCCAGGCTTTCTCGAGTGTCTTTGAGGCCCTGGTGTGTCTCTAGTTTCTCATGTTCCTTATTCCTGATGTTGCCATCACTTGGTATTGCCACATGAACCACAACAGCTGTCCTCTGTTGTTTGTCCACCACCACAATGTCCAGCTGGTTCTCCATCACCATTTTGTAAGTCTGGATCAGGTAGTCCCACAGGAGCTTGGCTCTCTTGTTCTCAACCACCTTAGGGGGTGTTTCCTACTATGAGCTTGGGGCTTCCAGTCCATACCCTGCACCCTTCATATACACGATGCCAGACACTTGGCAGTGGTGTGTCATGTATGCTGTCCCTGCCAGCATCTTACACCCTGCAGTTATGTGGTGGACTGTCTCAGGTGCCTCTTTGCATAGCCTACACCTTGGGTCTTGTCTGGTGTGGTAGATCTTGGCCTCTGTTGCTCTGGTGTTCAGGGCCTGTTCCTGTGCAGCCATGATGAGTGCCTCTGTGCTGTCCTTCAGACCAGCTCTTTCTAGCCATGGGTAGGATTTCTTGAAATCAGCCACTTCAGTTATCTATCTGTGGTACATCCCATGTAGAGGTTTGTCCTCTCATGATGGTATTTCCATCATCTCCTCCTCTGTTTGTCACTGTCTGAGACATTCACAGGGCACATAATCTGTTAGGCCATATCCTTGATGTACTTAAGGATCTTGGATGTTTCATCTTGGACGGTGGCTCACACTCACTAGTCCTCTGCCTCCTTCCTTACGGCTAGTCTACAGTATCAAGATGCTGGATTTGGGATGGAACCCTCCATGCATGATATCTATAACAGTGTTAATATCAGATATTGGTATCAGCCTACAATTTCATATCAGTGCATCCCTGATAGAAATCATTAAAAATGTCATTAAAAAAGGGGAAATGAAAATGTTTTTTACTGAAAAATTGGAAGGAGTATAAAAATCAGTAAGAACCACGTAAAACATGATCTCGAGAAAGGCAGTATTGTTAGATAGCAGCACGAAGAGAAGGTAGTGAGGAAGAATCAGCAGGTCATCTAATTATTAAAAGGGTGAATTCAGCTATAAATGGAGCTAATTACTGAACATAGGTTACAGTTTGCATACATATCACTGAATATATCACAGAGTTGATCTACTAAAATGTGTCCCATTTCTCTGTTTAACCATTTAAAACCCTTTAAAGCCAAATGTATCATATTAGCAAAAATGCCCCTAGGTTTCGGTTTAGGATTAGTAATTCCTCTGGCTTCTGCTCCACTGGATTCTGCACAAATATTCTGCTTCCTTGTGGAAGATCAAAATACTGCACTAGATTATTGATTATTAACATCAGCCAACTAACGATCAGTCTTTGTTTTGACAGACAAATCTTCTGATTGTTATTACATGTATCAGGCTTTAAAGGATTAGCAGTATAACTGTAGTAAAGAGTAATAATCCTTGAATCAGTAAGGCTATTTGAAATCTCCCACAAAACACCACGTTTAATTTGAAATAAAAAACAAATGTTCACAATACAACCATGATGCATTTTGTTATTACAGTATAGTACAGGATCAGTTTTATTCTCTTTTCCAGATGTAAACACCTCTACTCCTCTTTTGCACTAAACATCTGTTTTTCTTTGCATGTTTTTCTTTCATTTGTGTTCGGGAAGGCTTTCAGCTTTTTGATGAGAAACGACGACATACGCAGCCAGTCTGGCAGGAGGAGGGAGAGAGCTGCACTCTGTGGGAAGAGTCAAAAAATAAGAGTGAAAATTTCAGATTTAACAGATGAAGGTTAGAAGGAGGTCACAGCTTCTCGTTTCTCTGACCTGCAGCGCATGAGACAGGCAGCCGCTGGTGTAGGTGGAGTAACCCACGGTGTTCACGGCCTCACAGGCGAAGGCTGAAGCACTCTTCACAAAACAGTTGACCTCCATGTTGTGTGTCATGTTGGTGGACACCATCAAGGGAGCCACACACTGAGGAAACATTAAGGTGGCACAGGTGAAACTTTTCTTTACTTGATGCAATAAACAAAAAGACACAAAACATATATATAACATTAGAAGTTTTGGTCCATAACAAATGGGTTTGTCATTTTTACATTATAATGTGTATTGGTGATTTTACTGAGTAAACTATAAAAACGTTGATTCAGGAAAAGTAATCTACCAAATCACTATCAGACCATCAAAATGCTGCTGCGTACTTATAATGCGGAGATAAAAAAAGGCGAGATTAGCCTTTTTCTCAAAAGTCATGAATGATATTAACAATTCCCATGTTCTGTTTGCTACTGTCGAGAGGCTAACTAAACTCCCAGCACAGTTAGCCCCTGACTTCATATCTCAGACCAAATGTGATGAGTTTGCATCCTTCTTCAATGAAAAAACTCACAAACATTAGATCAGCCATTCATTCCTCTAAATCATCTAACACAAACAGACCACTAACACAGTCACACAGTAACAACCTGGCCAGAATGCCAACTTTCACCCTGATTAGTACTAAAACACTGAATGACATAGTAAAGACCCTAATTTCCTCCACCTGTTGTCTGGACAGCCTGCCTACAAACTTCTTTAAAAATGGTTTTAGTTGCCTAAAAGCTGAGGTACTGGAAATTGTTTACTGCTCTTTAATGTCTGGAATTTTTCCTAAATCACTGAAAACTGCTGCTGTGAAACCCCTTCAAAGAAGAGGAAATTAGATTCCTCGGTGTTGAACAACTACTGACCGATCACTAACCTCCCTCTGATTGGAAAAATCATTGAAAAGGCGGTAATGATCCAAATAAACAACTATTTAGAGTCAAATAACATTTTGGATGGCCTTCAGTCAGGTATTTAGACAGCTCCACAGCACAGACTGTACTGATCAAGGTATTAAATGACATTCGTCTCAACACTGATTCAGGTAAAGGATCTGTCCTGATGATGCTTTACCTCAGTACAGCTTTCAATACCGTGGACCATAACATCCTTCTGGACAGACTCACAAACTGGGTAGGACTGTCAGACACAGTGCTTGGCTGGTTCCAATCCTATCTCAAAGACAGGGGTTATGTCGTCTCTATTAGGGATTACCAATCAAAACTGATCACCATGGGGTCCCCCAAGGCTCAATTCTAGGACCACTACTCTTTAATCTATATATGCTCCCCCTGAGTCAGGTCATATTTAATAACAACATAGCTATGCTGATGACATCCAGGTCTACCTAGCTCTATCACCTATTGACTGTCGGCCACCGGACTCACTCTCTCATGATCGTTTTTTTCTCCAGTTTTTTGTTATTGCATAAATGTGGTAAAAAGGAAGTAATTGGGGGAAATATGTAATTAATTTGCAAATTAAGTATTTATTTTGCACATTTGTGTGCAGACTGTTGTTTTTTTTTTTGTTTTTTTTTTGCTGGTAGAATCTGCTGCCAAGGACTGAACTATGATCTACGAACGGGTTTCCAACTCAGACGCTAACAGAGAGCACTTTAAATCCAGAGGGCACAGGTTTCTTTGGAGGGCGGTAGGACACAAGGATTCTCTAAAATGTTTCAAGGAATTAAATTTTATTTTTTTTAATTTCACCTATTACCTTGAGATCTCAGGACACTTTTAGTTACTTTTTTTCTTTCCCGGGTCAGGCCTGAACCCGTATGAACAAACTGAAACAATGTATTCCAGAAGTTTTTGCTCTTGATGATTCGTCATATGGCCATACCACAGCTGTAAATCATCAAATCAGATTAGACAATGAAATGCCTTTCAAAGATCGGCCAAGGCCAATACATCCAAATGACAGGGAAGCAGTAAAAAACACTTAAGAGAACTACTTGATGCAGACGTCATCCGAGAATCGCAAAGCCCCTTTGCCTCACCAATTGTACTCGTAAGCAAAAGGAATGGCTCAATCAGGCTATTCATAGATTACCGTAAACTAAATCTTCGAACTATACGAGATGCATATGCCCTCCCAAATATTGAGGAGACATTTACAGCCCTTAGTAGAGCTAAGTGGTTCTCTGTCATGGACCTCAAATCTGGGTACTATCAGGTGGAGGTTGCAGAAGATGACAAGCCTACGACAGCCTTCGTGTGTCCCCTTAGCTTCTATGAGTTTAATAGAATGCCCTAGGGTGTAACCAATGCCCCAAGCACTTTCCAGCGTCTAATGGAGAAGTGTGTTGGGGATCTCCAACTCAACAAAGGGCTAGTCTTTTTATATATTAAACGAGGCTCTTTTTGCTTTGGACATGAAGGTGTTTCTAGTTACCTTTTATTTCGTTTCATATTTAAAAAGAGGACATAATGAGCATTGTAAAGGAGGGGGCTAGTCTTTTTAGACGGTTTGATAGTGTTTTCAGCTACGTTAGAAGAGCACCAGAATAGACTGATGAAAGTGGTTACTCACCTGAGAGATAATGGGCTTTAACTATCCCCTGAAAAAATGTCACTTTTTAAAAACCTCAGTTAAATACCTAGGGCACATTGTGGATGCAAATGGAGTCCACATGATCCTGAAAAGATCTCTGCCCTGAAAAGTTGGCCGTGACTGTCTAAGTTCAAGGAACTGGAACGTTTTCTGGGTTTTGCTGGGTACTATAGGCATTTCGTTGAAGGGTACTCCAAGATAGCAAAACCATTGAACCGAGAGGCAAGATTTACAAGCAAGAACAGCCTAAACCAGCCCCTAGTTCCAATCAACCTCTTGATAATTGAAAAGCTGACATCCGCACCCATCTTCGCTTTTGCCAGTCCGCAGCTCCAATACTATATGAAAACTTTTTAAACTAAGTAGTCAAAAGTAGTTTAACTAAGGATTTAAAATCTGATATGATTAACTAAGGAAGAAAAACATTTCTTAACCTCTACTCAATTTAGATCTAAAAACAGGATCGTAAGGAGACTGGAAACAGTAACTCACTCTGACAAAACTCCCAACCCAAAATAAAACATCAACAACATTCAAGGTGAATTTCTTTGAATGTGTTCAGGTTTTAAACATCTGAAACGACCATAAGAACACAGATTTTGACACGTAAAAGTAACAAACAACATGTGCACGCATATTTGACCCTCGAAAAAAAAAAAGAATAACACAAAAATTGTTCAATATTAATTCCTTCCAAGTGTACCGTTAAGTTTAGCACCTTTAAACCTCAATGTTTAATTTCACTTAGAATTTTTTTCCCCCCCACAGTTTTCTGATGCATCAGTTTGTTCATATGGGTTCAGGCCTGACCCGGGAAAGAAAAAAGTAACAACTAAAAGTGCCCTAAGGTGTCAAGGTAATAGGTGAAAAAGAAAAAAATAATTCCTTGAAACGTTTTAGGGAATCCTTGTGTCCTACCACCCTCCAAAGAAACCGGTGCCCTCTGGATATGGAGTGTTCTCTGTCAGCATCTGAGTTGGAAACCCGTTCGTAGATGTGTTGTTCAGTCCTTGGCAGCAGATTCTACCAGCAAAAATAAATAAATAAATAAAATAAAAAACTAGTCTGCACACAAAAGTTCAGTATAATTACTTCATTTGCAAATTAAATACGTTTTCCCCAATTACTTCCTTTATACCACATTTATGCAATAAAAAAACTGGAAAAGATAAATAAAATACGATCAATTTTGTGTTATCCTTTTTGTCTTCAGTTATCACATCAATAATGTTTTCCCACACCAAGATATAAATATACACCAATGTTAATCCAACAAACCATGAAATCATAAATGCCCATTATGAACTTAGTGCATGTTCACAACAGTTCACAGCTACGTGTTAGCCTAACTCCACATGCTAGCATGTTAGTCCTATTAACACACGTGGGTGCGCTAGCTTACCTTCAACAAGTTAACAAATCAGTACCAGCTTTTAACGGTTACATTTCCCACAAAATTAGCATATCCTGACTGGTTTTACAACTCACTAACATTTCTCATTACCAAAGTTCAAGACTCACCAGAAAATTCTTCTTCTTCTTAAAAAAAAAAAGTGTTAACACTCCTTGGCTCAACCGGCTCAACAGATTACAGGGCCGAACATTAAACAGTAACTGGCTCCATGCGGGTGATGCCGTGAAAGTACCAGCAGCTCTGAATAGGGGTTTTCTGTATTACAGCTACGCTATTGGCACTAACCTAAAAGATTAAACTAACATATGAGAGAGGCTCATTACATGTAAAGCCAGATGTTTCAAACATTTACTTGTTATAATTGTGATAATTATGCCTTACAGCTTGTGAAAACCCTGCGTTCAAAATGTCAGACAATTAGAATATTGTGAAAAGGTTCAATATTCTATGTTTATGTTTATGTTTTAGCAGGTGCTTTTGTCCAAAGAGACTTACAGGTGATAATCAAGCCATCAGGTTGCCCTTGAGGCTAACAACAAACACTATTCAGTCAATCCTAGGTGGCAGCGAGGCAGCATACCATTATCAGTCATAAACGGAAGTGAATATGGAGTGTGCAGAAGAGTGGGGGGCAGGTGCTGGGAGGGTGCTACTTTAGAAAATGCTATCTGAAAACTCAAAGAGTCACACTCTGATCAGCTAATGAATCCTAAACACCTGCAAAGGGTTCCTGAACCTTTAGACAGTCTCTCAGTCTAAGTTGAATTACAGAAATAAATGGACTTTTGCACCATATTCTCATTTTTCGAGGTTCTCCTGAATAGTCCTTGGTTCCCTTTTCTTGTTATCAAATATTGTTTACCATGTTTAGATGGTTCTAAGTCCCTGTTGTTTCCTCACACAGCAGATTGGAGTTTAATGAAGTTTATTTTGCAGTCCTAGTGACTTCTTTTCTTTATTAAAGTTTAGATTCAACTTGAGAAATTCTTTCATGTCTGCTTTTTAGGTCTTTTATCAAGTTTGACTTGATACTTGAGATAAGATTTGTAAAACACTCTGGCATTTGCCATCTGCTGAAGACATCTTTTTTTTTCATTTTAATTTTTGCTTGAATAGTCGTGTTGGAAAGACATTTTGTAGCTCAGATGTGAAGTTTTGAATGGAGGCTCTTTGAGATTTACCTGAACAGTAATTCCCTTTGACTTGTACTCAGCATGTAGACACTGAGATAAATATGTTACAAATATCTGCAATAAAGAAGAAAATGTGCAGATGAGTGGGTGAGCTGCTCAGGATGAGTTTGAATCAATAAATTAAAACTGATAATACCTTGGAGGCGGAGTAAAGAGCCAACAGAGGCTGTGGACGGACACCCATGTCTGAGGAGATATTGACGATCAGTCCCTTTCCTCTGAGAAGGAGATTAGAGACAAACAACCATGAATTAATCCAATAATCTCACTATATATAACTCCGGTGTATCTGGGTACCTCTCCACCATGCTCGGAAGAACCAGCCTGGTCATCTGAGTTATGACAGAACAGATTATTTATTTGATGCAGTATTGTGAGGAATAAATGAAACACATTCACTGACAGGGATCTCCTACCTGAGGGACGGACAACATGTTACAGTTGACAAGCTGAGTGATTTTCTGTTCAGGGTAAACACAAACGGTTGGATCTGAGATGCTCCGTTACAGTTTAAATCAGTCACCTGAGCTAAAACAGCCTACCTGCTCAGCTTCTGGTATTTCCAGAAAATAGGCAAAACGATCTGTGCTGATCATTCCCACGTTGTTAACTGTGCAGGTCACAAAAGGTCAGGTCAATAGGAGTCTCAAGTTGATAAGTGTAATTTTCTTAACCAGACATCTTCATACTTAATGAGGTTCTTTTTTGATTCGGACATGCAGGTTGTGTTATGAGTTTACCTTGACATGTTTCAACCGGTGACTGGTAAACTCATAACACAACCTCACATGTCCGAATCAAAAAAGAACCTCATCAAGTATTTAAGAAGAGGTTATAATGAACGTTGTAATGGACAGACATCTTCATATCATTACGTATGATGTTGAAAAGATCTTTGTTATGCATAAAGTTTGAACCCCGATCCCAGAAAAACTTATCCGACATGAGCTAACAATAAATATCTCTTTCTGTTTTCCTCCAAAGAAAGATGCAGTCAAGGCAGAAAGTTCCCAATCCAGAGCCTGCTTCAAAGTGAGTTATTTCTTCACACTGTCACCTCGTGCTTGCTCAGTGTGGGTGATTGTGTAAAAGTGAAAATATAAAGCAAGCTCTTGGTTTTATTAGCTTCTCTTCACAACCTGATGAATCTGAGTCTGCTAGAATTTACATTACTTGACTTCTTGCTTTTCATGACTTCAGTTGTAGACCGATCCAATAAAAAATTAATGGAATTGGAAGAAAATCAGGAAACAGAACAATTCCTTGGAAATGAAGTTCATTGTGCCACATTATGGAATTGTGGTTTCTTCTTGTAGGCATGGGACATAAATTCTCTTATTTTTTCTTATTTAACACAATGAAGTAATTAGATGTTTCTTTACCTTCGGCTGACATTTTCGGCCAAAACTTCCGCCTTCTTCAGAGCCGCCAGCAGTTTGTGGCGTCACTTCCGTTTATGTGCGGGCTGCAGCGGATGATGTCGCCCTCTGTAGCAGCATCCTTCATGCTGATAGCACAGTCCCATGTGTGATCCAGCGTGTAAACACCGTCGTCTCTGTTCATGGTGTTGTGTCTGCGTCTCCTTACTTCTCTTGCTTCCTTAATCCATCTTCTGCATTTTTGTTGATCCGAATTTATGATTCGTGTGCTGTCCCAATCCATTATGTGATTTGCTCTTATGCTCTTATCTGTTACTGCTGACTTTTTCATAGAACTTTCCACTTCCTGTTTTGCTGCTCTTGAGTGCTTTTGTTTTGTTTCTTTCTCACACTCTTTTAGATGTTTTGTTTTTCGTGTTGAGCTGGCGTCCTGATTCTCCTATGTACGTATGTTTAACTGCTGAGTTTGCATGGCATCTCGTAGATGACACCACCACTCTTTTCTTGACCGTCACATTTGGTTTGGTTGGTGTGTTGATGTTGTGTCTTCTCATCACTGTCTTTATTTCTTCTGCTATGCTTTGATGTAAGGAAGGGTTATTGCTGGTTTTAGTTCTGCTCCCTCTGTTGTCCTGGTTCTCCTTGATGGTTCACTTTTTCTTTCTGTTGCTGTTAGTTGTTTTCCAGAGGTGTGTACTCGAGTCATGTGACTTGGACTCGAGTCAGACTTGAGTCATTATTTCAATGACTTCTGACTTGACTTAATAAAATCTATAAAGACTTTCGACTTGACTCGGAGTTGAACGCCAACAACTTGCAACTTGAATCGACTTGCATCTGTTGACTTGATGACTTGAGCATATATTTTAGCACAAAAGTGACACGACATGGACAAAAATCACGAACCATTCTTCGTTCTGGGTGTGATCTTGTTCCGCTAAACGCAGCAGCACTTTGTTTATAATCAGTTTCAGTTGCACTTTCTGCTTGTTTGAGCAAATAAAGGAAGCTTTAAGAAGCTTTATTTCTGAAATTTATTTCTTATCATCGTCATTAAATTAAAGTTAGACAGATGACTTGATTATGACTTGAAAATTCAAAGTTAAGGACTTGGACTTGACTTGGACTTTCATATAATTGACTTTTGACTCAAGACTTGACTGGAAAGACTTGTGACTTGCAAAGCAGTGACTTGGTCACACCTCTGTTGTTTTCCTTTCTTTAGTGCCCATGTTGGGTATCCACAGGTTTTTAGTGTGTTTTGTATGTGTTGGTCCTCAAGCTTGCGATCCTGTTCTTCCAACACATTCTCACACCCAAAGAGTCAAAAAATGACGAAGGGTGACCAAGCGTATTTTTTCACTGTGCGCTTTCCGATGCCCGCGGTAAAACCAAGACCCACAATGCGGATGAAAAATTGAGGCCAACGCGTAAGTGACAAAAATTGCAGTTCTAGCCTCATCCGCTGGGGGCTGGTGTCAGAAGCGAGCAAATCCTCATTGACTCCCATGTTAAAAATGCCAATTTCACAGCAGAAATAAACATGTTTACAGCCTGGTTCCAAAACATGTTTTTTGTTTAAATTATCTAGTTTACACTCATGACAACTCTGAGGGGGGGTGAATTTTTTTCTCACTCTTCTGTTTAAGTGTATTAAAAGCCTAAAATTCTGTATAATTAATGAGCATCAGACCCACGTGACCACAGAGCTAGCTCCGCGGAAGGCCTCAGTCTGAGCCTCGGCCTCGCTTGAAAACTGTTCGGTCATTGGTGGCCATGGGCGCCCTTGGTATGCAGGTAAAGAGATTTTCACATAATTTCTCTTATAAATATTCAGTGTTAACTATAAGAAACCATTATTCCAAAACAATTCACTGAATACCCAGAATTCCAATCTCCAGGCATCGAAGTTCCTTCTCAATAGCAGGGTAGATGCTGCAGCCATCAGTGAAGTCTGCTCGGATGGTGTGAGTGTGTCGTTCATACTTGTTCTCTGCAGTGGACACAACGGTAGGACACGTGTAACAAGGGTACAACATCATAACACACCTGTATGTGTGTGTGTGTGTGTTTGTGTGTGTGTGTGTGTGTGTGTGTGTGTGTGTGTGTGTGTGTGTGTGTGTGTGTGTGTGTGTGTGTGTGTGTGTGTGTGTGTGTGTGTGTGTGTGAGATTCACCAATCTCCTTGGCAACCATTCTGAGCTTATCCTCAGACCTGCCAATCAGAACAACATCCAGACCTCTTTGTGCCAGCTGGATGGGAAACATGCAGACAGACGAGACTTGTGGCTGCAAATCATTTCAAATTTAAACCAAAAGCACAAAAAAGAAAACAAAAGAAAAAACCAGACTCACCTCACAAGCATAAGCTTTACCAATACCAGAGGTGGCTCCGGTGACAACTGCATTTATCAGAGTACACGTGTTAAATACGTCCAATTTACTAATCAGATTAACATGAATAAAAATAAAACAAAGACATTTATTGTGCATCACATCCTCCTCCTGTTTTCTAAAAACAGCTCTATCTTTTGAGATAGAAACCAAAACAAATGATAGAAACATGACACACTTCTACATTTAACCTACTTTTTTGTTAAAATGCTCCCAAAACTAGATGATAGACAGCAGCCGGTCGAGAAAATGTCAGAAAAAAATCACGCCAAAGAAAAATCAGCTTAAAGTAGAAGAATATTGATGTATGTAGAAAAAATGAGTCTAAAATCGAGCCGTTACTCTGAATGAGACCTGTTTTCTTTCTGAATTATGAACCAATCTCCATAAATTAGCATTGAAATGAGATTTTAATCTTCGTCAGATGTAATGAATTCTAAATTTCTCAAACTTTGTACAATGAAAGAAATCATTAGTTTTTACATTTTTGCTTTGATTACCTGCCCATTGTCCATATGTCCTTAAATCTGTCCGCCAAAACCTTGATAAGACAAACTGTCTGAGTCCACACCAACATCTCCAGGTGAGTTTCAGCAGGTAGAGAAAAACTGCTAATCCGCCAAAGAACGCCAGAACATCTGTCAAGGAGGTTTTGTGATAGAGCAGCATCTCCATGTTGCTCAATCCACAAAAGAGTTTGATAATGGTGTCCCATGTTAGAGAAAAAAACGTTTTTGTTCTGCTTCCCTTGCTGCTCCACCCCTAGAAATCCCCATTTTTTCCCCAAGTTTCCCATAGTTGGATGTGTACCGACAGGTTTGATTTGAGATATGATGAAAACACACAATCAGAAACAGGAAAACATGATTCATTTGCTTCTTAAATTCATTTTCATAATCACTGTTTCCACAAAGGGAGCAGCTCCGTTCTCCGCTCCTAACTCGATTAACAGAACAGATGAATTGCATCTTCAGCAGCCAGTGGGCTCAAGTTTAGGGGGTCACTGCACATAACCCTCCCCTATTGCACATGCAATGCTCACATCTAATCACAGAAGCAGCAAACAAAAGTGTGACTCCTCTGGAGATGATAAAACATGACACAGTATTCCTGAGAGCTGATAGATCTCTACTGTGTTTGCTATCACGTCAGCAGAAACAGTTTTAGACCATAAGCTCAGAATCTACGTCTGAACACTGATACTCCGCTTGATTAAGCTCTTAAGATAACGTTTGTGATAAGTCACAAATGACACACATAGAGTCCTGTAGCTGATGGTGAATCATTCAGTCATTATGGTCATGTTGAAATAAAACATCCTTCATCCTACCTCCTACATAAAACCACAACTCAATCAGGTCAGAACCAGAATGACTGAATAATCGTTTCTCCTATCTGACCCCCTAAAACAGGTTTGCACATACACTGAACAAAAATATAAACGCAACACCTTTGTTTTTGCTCTGATTTTTCCTGAGATGGACTTAAAGACCTAAAATTCATTCCAGATACACAATATCACCATTTCTCTCAAACGTTGTTCACAAATCAGTCTAAATGTGTGATTGTGAGCACCTGTGCTTTGCTGAGATAATCCATCCCACCTCACAGGTGTGCCACATCAAGATGCTGATCTGACATCATGAGTAGTGCACAAGTGTACCTTATACTGCCCACAATAAAAGGCCACCCTGGCAGTATTTTGCTTTAATGGGGGTCTGGGGACTCAGAACCGGTCAGTATCTGCTGTGACCACCGTTTGCCTCATGCAGTGCAACACATCTTCTTAGCATAGAGTTTATCAGATTGTCAATTGTGGCCTGTGGAATGTTGGTCCACTCCTCTTCAATGGCTGTGAGAAGTTGTTGGATATTAGTGGGAACTGGTACACGCTGTCGTATATGCCAGTCAGCACACCCCAAACATGCTCAACGGGTGACATGTCCGGTGATCATGGACGTAATTTGGGGGGGGGGGGGGCAGGGGGGACATGTTCCCCCCACTTTTTCCAAAGTCAAGTTTTGACCCCTGCACTTTTTACCATCCAAAACAATATTACACTATATTAAATTAACACTGGATGAGCTCTAGGACCAAGCGGAAAACAACCGTTTGTGTTGAAGCCTGTTTCCCATTAGAGCATACCGTAAAGATAGCCCATCCCCCCCGCCCCCCCCCCCCCCCACTTCTATAGTGAAAATTACATCCATGCCGGTGATTATGCTGGCCATGCAAGAACTGGGACATTTTCAGCTTCCAAGAATTGTGTACTGATCCTTGCAACATGGGGCCGTGCATTATCTTGCTGAAACATGAGGTGATGTTCATGGATATACAGCAAAACAATGGGCCTCAAGATCTCATCATGGTATCTCTGTGCATTCAAAATGCCATCAATAAAATGCACCTGTGTTCTTCGTCCATAACAGATGCCTGCCCATATCATAACCCCACCACCACCATGGGCCACTCGATTCACAACATTGACATCAGCAATGCGCTCACCCACACGATGCCACACACGCTGTCTGCCATCTGCCCTAAACAATGTAAACTGAGATTCATCCGTGAAGAGAACACCTCTCCAACGTGCCAGACTCCATCGAATGTGAGCATTTGCCCACTCAAGTCTGTTACAGCGACGAGCTGGAGTCAGGTCAAGACCCCGATGAGGACGGCGAGCATGCAGTTGAGCTTCCCTGAGACGGTTTCTGACAGTTTGTGAAGAAATTGTTTGGTTATGCAAACCAGTTGTTTCAGCAGCTGTCTGAGTGGCTGGTCTCAGACGATCTTGGAGGTGAACCTGCTGGATGTGGAGGTCCTGGGCTGGTGTGGTTACACGTTGTGTGCGGTTGTGAAGCTGGTTGGATGTACTGCCATATTCTCTGAAACACCTTTGGAGACGGCTTATGGTGGAGAAATGAACATTCAATGCATGGGCAACAGATCTGGTTGACATTCCTGCTGTCAGCATGCCAATTGCACGCTCCCTCAATGCTTGTGGCATCTGTGGGACAAAACTGCACATTCCAGGGTGGCCTTTTATTGTGGGCAGTATAAGGTACACCTGTGCACTACTCATGATGTCGGATCAGCATCTTGATGTGGCACACCTGTGAGGTGGGATCAGCAAAGCACAGGTGCTCACTATCACACATTTAGACTGATTTGGGAACAATGTTTAAGAGAAATAGTAATATTGTGTATCTGGAATGAATTTTAGATCTTTAAATCCATCTCGTGAAGAATCGGAGCAGAAACAAAGGTGTTGCGTTTATATTTTTGTTCAGTGTATTTCTATCAGGGTAAACATTTACTCTGGATTAGGATTAAGAGTCAAGTCAAGGATTAATAATCCCAATCCTTTATGTGAGTTTATTATTGTTATTAGAAACATTATTAATGCGACTGCAATGCTTGATACAATACGTTAAACAGTTTAATGAGGAAGAAATACAATAAAGTTGTTCTACAGAATGATTCACTACTAGAGAATTGTATTCCTGATGTTGGTCAAGATATAGTTTAGATCTTTTTAGTTAAATCCAGGTGGTGACTTTTATTTTTGGCTGGCCAGTAAGCACATACAAGCATACATCATTATAAATAAAAAAATGTATTCACTCATTTATTTATTGTTTGTTTATTTACATCACAGTAACCACTAGAGGACACTCTTCTGCTTACTTGAAAAACTAAAAAGCTACTCAGCTTGGTCAAGAAAAGAATAAATAAATAAATAAAATTATATATATATATATATATATATATATATATATATATATATATATATATATATATATATGTTATTGGTAATTTAGGAAATTAAAATAATTTTGTTAAAATTTTATAAGGACACAATTTCACAACAGATTTTGTCACGTTGAGAGCAGGAGATTTGGACCCAAAATGCAGAAAATCCAGACTACCAGGGAGGAGCGGTTGAAAAAGTAAAATCCTTTATTTAGGAAGATAACAAAAAAAACTCCAAAGGGAAGGAGGCCAAAACCTAATAACTAAACTCATACATAAACCAAAACCTCACTTACTGAGCAGAGACCTAGAGACTAGTAGGGAGGGCCAAAACAATGCTGACATAAGACAATGGACCGATGACAGATAGAGACGCAGACAGGGTTATATACACTGGGGCATGATGGGAGGCAGATAGGCTGCAGGTGTGTCGGGAGAGAAACCAAGTGAAAGCAATTAACGGGACAATTACATGATTTTAAACCTGTAAAAATTTAATTTGAGTTAATTTGGTTTCAGTGCATTATCCTAATCAAAGGAGATGCTGGCCAGTGCCTTAACTCTTCCTCTGATGGTAAGTTATTCAACAGAACATGAATAGTTATGACAGAAACAGTGTAAGAAATATCTTTATTTCCTTTTTTCACAGGCTCTCATAGAGCATAAAGTTTGTTTAAACAGCCACGTTTTCTGTGAATGAACACTGATGAAAAAAGCTGTTTCTGATCATTTAAATGTGGACGCTCTCACTAGGAAGAGAAACTGGTTTTTGCACTCCTTACGTTTAAACTACTAGATTTCACCTGTATCCAGTCCTGTGTCATGTTCAGCATCTCCACTTGAATTTACTGGATATCAAAAGGTTGTGGCTAAACAACTCACAGCTGCTCTTGATGAACATAATATCTATGATAGCTTCCAGTCAGGTTTTCGTAGAGCTCATTCTACTGAAACAGCTCTTCTTAGGGTCTCTAATGACCTTCTGACTCACAGTGATGCAGGGGACTGTTCTGTTCTGGTCCTGCTGGACCTGACTGCAGCCTCTGACACTGTTGACCATCACCTGCTACTAGAGAGGCTGAGAGACTGAGAGACTGGGTAGGCCTATCAGGAACTGCTCTGGAGTGGTTCTCCTCTTATCTTTCTGAGTGTTCCTTTTCTGTGGCCATCTCCAAGTTTAGGTCCTCCACCACTTCCCTTACCCATGGTGTCCCACAAGGTTCTGTGCTGGGGCCTCTGCTCTTCCTCCTCTATCTGCTTCCTCTTCAGCACATCCTGAGCTCCTTCAAAGGAATCTCCTACCATCTTTATGCAGATGACATCCAATTGTACATCCCCTTTAAGCCCCATGAGATGTCTAAGCTGCAGCTGTTACACACCTGCTTAGACTCTATTAAAACCTGGATGGCTGGGAGCTTTCTTCAGCTGAATGAAGATAAGTCTGAGATCCTCATCTGTGCCCTAGACAAGCTGGTTCCCAAAGTCAGAGACTCTCTTGGTCAGCTTGCTTCCCACACCAAACCTTCTGTCAGGAATCTTGGCGTGACCTTTGACCCAGCTCTCACCCTGGATTTTCATGTCAGTTCTCTTGTTCGCTCTTCCTTCTTCCATCTCAGGAACATTGCTAAGCTGAGTCCCCTTCTGTCCTGCTCTGAACTTGAGACTGTTCTCCACACCTTCATCTCCTCACGCTTAGACTACTGTAACTCTCTTTTCACGTGTCTGAGCAGAACCTCCCTGAACCGTCTACAGGTGGTTCAGGATGCCTGTGCTCGGCTTCTGACCAAGTCCTCCAAACACACCCACATCACCCCGCTTCTCCTCCAGCTTCACTGGCTGCCAGTCAACTTCAGGGTTCATTTCAAGATCCTGGTTCTAGTCTATAGGGCCTTACATGGACAAGCACCATCTTACATTGGTGATCTTCTTAGCCCCTACACCCCCAGCAGGTCCCTGAGGTCCAGTGATCAAAGCCTACTGGTTGTGCAGCACCAGGCTAAAGACTAAAGGTGACAGATCATTTGCTGCTGTGGCCCCCAGACTCTGGAACTCTCTCCCCCTGAGCCTGAGATCAGTGGACTCAGTGGTCTCCTTTAAAAAGCAGCTGAAGACTCACCTGTTCAAGCTGACTTTTGTATGACCTTCTTAAACCACTCTCTCTTTATTCTGCTCTCCCCACCTATTCCACCTTCCTCAGGATCCACTGATTTCCCTCTTTCCTATTCACTCTCTCTCTTTCTTAACATTTTTTAATCACAATTGCCTATTTTTGCTCACTTTAAATATATTTTTAAACATTTTCTTAATGTTTTTTTATATTTTTACATTTTTTGCTTTTGTGAAGCGCCTCGTGATTTTTATCTTGAGAGGCGCTATAGAAATGATACTTTCTTCTTCTTCTAGCTAGGGCTCATGGGAGCTAAACAGCTTTTATTCTAACTTTTATTAGGGATTGGTTTGTTTATAACCCATTTCAACCAGAATCTTTTCAAACTAAGAAAAATCATGAATTTTTATTCCTCAGTGTTATAATTATGTGAGAGTTGGCAGTGGCAGCGTAAAATGCACAGTGTTTGCAGATGGTGACAAAATATCTCTTTAGTTTGAGACTACTCACCCTACCTAATGTGGCTTTCAGGAAAATTCCCAGCTTTCCTCTACTGCTCTGATCCTGTGATCCTGGAGAGACAAAGTGATGTCACAGTGAGAGAAAATGCCAGACTTATTCACCTGATCAATTAAGGCGGCCCAGAAATAAAAGAGCCTACACCTTTACTATTGATCTACACACAGTCAGTTTTCTCGGCATTGTTAGAAACATTATTTTCTTAATCAGTAAAGGTCAAATTTTTAAAATACAGCTAACACTTTTCACATGACCTTGTGTGTTGCTAGTGCACTGTTTATTATCCCTCAAAGGCAAACATCTGACAGATTTAGTGTCAGTTTGGTTCCTTTTAATGTCTGACCGAAGCTGCTGCTTCTCTAAAATCATCTGACCTTGCTTTGGAGTGATCTCTTACTGTGCTGTCAGCCATGTCACTAAGAGGCTTGCGTGCTGCAGATCAGTTTAGCGAGGCCTCGCCTGACTAATCTGATTACTTCAACAAGTCTTCTACCACTGCGCAAGGCAGGACAAACGAGAACAAATCTATCCTCATATGTTGAGCAATCCACCATATTACGGAGGTCACAGAAAATGCATGTCTGCATTTTCTTTTTGAGCATCTTGACTCGAAAAGCTTTGTTTTTCCATGAGGCGTTTCTCGTCTCTTACAGGCTTAAATTCCAGCTGTCAGGTCAAAAGAGCGCCTTTCAGTGGCTTACCACAGATACCACTAGAGTATTTTCAGCCCCGTGCTCCAGCTTACATACATCTTGTGCCCTGATGAGCATCGCTCCAATAAGTACATGTGTAAGATGCGCATGCTGGGCTTTGCGTCTTCAGTCTGTGCTGAAAAGGCGGGGGCACAGAGTTCAAAGTGTGGGGAAAACTCATCAAATACTGAATCAGTCTAAATTATTTTCTAAGATTATTTTAGAGTTTTGAGAGATGTTCTATTTATTTTTAATGCTTTTACCAGTTGCTCATCCACTTGTTGGAGCACATTTAAGTCAATATATCTCAGTCGCTGACTTCATTTGCAAAAAAAATAAAAACAAAATAAAAATGACAGCAAAACATTTAGAAAAACATTTGGATGTTTGCTTAAAAAGTTAAATACATATTGTTATTACATGAAATTTACATTTCCTTTTTTTCTTTTCTTGCTGTGGACACTGAAGGAACTAAAGCTGATAAAGACAATTGGGTTTAAGTTATTGATTTAAAGGTTTTATCAGTGATTAAACAACTCCTTCAGGCATGATTTTGTGATGACTGTTAACGTGGTGTAGCAGCAACAAGCGGTTAGAGGGAGATGTGACCTGGCTTTTGCCTAGTCGTCCTCATCATGTAGCCCAGTCCGTGTCACAGCAATAGGCATTACCAGATCGTGTGAGATCATGCATGATGTTGATTTCAAGATGTAACCAAAGCTATAAACACAGCTATAAAGTAATCTTCTCTCAACATAAAATGAAATTACGAGGGAGAAATGATGAATTTCTTGCTCTATGCAATTTTCAGGCTGCAGTTTTCTTACGTTCTGTCTGCATGCAGTCATTGCAAATCAGCTTTTTGTTGCACGTGAGCATCTTGCAAACGGTGAGCACACTTCTACTTTCACCTCTCTCCCCTTCTTCCTCACACCACCCTCCCCTCTGCACACACATTTCCCACACTAGTGTGGATTAAATGCTAAGGTAGGTTGAGAAGCCAAAAGCTTGTCACTCCTTCCCACTTTTTCCTTCCCTTTACTTCTCCTTAGCTTTTGATCTATCTGGACAATCTATTTTTACCAATCCAAATTCTGGATCAGGATTGCTCTTTATCTCTTAGGTACCTGTGGTTTGGGGTAGGTCCCAGTCCAAAACAGGGACGAGAAGACCCAACCTAAGCAAGAAGACCAGTCCACTGGAGAATATGGACACTTTTTATTCTTTTAGCACTTTCTTTCAGGAACTCTAACACAAGAAGAAACAATTGAACTCGTATTTGTGTTCTTTTTCACTCCTTATGACGCTTGGATTACTTTTATTTTTCATAATGAAAAACCAAAGATAACTTCATGTGCTGCGTATCTCTAATCCATCAGGAATGTAGGTTGTTGTTTCGACACTGACTGACATGGCTGATGTATAGAAATCTGCTCCAGGTAAGATTTCAGTCATATCAAAGGCTCTTCCTTAAACTGGTTTGTCAAATAAATGTGAAGAACGTCTTTTTACAGCATATCTGAGATCTGCTCGTGAGATTTGCGCAGGAGGAAGGCCATCAGTACATAGAGTTCTCTATAATCTCTTGCAACTTTGCTGACGGCTGCGAACCCTAAACACTTCAGAGGAATGAACATTTTGATTTATTTAATTAATTAGTAGCACACTGAAACAAGACAAGTGTTTATTAGACCTTCTCTTACCTCAGAAACTGAGAGGACAATGTCTATGAGGTACCATTTTTTTTAAAGTCATACAGTCATAACTTAACAGCAATATAATTGGGTTATTTAGCCTATCAGAAGAAAAAAACAATGGGAGTTCATTTTTCTAAGTCAAATTTTCACCATGGTTTTCATAGATTTATAAATATTAAAGATTCCAACTAAATATTTAGTTCAAAAGCTAAATATTTATTTTAGAGTTATATTTGTTTTACAAACCAAATATTTAGATCTGACATAAATATTTAGTTTGTAAAATAAACACGAAATTTACCAACTAAATATTTAATTTGGAGCTAAATATTTAGTTTACAAATTAAATATTTTACTCCAAATTAAATATGTATTTTGGAGATAAACCTAAACATTGATTTTGCAAACTAAATGTTTAACCCCCAAATAAATATTTAGCTAAGATCTAAATATTTATTTAAAAAAATAAAGATTTAACTCTAAATTAAATATTTAGCTTGCTAACAAAATATTTAGTTTGGAACTTTAACATATATAAATATATGAATAACATGGTGACATTTGACTTTGGAAAATTAACTCCCATTTTTTCTCCTATGGTAGGCTAAATTACCCAAAATACTACTGTTATGACTCTTTGACTTTATAAATGGCACCCCATAGATGCCATTAGCAGAGACTACGATAGGCTTTCTGGTGTCTTCAGGATTACGTTATGTCAGTTAAATCCACGTAATTGTATATTTTACGTTTAAACATCTCTTTGAGTTGAGCTAAAACTATGATTTTTTTTCAGCCAAGTAGTATGAGTATTCACTTTTAGCTTTCTGAAGAGTGCTCAGGTGTGGTGAAAAGTTAAATGGCAGACAAGTGAAAAACTAAATGTTTTACTAAATATCTTTATCTTTTTTAAAACGTGTTTAATGAGACATGATTGATTTTAAGGACACAACAGTTTTATGTAAAAAAAAAAACCCAAAAAGCATAAAGTTAAATGCAAAGCATGCAACTCAAATAGAGTGGAAGGAAATCAAGAGATGTTTGAGAATTTTAAATCAGAGGCAAGAAGAAGCGAGGAGACAGATTTAGCTTCTGGTTACCTGGCATTCGATTTGAACTCTGTGGCTGTGACAGGGCTAATGAGCTTGTTACAGACCAACTATTAATTCTTCGAGGGACAGCGTGGGCTCAATGTCCTCAGTCAGCAATGGGGCCAGATGGACACTGACAAGATTCAAAATCACTTTGCGTTAAAGGAAAAAGCTTAGCAGGATTCAGGGAACGTGTCTTTATGTGAAGACAAGCCTGAGTCCCGGAGCTGGACAGTAAAAGTTGTAAAATCTGGTGTTAACAGTTTCCTAATTCTTTGCTCTCTTTTTTCCTGGAGGCAGTGATGGCTTGGGGTCTTGCTACCATCTGTCCACTTTTGGACTAGAAGTCTGCAGAGTGCTACGGGAGACATTCCCAATACCACAGACTCTCACACTCGCTGGTACAAACTCTCAGTTTACCTTTCTGAGGCATCAGAAAAACTGTGTGAGGGAATGGAAAATCAGAGAGACCCTCCCTGTCTGCACAACCTTGCCTACCACCCGCGATGGCGGCACCGCTCTGTCAAAGTATTACGAAAAAGGCATATATGGACAGTTGTTGCAGAGAGTTTTAGCAGGTTTAGTAAGTTTGGATTATTATCATCATCAAAATTACCATTGCCATCAAACACTGTGCAGCACACCAGAACATGGAGGGGGAACTGGTTTCTTCTGTTATTACTCACAATCTTATTATACCCCTGTCAAGTCTGGGCAACTACATTCAAAGTGACCCTGGTTGGACCCTGGACTTGTGACCTCTTATACTCTAAGGCGCTACCTGACTTGGCGGCCCGCCTTGCCACCAGCCGCATAAACAAGAACCCCTACCTCAACAAAGGCTACTGGTATGACTACACTCTGATTAATGAGGACTGCAAGGCAACCCGAAGTCTTGTTCGCTTTGCTGATCTGGAAAGTTACGGGGCTGCTTTCCTGGGCCCTGCAAACTCCGGTTACTGCTCTTCAACTGCTTTGTATGCCAAAGAGTGGGATGTTGGAATTTTATCCTGGGGTTGTCTCAACCCTGATATAAAAACAGGAAACATGTATCGTACCTTCCTGAGGCCACTTCCATTGTCCTCCCAAGTACTTTTCACTGTGTTGAGGTACTTCCATTGGGCCCATGTGGCCATCATCTCAGAGGAGACAGATGTGTGGGAGTCCACCGGGCATGAGTTGGCCTCTTCACTAAGGACTCTTGGCCTGCCTGTCAACCCTGTAGTCACAATGGAGGCTGACAAGGAAGGGCCTCGGAGAGCTCTGACTAAAATACGAGAAGCAGACAGAGTCAGAGGTTGGTTATACATTTTCAAACATATAAACCTAACATGTTTTATTCCAAGTTAATCAAAGGTTTGTTGTTTGTTACAGTGATCATCATGTGCATGCCTTCTGTGCTGATTGGTGGCCAAGCCCAGTATAAGCTCCTGACAACAGCCTTAACAATGCGTATGATAGACCGCGGTTATGTGTTTATTCCTTACGACACTCTTCTGTATTCACTACCTTACAAAGACACGTACTACTATCAGCTTGGGAATGACACCAGGCTCCGTAAAGCCTATGACGGGGTTCTCACCATCACAATGGAATCTGGAGAGCGTAATTTCTACGAGGCCTTCAGAGATGCTCAGGACAACTTTGAGATACGAAGCAGCACGCCGCCAGAGCAGGTAAGACACTTCAGCAAAGTTCTACTGTGATAAAAAAAAAGAGAGAGTCAAGACAAATAAATGCCTTTGTGTATTTTCCAGGTTTCTCCTTTCTTTGGCACCATTTACAACATGATGTACTTCATAGCCATGGCTGCAGAGCAGGTCCGTTTAGACAGAGGCCGCTGGGTCACAGGTCAAATGCTGAGCCAAAGTGAAGGTGGCTTTGAGTTTGAAGGGTTCAATCAGCACCTGCAGGCTGGAAAGAATGGTGAAGGGATGCAGGCTAGTTATGTGGTCCTGGACTACAGTGGCATGGGCAACACACTCTACTCCACACACTTTCTTCATGCTACTCACACAGATGGAGAGACCGGCGGCTTGAAATATCTGGGTCGTTCAATCCACTTTGCAGGGAGCACTCCCTCCAAAGACTCAAGCTGCTGGTTTAGTCCATACTTTGCCTGTTCTGGAGGTTAGTGAGCTATCAGAGGAGATACATCTATGCCGGTGTGGTGGACAATACAGCGCAATCTAAGTTGTATTCTTCCTTTCTTTACAAAGGCATGGATCCAGTCACACTCTTCTTTCTGTTTGTCCTGTTAGTTCTGTTTGCTGGATTTGTAATAAACATATTTCTCCATCTGAAGTGAGTATTGCAGAGTTAGAGCAGAATAACGTCTCACTATTCCTACCAGAAGCTCTCATGACTGTTTTATTTGGTCCTCACAACAGAAAAGGCAGAGTTGGGTTTAGCTTTGGAGGCGATGGAAGCAGCGGTGCTTCAAAGGTTGTCTTGACTCTGGATGATCTGGTCTTCATCAATACTCAAGTCAGCAAACGGGTCAGTTCTAAAGCACTGAATCCATACTAACCACTGTTCATGTTTCCATTTATTTACTGCCAGCTGACACTAATCCTTAAACTCTTTGTGAGCAGAAGCTAAACGATGAAAGTATAATGAAAAGCCAAGGGGACATGAAGACACCTCACCACTCAGTGTCTGGTCGCAGCTACTTAGCCTCTTCCCCAGACAGCTCCAATGTCGCCGTGTTTGAGGTGAGAAATAAACAAAATGTATGTTCTTCCTGTTTTGATGCAGTTACGAAGCTTGTGGAGGGCAACGGGGGCAGAGAAGTTAAGCACCCGCCTCGTAACACAAGTGTTGCTGGTTCAAGCTCTACTCAGTCTGTCACAGTGGCTGTGTCCTTGGGCAAGGCACTACTACATTGTAGCTCATCACCACTGCTGTGTGTGAATTTATGTGTACGTAGGTGAATGACTGTGTTGTAAAGCACCTTGGGGGTTCTAAAAGGCGCTTTAGAAATACAGGACATTTACTCGTGATTTTACAGCTAATTTGTTGTTTTGTTTCCATTCTAGGGTGATTGGGTTTGGTTGAAGAAGTGTCCCACGGGAACGGTGTCAAGTGTCAGTAACAGCACTGAAGTGGTTTTTGTGAAGGTAAATGAATGTTCAAGAGATAAAGAAGGTTGTTTTAGTCTTGTTAGGTTGTTAGGTCAACCTAACAAGACCTTACTTTATTGCCATATAAGAAATATAAAAAGTTGCATTCATTGTTTTCCTCTCAGCTCAGAGAGATGAGGCATGAAAACCTAAATCTGTTCCTGGGACTGTTCTTTGACTCCGGGATCTTTGGCGTTGTGACTGAGCACTGTACCAGGGGCAGCTTGGAAGATCTGTTGGCCAATGAAGAAGTGCGTCTGGACTGGATGTTCAAGTCTTCCTTGTTAATGGATCTGATCCGGGTGAGACTCTCTAAACAAACTCTACACGATGCATGTCACCCCCAATCAAACCGTCTCATTACACATTTCCATTCTCCAAAATTAGGGAATGAAATACCTTCATCATCGGGACATCATCCACGGACGGCTCAAATCCCGTAACTGTGTGGTGGACGGGCGCTTTGTGCTGAAGGTGACAGAATACGGCTTCAATGAAATTCTGATCGCACAAGACATCGACTTAGATGAGGAAAAGCCTGAAGGTGAGACCTTACATCGAATAGTAGCTTTTATTTTTTTTAGCTTGTCATGGTTTTGTTCATGGTAATGTAACCTTTTTTCAACAAGACCTGCTTTGGACGGCCCCGGAGCTGCTGCGAAACTCAAATGAGAGGAGGAGAGGCACTTTCTGTGGAGATGTCTACAGTTTTTCCATTGTTGTGCAGGAGGTCATTTCTCGCTCTACACCTTTCTGCATGCTGGACATGCCCCCAAAGGGTGAGTGACTTGACACAAACCAACAAGCTCAAAGCATGAAATTTCAGACTGAACTGAGGAAAAAAAGGACTGTTTTTGAAAATGCCTCTTAAGAGGGAGTTACATTCACAAATAGATGATGAAACATTTGTGCGTAACCTATTTTCATGTGTTTCCTGTGCTTGCATGTGGACAGAGATCATCAACAAGGTGAAAAACCCTCCTCCTCTGTGTCGACCCATTATCTCAGTGGAAGAGGCTCCTTTAGACGTAATACAGTTAATGAAACAGGCCTGGAGCGAAGAGCCGGAGAAGAGACCAAACTTTGAGGACATTTTCAAGCAGGTACAAGTCCTGAAAACAAATAGTTCTCTGATGGTTTTGAAGTGAATCGATCCTTACTGTTGGCTCTTTTTCTCATGGCAGTTCAAGTGCATCACAAAGGGAAAAAAGACCAACCTGATAGATTCGATGCTGCGGATGTTGGAACAGTACTCCTCCAACTTAGAGGATCTGATCAGAGAGAGGACAGAGGAGCTGGAGGTGGAGAGACAGAAAACAGACCAGCTGGTGGCTCAGATGTTGCCCAAGTAAGAGTCCAACAGCTTTCATTGATGCTTGAAAGATGAGGTCAAACTGTTGTGTCCTGGTTGGAATGTGAGATTTTGACATTAACAAGCAGCAAAAAGGACCAAGGAGACTGCAAATTGTTGTGTTAATAAAATACATCTAAAGGTTTCCCTTCAAGGTCTCATTCACGTTTTTCTTTAATGAATCTGCTGTGGTCTCTAGTAGGAATGAATGGATGCCTTGAGAGTTGTTTTCTGTGAAAGACAAAAGCTCTCGCATTGTTTAAAGGGATTTAAGTTTGTTGAAGGAGTGAGGGGGCGGAAAACAACAGGATTTAATATTCATGAAAACAGCATTGAAACTCTTCCGCTGCCTTCTTTCTCTCTTTTTCTTGTGTAATAAATAGTAGCACTGATGTGTCGTCTTCATAAAAAACCCAAGCCAGAACACGTTCAGCCATGCTATGGAGCTGGGTCACACAGGATGCGCCACGCCACTGAGCGCTTCTTGGAAAATTGAGCGACAGTCATCACACGGGACTTGAGAACAGGAAGCTGAAAGTGTCTCTTTTGTTTTTACATGATCAGACTTGGCGTTGTGTTTTGTGAACTCTAATTCATAAAAAACGAGCAAGTAGGTTACTTATTAGAATATTTATCAATAGTACTTTAAAGTAATCAATTCTGCGGATGGGTTTACGCCGTGAAGCCGTTCCGCGTTGTGATGTCTGTTGTAAAGAACTCCACAATGTTGCAAACTGCCGCGGTGCTTGAAACATGCGCCCTAGGCGCATCTTGCTAATGGTTAGCTTCTATTAGCCCAGACTAGTGCTCTACTATCTGCTTTACAAAGGTCGTACGCCATGGTGAGCGAGGCCATGAAGACTCATTTTAGACGTAGAAAAGACAGGATTTTTCTGACCCAAATGTTTCCCTGTCTATTTCCATTCTGTGGCTAATGCAGGTGATAGAGGTTAAAGAAAATGTTCACATTTAGCATCCATGTGAAACTGAACGTGACCAATCGTATTTCAAAAAATACAAGTTTTACAGCTGAATAAACTATTACTACAAAGGAAAAAGTAAATCTAAGAACTATTTTCATTTTGCATATTAAACAACTGAGATATATATATATATATATATATATATATATATATATATATATATATATATATATATGTATACTGTATATATATATATATATATATATATATATATATATATATATATATATATATATATATATATATATATATATATATATACATTATGTTATAGTAAATATGCTATAGTAACAAGAGATACTAAAATAACTACAAAAACTTTTGCAGTTTTGTTTTCTACATGCTTGACTGTCAGCCTGTTCTTCACCAATCATCTTCTTCCTTCAGGTCTGTTGCCCAGGCGCTGAAGTTGGGGAAACCTGTGGAGCCGGAGCACTTTAGTGAAGTCACGCTTTACTTCAGTGACATCGTGGGTTTCACCACCATCTCAGCTCTCAGCGAGCCCATCGAGGTGGTCGACCTTCTCAATGACCTCTACTCGCTGTTCGATGCTATTATTCCCCTGCACGATGTCTACAAGGTTTGTTGTCTATCTGAAAGAGTCACCGCTTGAAAACAGTTTTGATGGTAACTTTTTGTGTGCTTGTCTCTTGACTCCTGGAAAAATTATAGTTGATATTTAACAGATTTATCTTACTTTGTAGAAAACATAGAATTTGATGGAATTTACTCGGGCAGTTAGTGTGTATTTTATTGTAAATTTTGTACACAACTATGAAAGTAATGTATGTGATACTTGTCTTGATAAATATTTAACAGATTCTTTGGATGAGATGTGAAACAAAAACAATCCTGTTATTTAATTTAAAGTTAAAGTCAAAGTTCCATTAGTTGTCACACACACAATCATGTGTGTGTGACATTTGTTCTCCGCATTTGACCCATCCCCTGGGGGAGCGGTGAGCTGCAGACACAGCTGCACCCCATTTCGTGGTTTAACCCCCCAATCCAACCCCTTAATGCTGAGTGTCAAGCAGGGAGGCACTGGGTCCCATTTTTTTCAAAGTTTTTGGTATGACCTGACCAGGAATTGAACCCTGATCTCCCAGTCTCAGGGGGGACACTCTACCACTAGGCCACTGAGCTGGTCACATTTATTTCTAATATTTGTTTTTTGTAATTAAATGACAGAGACTGTGTAATAATAAGTAGGATATTTGTGCAACATATGCTGCCAGACATATATATATATATATATATATAGACATTTCATTAGCTTCATTTCTGATTCTAAAACCTCCTGAGAAAGATTTAAACACATTCCCTGAGTTCATGCACCTTGCTCAGCTCCTCTTTTCTGTGGCCTTCAGGTGGAAACCATTGGAGATGCCTACATGGTGGCTTCAGGAGTTCCCACCAGAAATGGGAACCGCCACGCAGCTGAAATGGCCAACATGTCCCTGGATATTCTCCATTGCATTGGAACCTTCAAGGCGAGACACATGCCTGACATAAAAATCAGGATACGTATTGGCCTGCACTCTGGTGAGGAACACGCTTGTCTGTAATGCTCAGTGAAGTCAGAGGTGATATTAACATGCAGCTGCGTAAAAGACAGAAAATATTAAAGTTGTATGTTTACTAAACTAAACATAAATGCATCAGAACATCTAGACTTTGGATTAAGTAAGACAAATATGTCAGCTTATAATACAAAAGATGACAAAATTTATGCTAATTGCAAACGTCTGGAAAAATTACTCAACCTTATGAGTTTTTCCTACAAATGCATGAAAAAATTAACCTTTTTAGCACAGCAATATTCTAAAAAATGTAAATTGTTTGAATTAAAATGGGTTCAATCTTCATTTGGAAGTGAACAAGAGTTAAAGTAGAATCCAAGCTGCTAAATCAAGGAGATATTTTTACCTCCTTTATCCTCGTCTGAAACTTATTCCTGGAGCAGTGAAACACTATCCACTTAGAGCGCTTTCATCCAATTAAGACACTGGGCACTTGGATTTCTGACTCTAGCTGGTGACTTTCTTAATGCGCTGGTTGGTGGCACGCTGGCATTAAAGAAAGAAAGAAAAATTCTGCTAGAACGTTCGCATTAAAGATAAATAAATGAACAGCAGAGAGAATTGGAATCACAGAAGAAATCAGTGAAAATCGAATGGTCATGTGAGTCAAAAGTTATGAAAGTCAAGAGGAAGTGGTTTGTTTAACCCCCAAGTGTGTGTGTGTGTGTGTGTGTGTGTGTGTGTGTGTGTGTGTGTGTGTGTGTGTGTGTGTGTGTGTGTGTGTGTGTGTGTGTGTGTGTGTGTGTGTGTGTGTGTGTGTGTGTGTGTGTGTGTTCAGGCCCAGTCGTGGCAGGTGTAGTTGGCCTAACAATGCCTAGATACTGTCTGTTTGGAGACACAGTCAACACAACATCTCGAATGGAGTCCACATCGTTGCGTGAGTGTCTTCTCATCCTTTTTGTCTCAGTTTTATTTAATTATATTATTTTTATTAAAATATCTGACTGGAGGATGAATATGTGACAATTTGACTTAATGCTGCTTCAGGTTAAACTGGGTTCTAAGACACCAGTTTGCAGTAATACTTTAACACCATTGGCAGAGTACCAAGTCCAGCTATTTGAATGAATATAAGTAATTTTCTCCAGATTTTTATCTACGAAATTATAAAAAAAAAAGTTTTTAAATGCAAAATTAATTAAACCAGGTGTTTCTACTCTGACAGCTGGACATTGCTGTATAAAAGTGTTTATTTGTTGTATTTGAAATGACTTACCTGTACGTGGCTTTCTGTTATATTAAAAACCTAATACTGTCAGAAGCAGAGCAACAACGGGTCTTCTACTGCCACCATGTGGCTTGAACAGCACACAACACCCAGACTTCTGCCTGATTCAACAAAAACACTTCTTAAAAACTTCCAGAGATGGGAATTGTGGCATCAACAAGTCATCTCCATGTTGTGTTTTTGTTCTGCTCAGCAACTGAACCAGGTTCATTCACTGTGCTCAGCTCAGCTCAACTCAGCTCAAGCTTTAATTCTAACGCGCCTTACAGGCACAGGGGTGACACCAAAGCGCTGCACAGACATGTATTAGTAATAACAGGACAAGATTTAAAAAAGAAATAAAAACAGCATGCAAATTGCACTAATAAAAGAAAATAAAAGCAGACGGCCTCAGGTAAAGGCCAGATCAAATAAAAAAGTTTTTAGCCTGACCTTAAAAACTGACTCCGATGGTGAAGCACGCACGTTAAAGGGTAACTCATTCCAGAGTTTCAGGCCTGCCACGGAAAAAGCCCTGTCTCCTCTTGTCTTTAAAGGAGAACTACGAGTAGGAGACTATTGTCTGTGGAGTGCCCGTGCTCGTGTATCAGTGTCTGCAAATATGCAGGAGCCAGTCTATTTAACGATTTAAAAACCAACTAAAGCACTTTATAATTAATCCAGAAATCCACAGGCAGCCAGTGCAAGGATTCCAAGGCCGGAGAGACATGGTCAAATTTCCTTTTTTCCACCAAAAATTTTGCAGCCACATTTTGCACTAGTTACAGCCTTGCCAAATTTGCCCTGGTCGCTCCAAATAGGATGGAATTACAGTAGTCAATCTGTGCTGTACTGTAATAAAAGCATGGACTACTGTTTCCAGGTGTTGTATTGTCAGGAATGGTTTTATTTTAGCTCAACAGCGCAGGTGATAAAAAGAGGTGGACAAGACTCCATTTACGCGGGCATCAAAACCCCAGGCATTGTCAAGTTTAACGCCAAGGTTTGTGACAGCTGTCTTTACCTTTAAATTAAATGGCCCACAGCCAAGCGAGGTGGTATCAATGCGGCCATTAGGTCCAAATAGGACTGCCTCTGTCTTGTCCTCGTTGAGACACAAATAATTTGCCAACAACCACTTCTTCACATCAAACAGGCAGTCTCCCCCTCCACTGAGGGGGATATAAAGTTGGCAGTCAACAGCGGAAAAAAAAGAAAACTAATGTCAAAATGATGGAAAATATCCCCCAATTGGGAGAATATAGATCAAAAACTGAAGTGGTCCCAGCACAGAACCCTGGGGAACACCCCTGGGGAGTTGCGAGGAGGCAGACGAGAAACCACCCATTCTGACGCAAACGGTTCTGTTTGAAAGATACAATCTGAACCACTCCAGACCCGAACCTGAGACACCCACATGCTGTCTGAGGCGGTCAATTAACACCATAGGCGTCATTTTAACCGGGGACGCCGGGGACATGTCCCCGGCAAAATTTGTGATTGGCAGCTGTGTCCCCCCCACTTTCAAAAACGCCTGCTGATGAGGATTTTTGTTTTACCAGCTCAGATCTTATACCAGGGGTCGGCAACCTGTTCCCATCAAAGAGCCATTATTACCCGTTTCCCACGGTAATTTTGGACGGACCTTAATAAGCAGTGACTTAAGTGAAGCAGGCAGGTCGCGCTAGAAAATTTAGTTTAAAAAGACGTCATAAATGTGTTCCCCCGTCATTTTTATTTATAAAATATGAAGTAAAAACTCACAATTTAATTTTCATTCATTTGTCATTAATATGTAGTCTACACCCGTGCGTTAAGTGGACCATCTTCCAGTAAACGCAAAGCTGCAGCCCACCTCTCCAAATGCGTAAAATGTGCATCAGCCGCTAGTTAGGTGCACCATCAGCTGATCAGCCCAGACAAGAGCAGAGCAAATAGAGAAAGAATAGAGGATAATTGTGTCTGGATGTGGATGGAGATTACATTTTACAGCGGCCTGATCATCATTTAAATACGTAAACCATCACTTCTAGTCCACGCTATCAGCATTATTTTAATTGGTGTGTGTGTGTGTGTGTGTTTTCCACTTCAAACACTGGTCTAACCAACCAGACCAGCGTACCCAGTAACACATTAATGTTACAATTAAACAGTTTCCCTTCATGTAGGCTAGGAACGTTTCACCTGCCGTGGCCCGATCGCTTCTGCTCCACATAAACTTTGTGCGTGATCAAATGTCTCTACGCGTCATGCGTCTCCATATTGGAGACGGGAACAAGCGCTGTTCAGCCAAACTTTCATAATTTCATAAAAAGAACATTTTTCCAAGTGACACATCCCTCAGAGAGACCGGGTTTCCAGACTGTTGCAGTGGGAGGAAATCTTATCGCATATGCGCCGGTTCTGCACTGGGCTGCGAACCCCAGATCTTCAGCTCACTGTCCACCGTGCGCTCCGAGCCGCGCTGAACAGTCCAGTATAAAGCTCTGATGTTGATGGGAATAATTTACCTCCGCGGTGTGTGTAACGATTACATCCATGTGCATCAGTGTGCGTCGGGGTAATTCTTTCAAACCAAGCAACATCCTTGAGTTCATCTGTCAAAATAAACAGTCAAATGGAAATATCTGAAACCTGCCGTTTAACTGTTTTGCCTTCTTGTGAAGATTGTTGCAAAGAGAAACAATTAAACTTGATTAACCCCAGAGCCACCCAGAGAACCAGAGCGCATGTGGGAAGGTTCCTCCCACTGAAGCGAGTGTTTTCCAAACCCGGTCTCTCAGAGAGACTTGTCACTTAGAAAATGTTCCCTGATTATGAAACTTTGGCTGAATAGCGCTTGTTCCTGTCTCCAATGTGTTGACACATCCAGGAGCCGTCTGAGGAGAATCCCAGAATCTCACATCCTCTTCAGCTCATAAAGTGCCTATGATTACGCACAAGCGTGACGCGTCAACCCGGTCTCACAGTAAGACCGGGTTGGACCTGTTCAGGTTTACGCAGACAATCTTTACATTTAGAATTGGCATACAGATGTAAAATTAATGCAGAAAAATATAAAGCATTTTATTTAAATATCCATTCATTATTTTACAAGCACAGATGTCAGATGGATGGAAGAACCGCATGCGGCTCCAGAGCCGCGGATTGCCGACCCCTGTGCTAGCCTACTTTATTGTCCCCAGCGATTTTTAAACCCCACTCAAGTGTATGGTTATTGTCCCCAGCAATTCTGAAAACAAACTGACGCCCTTGATTAACACACTGTGATCCACCGTGTCAAAAGCAGCTGTGAGGTCAAGCAAAATGAGTAGGACAGACTCACACGATCTGTGGCAAGCTGACTGAAATCACCTGGTTTAGTTGCTGAGCTAAAAAAAACAAGGCATGAAGATGACTTGTTGATCCCACATTTCCCCATCTCTGGAAACTTCTAAACAGATTATATTTTGTACTCTGTGTGTAAAAAACTGACCAGTTTTCTTGTATTTTGCACAGCTTACAGAATCCACGTCAATCAAACCACCGTTAACCTCCTGAACGACTTGAAAATGGGATATCAGATTCAAATCAGAGGCCTGACAGAGTTAAAGGTAAGATGAATGACTCAGAGCACTCATGAGTGTAAACTACGACCACACACCCATGCATGAACGCAAACCATCATCTGTTTGTAGGGAAAAGGAGTTGAGACCACATACTGGTTGGTGGGGAAAGACGATTTCCACAAGGCTCTTCCAGTCCCAATAGAAGTTAAAGAGTGAGAAAATGTTTTATATGTTTACTACATTTTATAGTAATGAAGTTTAATGTTTTTTACATGGAAATGTTGTTTTCTTATTGCAGTTTGGGGGTCAACCATGGGATCGGTTTGGAGGAGATTCCCGTCGACAGAAGGCAGAAATTCCTAGATCGACAGAAGAAAACAAACTAACTGGAGGTTTTCGTATACTTTAAAGAAAACACAAACCAGATCAGTGACTGTGTGTCTCACTTTTTTGATGTGGCTTCACCAGAATTGTATCTCCAAAGCAAATTTTCCTTTTTACGTTTTCTCTATTTGTAGTTTTAACAGGGCAATGCCACAATAAATCCTGCATTTTTACAGTTTCCTTCCCACCAAAACACATAAATACAGCAACATTTTAGGGGCGGAGTCACGTTACAGGTCAGACGTGTGTGTTTGTGTATGTACCAGACGTTGTGCACTGTGGAGGTAAAACATGGTTTGTTAATTTAGAAACGGATTCATATCTGGTCTAAAAGGACATGATTGATTTGTTTTTCTGTTACTATTCGACCACTGGGGATTAAAATTAAAACAAATGATTCCCAAAGAACTTTTTCAGGAGTGGAATTTATCACCATCATTTTTTGAACCTATAAACATAACTTTAAATACCTTTTTTTTTTAAATCCAGCCCTGATTGGTTGCATTTTCTGGTTTCCCTTTCAGTCAACATTCGACACTCTGCATGCACGCCTGAAATGTTCAGCACAGACTTCTAACTTATATCTATTCTGCAATGATGCACAGAGAGTTTAATGATGAATAAGTCTGTAATGTTATGCTTCAGCAGGCTGAACTGTTTCTTTGTGTCTGTTTTCCAACCAAACAGTCACGTTTCGCCATTTTTTTGTATATACTGTAAATGTGTGCTTTGCTTCCTGCACTGTTGGGAGCATTTTTCAGTTTCTTTTGAGCTTCAGACAGAAACTGAGACAAATGAAACACAGGAGCTCAATCTCATTGTGTTCAAACAGCAAGAAGCTGCATCGCTGGACTAATTCTGGAGTACTGAAAGGCGGACGATGTCAGGATGGGAATTCGCTCTAAAATCAAACTGCACACCTCTTGGCTTCTTCTCCCCCCTTTTTTACTTGGCAGCTTGCTGCTGATCACTTTCGACCTCTACTGAATTGCTGAAGTAGCTGACTGTATGGCATAAAAAACAAAAACTGATGACGTAATTATCAGGTTGCTTGTGGTGTATTCTTTCACATCATTAACTGTTTAGTGGTATTGGCTGTTCAAGCATAAAGAAACCCATGAAAACGAGGACTCGTGCGGTCCTGAAACAAAAGAGAAGGGGTCTGCATGTTTCTTTAATTGATGGGTATCGCAAAATCTACAAAATGACTATTCCTGTTTTTTAGCTGATGACTGTCTTTGCAACTTTTTTTAGATTTATAATCAATTTGCCAAACAGATAGATCACATCAAAACTGAATGGGGCTCATTGTTCATTTTGAAAGTGATCTCAGTGTGTTTCTGTAAATAAATAATGGTTTTAGTGAAGACTGTGTGGTCTGTTTTTGCTGCCCACCATCAATTCTGTTGAAGCTAATCTCCTAAATGGTGTCCTGATGCTGTTTGGTATTATGCTTCACAATCAGTGAATCAATAAATAATACGTTGGAAAAAGCTGGTAAATCAAAGTAAATATCGTGAAGCTTTTTGTCTAAACCAGATTCCTTTAGGAGTTTGGTCTCTTTGTTGATGTAACTGCTTGAAAGTGTAGAAGAACCTTCAGTAGTATTGATCTTTACACTGAACTTGCACTAAATAGTGAGGTGGCTGATAATTTTATTTAAACCAGAACATTAGCAGATTGTGTCTGCACAGCTCACAGGAATGACCTGTTTGTTCTTATTTCTGCAGGTTTTCTTTCATCGCTTTGAAGGCTGCTTTTTTAAAGACATATTATGCAAAATGTCATATTTTTAAATCGTTTTCTTGAGCCAGTATGTGCTAAAACGAACCTTTACATGGTTAATGAAATGTCACTCAGACCCCCACTGCCCTCTGTGGCATAAATATTGCACTTGCAACTTCAGAGTGCCGGTCCGGCCCCTGTTGGATTTAGTAAAGTGGAGCTGACATGCCTGGTGGGTCTACTTCCAACATGATTCTTGCATGTTTTAGATCGTGAACACTGCTGATTTGTTTGATTTTGTGATAAACCGCTCTTATAGAAACTAATGAAGGCTGAGGAGAAATTCAGCAGTTAACGTGACAATGTGTAATTTTACCCTTAAAGTGACAATGTGTAGTTTTTACAATTAATTTCTGGAAATATCCATCAAAATGATGTAAATGAATTAAAAGATGCCCAGTTTTTGAATAATATTGGCAGTTTCATAACATATAACCATAAAAATCTTTTCTAAAATACATGGGAGCGGGTCTAAGTCTCTGGGCGACGCCAAATTGGATGTCATGTTTTCTTCTACGGGAGCCCGGGAAGACAAAATGCATTTACTGATTTGAAACAAAAGTTACAACACTTTCACGAACAATAAACGTTGTTGTTTTACACATTTACCTCTTCACTTGTTGCCAGCAAGCCCCCATAATTCGGGTCTGGATATGAAGCAAAACAGGAAGTGACAAATCCACTGGGGGCTGGTGTCAGAAGCAAGCAAATCCTCATTGACTCCCATGTTAAAAATACCAATTTCACAGCAGAAATAAACATGTTTACAGCCTGATTCCAAAACATGTTTTAGGTTTAATAGATCTAGCTTATACTCATGACAACTCTGAGGGGGTGAATTTTTTCTCACTCTTCTGTTTAAGTGTATTAAAGGGGCATTATGGAAGTTTAACAGCCAAAACATTTGTAGAAATAATAAATTTCTTCTTAATACATTCTCCTGCAACGCCCTGGTCCTGTAGAATGAGCCCTGGCATTTTTACTGTGATTGCCTATTTTTCTGTAAAATCACAGAAAAAGAGAGCTGCTCAGGTCGAGCAGGCTGCTTCATGCGCGTTCACGCTCAGGCATCGCCCTCCGAATCGTTCTTTGAACGTTGTTTCAGCTGTCATCAAGGATATAAATGTTACAGATATAAAAGACATCATTGGCGCTGTAGCTCACCTAGTAAGATGATGGACTTTCATGCAGAAGACTTGGGCTCGAGTCTGGGTGTGAACATATTTTATTTAGTTTCTGTTTTACATTAATGGTATTTTTTACAGTACGATGCCCACATTTTTATTTGAGACTCGCCGAACGGCATTGAATTCACAGATAAAAAAGATGTGGGTTCAACTTTCATTTTGGAACAAATTTTCAAGCAAGGGAAGAGAATGATCTGAGCATGCAGGAGGGAGAACTGACCCATCTTAAACCTTAGTCGGCTGTGCTGAAGAGAAAGGTACAGAACCAAATTATTTAATTAATTAGCTGCACGTTTTCCTGTCCTCTGTCCTCCGGGCCACACACACACACACACACACACACACACACACACACACACACACACACACACACACACACACACACACACACACACACACACACACACACACGGGACTGTCTCAGCTGTTATTTTCATTAAGGAGTGTGCAAGTACAGCATGCGCGCCTCGTGCACGAGCCTACTATTGAAGCTGCCGTTACGCTTTTGGCCTGAGGGGGAAATCGTGAGTATAAAAATTCAAAACTACATAAAGTCCCTTTAAATGCCTAAAATTCAGAATAATTAATGAGTATCAGACCCACATGACTGCAGAGCTAGCTCCAGGGAAAGGCCTCAGCCTGAGCCTCGGCCTCGCCTTAAAACTGTTCCGCGATTTTCAGTCTCTAAACTTAGACCATTAGTTATGCCATTTGTGTACTCTTTTTGGATATTATTTGTGCAATTGTTGAACAAAAAGACTTGCTGTGGTATTAACTGCACTAATAGAGCGTCCAAAGAGTCTCCACTTCTTTTTTTCGGTAAGTAAAATTATATTTATGTATTTTCGGTCACTGCCGCTCTTGCGCTAGCTGAGCTTAGATTTTAACATGTACTGTTTAACCATTAAATTTAAATGTAATGGGGTAAACCCCAGTGCATTTAACACAATGCTGTATTTTTCAAAATGGGTTGAAATATAACATGTTGGTGGAGCTGGGTTCCGACTATCGGTATGGTCCCCTCCCCTCAGCGACAGCTCGGCGCATCTCTGATCGCAGCGGCGCCTGTCTGCTGCGCAGCTGCTGGCTTGTGGAGCTCTTGGATGGAAACCGATGTTTTCCACTTGGTTCTCCCCAGTGGCAGCTCAACGCATCTCTGATCGCAGCGGCGCCTGCTGCTGCACGGCTGCTGGCTTGTGGAGCTCTCGGGAGACCTTTGTGTTCCACACGGTTTTACCCAGCGGTCAGCCCGGCGCATCTCTGACTCAGAAGCTCTGGTGTTGTGCACAGCTAACTCTGGTTGTAGCTAGATAGCTACCTCCATTAGCTTAGCTCCCACCTCTGCGTTAGCTTTGAGTTAGCTTGTAGCTACATCGCTTTAGTTCGACGAATGTCGTCATTTGATCCCAGCCTTGCAGCCTAAATAAGCCTCAGCTCCACCTCTTTTCTCTTTTATGGAATTGTCTGGGCTTAACGGAACCTATGACACGGTCAAAATGGTGGTGGTGGCCACCTCCCATTTTGGCACAAACACTTATAATTGGAGCCTATAGAGCTCCGGGAGTTGACGTCACTTCTCCCGGCATGCAACAGTTCAAATCGAAACGGCGCCATTTGGCAGGCAGAAGCCGGCAGCTGGACTATTTGTTATTGTCAGAAAACTCAATCAAACGGGAAATATGGTAGATTCCTGTTGTGCCCCAGGATGCAGAACAGACGCGGACGACATAAGGAATGAGTCATCTACAGGATTCCCCAAGATCCGGAGCGCCGCAAAGTTGGATCATTATAATAAAACGCGCTAGTGACCGGGCGAAAATGAAGCTGTGGGATCCCGAGAGTAAAGGTTTTCACTTATGCAGCGACCACTTCATATCAGGTACTTAAACCAACGTTTCCTCAACTGTGTATGGTATTTATTTTAAATGCTTTTATTACGATTCTTAGTGGGCTTCCTAAACTTATTTTGGCGTGGATTTTTCTGTCTTATTACTCACAGCAGCAAGTAAACATCACGTAAAACGGTGCCTCGTGAGTTCTGCGAGCTGCCGTTTCCCTGTTTTATGATGACAGCAATTAACCAGCTAAGCTGTTTTTATTTTTAAGCAATGGGTGATCATTTGTCAGATCACACATAAAAAGCACTTTGGATTGCTATTATCTGTCTCACCGAGACTACTTACGTGTAAATCTGTTATTTGTCCGTCCAGCCATCCATTTTCATCCGCGTATCCGGAATCGGGTTGCGGGGGCATAGCGTGACTTCCCTCTCCCCAGCCGCCGGAGCCAGCTCCTCCGGGTAAATCCCAAGGGGTTCCCCGGTCAGGTCCGGTGTTGTGCCGGTAAGAAGCCCGCTCCGACCGCTTCTGGCGTCGGAGCGGGCAGTAGAGTCGAGAGTCCCAGACCTCTCCCCAGCTCCTCCGGCCGGGGGAATCCCAAGGGGTTCCCCGGTCAGGTCCGGTGTTGTGCCGGTAAGAAGTCCGCTCCGACAGCTTCTGGCATTTTTAAAAAGTATCCCAGGGGCACGGTAAGGGTCGGAGATGTTTAGTCTATTTAATTTCTGACTATATAAAATGATTTCTTCTGTTTTAAAGTGTGAAGTAAACTCAGACGAAGTAAAATCCAAGCGGATCTCGTTCATGTTCATGGTTACATCCGTGTTTGTTTACCTTTTTTGCATGCCAAAATGGCGTCCACTAACTGACAGTCACGTGGGGTCCGGAGCTCTATGGACACGAATTGTCCAGTATATATGTTGTTGGTTGCCAGTGATGAAAAGGAATCTGATGTTCTTGTTATATTGCTGGAGGTTGTACTCCCTGGGAATTTTTTGACCCTGACCATGACATTACACCCTAATGGCCATCTGTTGGTAAGGTTGTACTTTAGACACAAAAATAATGCTTTCTTGCAATGATTTAGGTATCTACTGCCCCCTATCGCCAAGGGAAATACACACTGTCACTTTAATCTCAGGAAATTTCCATCAAAATTTTGTTTAAAATGAATTAAATGATGCCCAGTTTTTGGAAAATACTGACAGACTTGTAACATATATAACCATAAATATTGGCTCTAAAATACATGGGAGCGAGTCTAAGGGTGTTTCTCAGTGTCGAGACGCCTGGTCTAGCTAGGCAATGTCTTGCTAGGCCAGGTGCTGTTTTCTGGGAAATTTTTGACCAAGGCTAGTCTAAATGACTAACAAATAGAGAACTAACGCCTCAGTAGCTCATGAACATTTGTACACACCTGGGCAATTCCTGAGGATGTTTCTCCTAGGCAACCAGAACGGGACCAAGGCATCAAGACGAGGTTCCTTGAAATTGAGAAACACTCTTAAGTCTATGGGTGACGTCATATTAGACGCAATGTTTCCTTCTACATGAGTCTGTGAGGACAAAACGCATTTACTGATTTGTAACAAATGTTTGAAAACCTTTGTCATTCATAAAAGTTGTTGTTTTCCTCTCTGCTTGTTGCCAGTGATGAAAGGGAGACCGATGTGCTTGTCATTTTGCTGGAGGTTGAATTATCTGACAAAGAACTCGTTCGGAAATTGTACACCAGGGATTTTTGACCCTAATGCCCAGAACACACCAGATGTGGAGGAAGTGTGAAGATGCGCCACAAAGCACCATGGAACGACAAGTGCTTATATTCGGCGCCCTTGTTAACCTACGCTCTCGGTCACAGCAGCTGCGAAGTGCCACGAAGGCTCGTGCCGTACCGTGCCGCGACCATTTTGGCGTGAGCTCTAATTGTTTCGTGAGCCATGAGTGAGCCGCGTTAACTTTGGCAGGAAGTCAAACCAAAACAGGAGAGGCAGGCCGGTAAATCTAACAAAATAAAGAAAATTTTCTAAACAAAACATCTCAATTGATAAATGTGATAATTTTTGTGCATCTAAACAGACTAGAGAGATGAAAATGAACAAAGACACACACACACTCCTGCAGAGAAACCATCGACATAAATATACTGGACAATTCCTTTCCATAGACTCCAATATCACGTTTTTGAGGCCAAATGGGAGGTGGCTTTGTGGCTTTTTGCAGCTGGTGTGTTCCGGGCATAATGGTCTTCTTTTATAAGGTCTTACTCAAACACAAAGATATCACAATAATAGCTTGCTTGGAGTGCCCCCATCACCAGAGAAAATACACACAGTCACTTTAAGGTGTTAAAATTAGGAACGCCCAGTGAGGAAATAAGTTTCACTTTTGGATTCACTAACGGAACACTAGGGGGTGCTAAAAGCAAGCCAAAACTGCCTAGTATCTCTTTATAAATGTGCATGATACAGTCACACCCTCAACCTCACTGTAACGCCTTGACACGTTTATGTTTATGCTTATTTATTTGGCAGACACTTTTATCCAAAGCGACTTACAATTTATAACATATAAGGCATGTTGTGATCTGTGGGGGAAACCGGAGTACTGGGAGGGGAGGAAACCCACGCATGCATGGGGAGAACACGCAACTCCACGCAGAAAGGCCGCAGCAGAGTTTCAAACCTGCAACCTTCGTGCTGCAACAGTGCTAACAACTGCACCACCATGCTGCTCCACTGCACCACCATGCAGCCAACACACATTTAGAATACAATTCTGCTGTTTATTCTGTCTGCACATAATGAAATCAATCTTTCATTAGATATTAAAGCTCTAAACACACAGCTGGATCTTCTGTTATATTTAGTGTGTTTGAAGATCAGCAGGTAAATCTATAAAGCATCAAAGTGAAAAATCACCTCAAATTCATTATGCAATTATTATATTTGACTTCTGCTTTATTTTCTAGTCACCTTGATAATCTTTAAGTCCTGTGCATCATGTTCATTTGCATTGTGGTTGACCTCTACAGGCTGTGATGTTTAGTAGCTGCAGATCAGCCTAGGATGGAACAATGTGTTCTCCAGCAGTTCTCCTCTTGTCTCTGTGGTTGAAAAATGCTAAACTCTGCAACACAAAAGCTCCCATCATAAACACGAGATCATGAGAGTTCCCCTGCTGAACAGCAGCCGCGAAGCCTCCTGCTTTCTGACTGACACACCGGCTTGGAGATGCCAGGTTAAGCAGTTAAGTTGTTTTTATAACAGGCAGGACACTTCCGGAAACTGACCTTTAACAATAAAGGCATGGAAACATTTACCATGAGAACATTTTACTCCATAAGACTATAAGACTGAAACTAAAAGAAAAAGAGATTAAGATGTTTTAAATAATCATACTTAATTTGAATAAATGAAATGAAACATTACACACACACACACACACACACACACACACACACACACACACACACACACACACACACACACACATATATATATGAATTCCAAAACTATTTTTACTATATTTTTCTGAGTTATATATTGTGGCATAGGCAAATCGATAATTTCTATTTGACCAGGAAGATGTAATATTCTATATAAATATAAAATATTAACCTGCTAGGTCTTTATTTTATATTATCAGAAGATTCTAGGATTTAATTCAGAAGATCTAGGTTCTTTGCTTTTTCAGTGATCAACCACACTACGTGTTACTTCAAGAAAGAGTCAGGTTTATAAAAGTAGGAGTTTATTTTACAAACAATTTAAAACATGACTAATGAATTAAGCATTTACTGTGAGTGGATGTAACTAAACGTGATGAAGGAAACTATGTGTGAATACGATGTCAGTCAGAGCTTCCTTATCAAAGTAAACTGAGTTCTGATGAAAAGAATTTGGTTTGCTCTAAGCTATAAAGTTGTTATCATCAGACAAACATCAGACGCAATCTGTCATGTCTACTTCGCCCGTTCTGGAGAGACCCTCTTGGTGGATCTGAAAGATGCAGGGGTCGGCTGTCCTCTGGCACCGGACGGCTGTAGAATACCGTGGTACCGACTCTGCAGTCCAGAGATGTCTCAGGTCACAACAGCTGGATGGAACCGTGCGTCTGGCGGACTCTTAAGGAGTCTGACAATATCAGCTTTGTTTCTGCAGGAACTGTTAGCTCATCAGCTTTGCAGGTGCAAAAAGGTTTTGATGACGTGTCAAAATCTTTGATGGTTAAAGAGGTTTTGCTACAGATGGCCGGTCTGAGCGATTCTCTAGAACTGTCGAATCACTCAGGATGATCCAGTTTTAAGGTTTTGATGTTATGACTTGCACAGCCAATCAAAGGCTGACAGCTTGGGAGATGTTACCTAGACAACTCAGAAACACACCTTCTTTGATACCGGATGTTCTGACTGGTTAAAAGGGCAAGTTATGTGTTGGAGTTTAACTTAACCGTACTTGTTATTGTGTGAGTGCAGGTGTGAGGACCTCATTGTATAAACATGTTGAACACATGGTAGGTTCTAGCAGACAAACATAACATACCATCCATTCAGTGAGCACAGATTAATGAAGCATTTTATTATACTATAATTATTATAAGTAGTAATAAACAAATGTTCATTTAATGATAAACTAGATTATAAATCATGGAAGAAGTTCATATTGATGTAGGAAATCAGTCTTGAATTTAGCAATTGATTCGAGCTGGAGTTCTTCCTTCTGTGGAGACAGCCAGATGGGACCTTGGGAAAGAAAGTTATTGTTTATCTATTAGACATTGCAGAGTCTGTGAGTCCCAGCTGGTATGAAGGCAGGCTCATTTAAAGGGAACACATGCAGTGTTGTGTCTCCTTTCTGACCAGATGTTGAATAGATGTTGAAAGGTCAGACTGTACCTAAACTGACCATTGCTGAATGATACAATATATAGTTTCTTATTTTATTTATATCACGAATCAGTCTAACCAGGAGAACTGTGCAAAGTCAGTGGAAATGATCATCATAACGAAAATTCAGTTCATGTAATTACATCAGTCATTGTGCAATTTTGTCTGCTATTTGAAAATAAAGGGAGGGGGGAGCAAAATAAATGTTATCATAGCAAATTCTCTAAATTATACAAATAAATAAACAAAGAGACAAACAAATAAATTAAATAAATAAATAATCTCCGTCAAAGCAGGTGCTGTTTTCCTGTGTGGACACTCAGAAGGCTTAATAAAATCAATTTTTATGTTATAGAAATGTTAAATGCTATATTTTATTCATCTAAAGAAAGGGGAGATCCTGTCTTACGCACCAGTTTAAAGAGTATTTTTCATGATTGCTTTTATTTTGAAAGGTTACACAGGATATTGAGTTTCCATCCCGTCTGACTTGACAGCGGAGGGTATCCACGGGCTGTGGGCACCCTCAGACAGGTGGAGGAGACGTCCTCGAGAATCTGAGCTGCTTGGTCCGGAGGACTGGGCTGGGCTGCGGGACCCGTGGTCGCCGTACACGCTCGGTGCACGGATCCTCCTCCACCCCATGCACCCCGCAGCTGCTGGGTCCACATTATGGAACCAGAACCACAACATGGTTCGGCTCATCTCGCCGTCCTGATCTCTCACACACATGCTTGATGCTTCGGTGTGTGGACTCACACGGGGAGGACGATGGATAGCTGCAGAGGATACACGAGGAGAACCCACAGACTCGAGTTCTTTCCCTGAGATTTCTTTCCGCCTTCCGCCAGTTTTAGTCTTCATTCCTCTTCCACGGTCATGGAGCACCAGGCAGCCGAGCCGCAGAACTACGAGGACGTCCAGAAGAGCGGCTACCTCCGCAAGCATAAATCGATGCACCGGCGATTCTTCGTGCTGAGGACGGCCTCTGAGCACGGTCCCGCTCGGCTCGAGTACTACGAGAACGAGAAGAAATTCCGCAGTAAATCACCTGTGCCCAAGAAGGTCCTGAACCTGGAGACGTGCTTCAACATCAACAAGCGGGCGGATTCCAAGAACAAGCACATGATCGTCCTTTACACCCGCAGCGAGAGCTTTGCCATCGCTGCGGACAGCGAGGAGGTCCAGAACGAGTGGTACCAGGCGATGCTGGACCTCCAGGACAACTGTAAGACCCGAGGAGAGGGGTGTGATTTTTATTCCTGCATCAGGCCTGTCCTGCCCTGAAGGCTGTTGGGCTTCATGTGTTTGGCTCGCCCTTTTCTGATTCCGTCTGCTGGTGTCACTAGAATATATACTTAAGATTTATCTTATTTAATTGTTAGTGCTGAATCCCGTTCTTTTTATTTAACTGTCTAAGTGGAGCCTTTTGGGCAGTTTTTAGGCGGAGGGGGGCAGGTGCATGCGGGGTAGACCATCACGCTATGGGCGGCATGTGCTGTTTGTGCAGCACAGATCCAATCAGCTCTGCGTTTTATTACAGCCAAACCCGCACATTTGTTTTATTCTTATGTCCGTAAATGGAAACCGGTGCGTTAAATGGATCGTGCATGTGAACATGGAACAGATTATCGCCTGTTCTGAGTGAAAAGCAGCCCGAAATCACACGACGGTGTGTTTTTGCATGGCGCAGTGGGCATATAGCAACCATCCAAGAGATGCATCATATAGTAGTAGCCTATCGCGGTGCACTCCGCTGCAGCCTGTGTGTTTTTGTTTTTCTGCACAGCTCTGACTGCCGTTCGCCTAACCTACATTCGTACTAGTGGGGAGGAGATGCCATCGTCAGTGCGTTCTCCCTGGATATTATGTTTCTGTTGGTTATCCTCGTGTTTACGCTGGTATCCCTATGGAGCAGAGCAGAGCAGAGCCCCGCCACCCCTCCCCTCCCTCCTTTTTTTATTTATTATTTATTTATTTTTTGCATCTTGGTTGAGACTGATGGGCTTGCCCAGCGCTGATGTGTTTGTTGTTGTGGAACCCTGACCAGATACGCATTAGAGTGCAGACCACATTTTCTTGAGGTTTCCAGCCGAGACAGACGCAATCAAAGGCTTTCCGCATTTTAGTTTAATTCTACATCCGTTTGTGAAATAAACAAGTCTAGAAACAGCTCGAAGCACAATGTGTCATAGAATATGTTGTTTTCTGCAACATCGTTTAAAAAACTGAAAACATCAGCAGCTTTGTATTTGAACTGTATTTTTTTCTCACAGTTAAATGTTTTATGACATCAACCTAATTATAATGTCAAAGATTACCTGCTGAATACAAAATACAATTATCAGATGAAGAATGTATTAATTAAAGAAAGAATACATTCAAACAACCCTAAAAAGTTATTGATCCCTAAACTTACTAAATGGCCATAAATCAGATGGAGGCAACAACTGTGAATGCTAATCTAATATTGCTAAAGAACCCCAGACCGTCACACCACCACCACCATGCTTCACTGTTGGTATAATGTTTAGAGTTAGTTTGTCTCCAGACAGAACAGGAAAACAAAAACAAACAAAGTTAGTTAGTATCTCCTCAGTTTTTAGACAAAAACATCTCAAATATGGATCATCAGGATGGTTTTGGGTGAATGTGAAATGGGGTTGTATGTTTTCTTTGGGCATCAGAATAGACCGTGGAAGTTCCTTATGGTCCATTTTTGGCCTCACATCTTTCTTGCTGTTCAATCATGAACTCTGACCTTAACAAATAAGTGAGGCTTGCAGTGCTTTGGGTGTTCTGGTTTAATTTATTTATTTTGGGTGGGTGGGATGGGGGTGTTGTTCTTGATTAATACAGGATAGGATATTATTTATTTATTTTGCTTTTTGAGATCTTTTAGCCTATTTAATTTTGTTGGGCAGGCTCTACTGATGTGATTTCTCTGGTAGCAATTAGACCTGGGTGTGGCTGGTGCAACTGGCCTCAGCTTTTTATAGAATGTGGTTGATAACAGTTAATTAATGTTTTACTAAAGCGGGCAATTACTTTTCCACAAAACAAAATTTAGCACAATGTTTAATGTAAAAAATCTTTTGTTTTTTGTTTTTCTAGGTAAAACCCCCGAGGACTATGGCAGTAGCGGAGAGTGTAGCTCTCCATCTCCTATTCCAACCTTTAAAGAGGTGTGGCAAGTCAAGGTTTGGCCTAAAGGTCTTGGACATGCCAGGAACTTGGTGGGCATCTACCGGCTGTGTCTAACAGATAAAACAGTCAACTTTGTCAAACTGAACTCTGACGTGGCCGCTGTAGTGTTGCAGCTGATGAACGTTCGAAGGTGTGGCCATTCAGAGAACTTTTTCTTCATTGAGGTTGGACGCTCAGCAATCACAGGTCCTGGAGAGTTTTGGATGCAAGTGGATGACTCGGTGGTAGCTCAAAACATGCATGAAACTCTGCTCGAGGCCATGAAGGCCTTAAGTGAGGAATTCCGACAGCGTAGCAAGTCCCAGTCTGTGGGGACATCATGTGGAGGTGGTACTGCTTCGAATCCTATCAGTGTCCCGAGTCGACGCCATCACCCAAATCTTCCACCGAGCCAGATTGGCTTCTCCCGACGTGCAAGGACTGAGACCCCTGGAACAGGAGGCAGCAGCACCAGCACATCTCCTACATCCCGTCACGGGTTTCCAAGGGCGAGAACAGCAAGCATTGGAGCCAGGTCAGAAGAAGGAGGAGCAAGCGCCAGAGGGACATGGGCCAGTTCCAGTCCAAGTCTAAATGGGTCCTGCTCAACTACACCAACGCTGAGACCTAAACCTACTAGGGCTCCAACCCCCGCTAAGATTACCCTAAGCCTTGCCCGCTACACCCCTAACCCTGCTCCATCTCCCGCACCTAGTCTGTCCTCCAGCTCTGGTCACGGTTCAGAGTGTGGCCTAGTGGGGGCAGTTGTTGGAAGCATGTCAATTTGCTCCTATGCTCGTGTTTCTCAAAGAGTTTCTGTTTCAGGTTCACCGAGTGACTATGGATCCTCAGACGAATATGGTTCCAGTCCTGGTGAACACTCTCTGCTCATACCTAGTATGTCTGGACATCATGCACATGGAGAGGGCTCCTCCAGCTATATTGTGATGGGGCAGCGAGAGGGTGTGTTTGGTTCCCATCATCACCCCAAAGGGAGGCGGATCCTGCGGCGTTCATCTAGTCGGGAATCAGAAGCGGAACGCAGGCTACTAAGTAAGAGAGCTTCCCTTCCTTTGGCTGCCCAGGAAAGACTAACCCCACACAGAAAAGATGAAGATGATGAAGATGATGAAGAATACGCCATTATGTCACAGAGTGCCAACAGAGGAAGAGCTGACTTACACCATGGCTCAGGGAATTTAGCTATAAGAGGTGGGCAGCTTGATGTGGCGGGAAAATCTAGGAAGAGGGCCGAGAAAAGCAGAAAAGAGGTGGACTCAGGAGGAGCTCTGGATAGTGGTTACATGTCAATGTTGCCAGGAGTCACATCGCCTCCCGTTTCGCTCTCTCTGTCGATAGGTATGTACGATACGAGAGCTAAACCTGGGGCAGATGACGAGTATATGGCCATGACCCCCAACAGCAGTGTGTCTCCTCCTCAGCACATCCGTCACCCCAGCTCAGAGGGTTACATGGTCATGTCTCCCAACAGCAGTAGTTCCACAGACCTGCACGGACTGGGCATGTGGGAGAGCAGGGCCAGCATGGAGAGCCGGGCTGTCAGCGACTACATGAACATCTCACCTGTTAGCAGCCGCTCTGCCTGCAGCACGCCACCTTCCCACCCCGAGCAGCATCAGCTGCAACCGAAAATGTTCAATTCATACTTCTCCTTGCCACGAGCTTATCAGCACACCCTCTATTCTCGCTTTGAGGAAGACTTAAATAAAGGAGAGGAGAAAAAAGACAGCAATGGACACGAAGTTGCTGGAAGGGGAGGAAGACAGGGGTGCAGCAAGAGAAACAAAATTGCAGTGGGCTCTGCAGGAGGCTGCCAACTCTCCATGTCTTCTTCTTCTTTTTCCTCCAGCTCCGCCAGCAGTGAAAGCCTCGAAGACAAGTCATCATCAGCAGGGAGGGGGTTAAGTTTGTTAAGAACTGGAGCAGAATACAGGAGTGCAGGAACATGCACAAAAGAGGGACGTCATAACCAAAAACGTGGCTCAAGTAGCAAGAGCCCCAAGCAACACAGGAGGGGTCGCCCTCTGAGTGTGTCTTCAGACATCACTAAAGCTAATACCTTACCAAGGGTGAAGGAGAACCTGCCACCATCAGTTTCTCAGAGTGTTGATGAATATGTAAGTATTGTCTTTAAGGATGACGATAACTACGATGAGGGACGATGTGCAGGGTCTCCGCGTGGACAGCCGGTAATCCATGGAACTCTACGGCCCTTGAATCAACCACTCCTCCGCCATGATAATCCTGCCAACCTTCCCCGCAGCTTTTCTGCACCGCTGTCCACCTCTACCGAGTACGTCAACATGGATCTAGGGAAATCCTCAACAACCCTGACTCATGTCAGATCCACATTCAACACCCTACAGGGCCCGCCGGCTGCTTCCTCCAAGGCCCGACATGAACACAGCACGTCTTCTCCACTGGCAGCGGAGTGTAGCGCAGGCCACAGAACAAAAACAAAGATGCCAACAGATGCCCCCCCAGCATTTACTGACAGCAAAGGTTCAGATCCCAGCATTTCAGCAAGACCTGCCATCCACTCTGGTCAACCCTTACCCAAAGAGCAGGAGACGAGTTTGGGTTCCTCTCTGGTCAAATCGTTCCAGTCTCCCGACAGGAGCAACAGATTGATCCGGACTGACCAGCAGGGACACTTGAGCCACCATTCTGAGACATTTAACTCACCGCCATCTTTACCAATATACACATCTTCTTCTACCTCCCTGTTCACAGAGGGCAGCCAGGCGGCAAGTCATCGGCAGGGTTTGGACTGCTCACTGTGGGAGAACGGGCAGGCTGCTGGTTTGCCTGCCACACCTCCACCCCAAGCCTCCACCTCATCCACTGAACAAGGCCTTAACTACATAGACCTTGATTTAGCCATGAAGGAGGGTCCTCAAGCTGGAGCAGAGCGCACCTCTCCCATCTACAGCATCGGGGGGAGCGCTTTGGGTAGCAGTGCTGGCTCTGGCCCCAACACTTACGCCAGTATTGATTTCTACAAGTCAGAGGAACTCAGAACGACCCAGAACAGTCGAAAGGATGGTCAAGGTGAGTGCAGCGGGTCTTTAAAGATAGTTTGTACTGATGGATTAATGATTATAACATCTAGCTTTGAAATATTCCATAGACATTTATTGACATAAACATTTAAATTTGAGTGGAGGTAGAAGTTTTACTGTCTGTACTCCTTCTCTTCAGTCAGTTCTGATCCATCAGCTAAAAGGAAAACTGGTCTGTGCAAAAATAAATATCATTAAATATTATTTCTAAGAACCAGGTTTCGTTTAAAGGTGTGGAAAAACTGATTATAATCCATCACTGAGTTTTACATGCAGGCTGAACATTAAAACAGTCTCCTACACCTGTCTCCTGCATTAGCTTCTGAAACTCTAGGATTTGAAAATTCTCACAGATCTACATCACACTGTGAATTAGCATTAGCATTAGCATCTTCCCGCCATGGCAGAAGCTCCTCCAGGCTTGTGTTACTTGTGGATATAAAACATCCATGTTGCAAGTCAGTGGTAGAGTCGCACTGCATTTATCCAATCCAGGGCAAGACGTCTAAACATCAGGAAATAAGACTTCAAATTCTGTTGCCTGAAGCTCATTTTTGATGTTGCAGACTTGGCCTGATGAGACAGGGGGTGTTTCTCAATGTCAAGGCGCCTGGCCTTGGGAGGCGATGTCTTGCGAGACCAGGCGCCTTGCTTACGAGGACACGGTCCTTCCTTGGTCAAAGAAAACGGTTAAATGGAAGAGACTTGCATCGCGTGACCACGGCTTCCACGGCGGTCACCTAACGTCATGTGACACTGGAGACAACGTTATATTTTATAAGTATTAGTTTCAATATCAATATATAATGAGGCTTTAACTTTTTAAATTGTGTATATATTTGTTAAATGAAATATATAAGTGAGTTACTACTAGGGCCTGGCTGATATGCTTTTTTTGGGACGATACCGATATAAAACTTTTAACAAAAGCCGATAGCCGATATAATGGCCGTTAAATCTCCCTCACAAAAAAAGAAATAAAATTTTTCTTGAGCTTAAACCCTTCATTCTCTGCCTTTTTGATGCAAACTTATTTCTCTATTACACACCAAAGAACTGTCTCAATAACTCACATGGGGTTCCACACGGGCTGCATGGTGGCGCAGTGGTTAGCACTGTTGCCTCGCAGCACGAAGGTCGCAGGATCATAACTCGCCTTTCTGCGTGGAGTTGCGTGTTCTCCCCATGCATGCGTGGGTTTTCTCCGGGTACTCCGGTTTCCCCCACAGATCACAACATGCCCTATAGGTTAAAATAAATAAATAAATAAATAAATAAATAAAAATTGTAAGTCGCTTTGGGTAAAAGCGTCTGCTAAGCACATAAACAACATAAACAAGTAATGCAAATAAGATTTTTTTAGCAGATCTCAAAAACAACAGAACACACAAACTCAGTCACAGCATCAATCTAACATTCAAGTGTTTTCTTGTAAACTGTGATTTCCACAAATACATTTTAACTTAAAGGAATATTCCACCACTCAGTAAAAGTGTGTCTTGTTAAGATTCCCCAGAGTTAGACAAGTCAGAAAAAGCATTTTATAACCAGCCCAAGATGATCTGGCAGCAGGTGGTTTTCTTAGTTTAGCATAAAACAATGTAAGTGAATTCACATACATTATAGTGTTTTTTAATGTAGGTGAATGTAAGCCTTCCCTTCCGTTGCTTTATGCTAAAACAACTGGTTACAAAATGTTTTTTCTGACTTAGCTAACTCTGGGAAATCTAACAACACACACACATTTAGGGACAGAAGATCCCTATAAGGATATTAAAATAATAAAAATGCAGCAATAAATAAAACGTAACACTTGTGCTTTGTAACAAAGTAACACTTTGTGGAAGTTAACTTGGTTAACTTATTCACCCTGGACAGGAAATAATTGCACATAAGAAACATAAATAAGAATAAATAAAAAAATGTTCCAAAACAATAATTTGTGTTCAAAGTTCAAAGGAGTGGAGCCACACAACATGAGTTCATAAAGCTGGCGCCATCTGCAGGATAGGTAGCGCAATATCGGCCATATCGGCCATCTTTTTGGCCGATAGCCGATACTGTTAATGACCCCAATATCGGCCGCTATATCAGTCGAGCCCTAGTTACTACCCGCTAGCCACCGAAGCTGCACTTGCTAAGCAACTAACCAACAATACATAACTTCGTTGGATCTAAAAAAACATTTTAAATTAGTTGGCTTACTTTTAAACTTGAAAATTGCCCTTGAAGTAGCTGCCAGCTTCTGATCCGCCATCCTTTTGAAAATACCGCGGTGTATTTTGGGTAATTTTTGACCAAGGCTAGGCTACAAGACACCTTCCGTGTATCCTCCCTCATTTAGCTAAACGGCTAACAAACGGAGAACACACGCCTCGGTAGAACATGAACATTGGAACACGTCTTGGCGGCTCCTGATGACGTATCTCCTAGGCAACCGGGGCGGGACCAAGACATCAAGGCAAGGTTCCTTGACATTGAGAAACACCCAGGGGTTTGCAGGCTTTTTTTGGGCCCTGAGTTCTGCCTGCAAGGCATTCATTTCTTCTAGAGACCACTGCAAATGTATTTATTAAAAGAGTTATCCACACCTTTAAGGAAAAACAACAGTGAATTTGAGTTTTGATTCATGATTACAGTAAATTTCATGAGCATAAAGGAGCAAAAAGACACTGAATGATCATTTCCCTTTATATTTACAATAGCACATGTTTCTATTCACATTTACTTGATAATCAATTGACTAATAAAGGCAGACTGTTCAATCGGATGCATTGGATGAATTGATCAAAACCTGATTAAATAATAAACTCCAAATTGGACAGTCAAAAGAAACACATATTGCTTTACTGCCATTTAAAACCACAATGAGTGATTAAAATACACAAACATGTGTTGAAAGGACTAATTGTGTAAGTTCTCGTCATTTTCATGAAACTGGATGCAAACTTCAGCATAATGTAAATGGTACTGAGACACAAACGCCTGTCTGGCTCTTAGTCACTTATCTTTTCATCGTGTACTGATGTGGCCTCAAGCTGGTGGGCAGCGCCGAGCTTCCTGTCTGTAGGCCATCTGTAGAGTCTCTTAATATCATAAGTGGGTGTTCAGAGAGCAGAGCCGATTGATTTGTCTGCTGGTAATGAGCCATTTCACATGAATGGAGGCATAAGGGACGGTAACACGGGCCAGGTGTTTATGTTTCTATGTGGGCGGTCTGCTGGCTGCAGGATTTCTCATGGCGGCTTTGAGGTTTCCCTCAGACTGTACAGACGACAGATATTAAATGGTTAATGCTAATGTTTTATGTGAGGTTGATGCTAAAAACAATTTGCATGTAAATAAATGGTGTTAGAATAGATACAAGTAAATATCAGGCAGAAGAATCTATTTTATTGACAGCAGAAACATTTGCTGAATCGATGTTTCTAATGGTGCTCAATAGCCTAATATTTAAGTAGCGTTCATAGCCAATAAAGCAAGATCCTTTATTCATGCTGCATTTAATGATTGACTGTGTTTTACCTGTGCAAAAGCTTCTTGCCTTTGTTTTACAACCTGCAAACATCTTCTAATAACTGAGCTCAGTGTATGAAATCTGAAATCCTAAACGTCCTGCCGTTTTATTGTGCTGACACGATTAGAAGTAGATCGGCGGAGAACTCTGTGTTGTCAAGGAGGCTCATGAAGAGAAGAAACAGTCTCTGGAGGTGATAAAGCAACAGATACGTCATGTTGACATCTGCAACAACGGCCATGAGACCAATCAGAAAATCTTAGCACAAAGATATCACGCTCCACGTGATATTTACCTAAGCTGCCAGCGGAAACTCCAGATTAAACAAAAGCAATATGCTGAGGCAAACTGCCGTTTTATCCTCCTGTGTGGAGAGATTGGCATCAGATGTGCTGGAGAAGACATTTTAGCTTCATATGTTGTTGTAGAATGCCTTCTCCAGGTGAGGGACGAGGTCCTGCCTCAAGTAGAGGAGTTTAAGTATCTCAGGGTCACAAGTGAGGGAAAGAGTGAGATCGATAGGTGGATTGGCGCTGCATCTGCAGATGCGGGCGTTGTACTGGTCTGCCGTGGTGAAGAGAGCTGAGCTGGAAGGTAAAGCTCTTGATCTGCGTTCCTACCCTCACCTATGAACACAAGCTTTGGGTAGTCACCAAAAGAATGAGATCGCGGATACAAGTGGCCAAAATGAGTTTTCTCCACAGGGTGTCAATCTCTTAGAGATAGGGTGAGATGCTCAGTGGTTTGGGAGGGGCTCGGAGTAGAACCTCTGCTCCTCCACATCAAGAGGAGCCAGTTGAGGTAGCTCTAGCATCCGTAGGATGCCTCCCTGGTGAGGTTTTTTGGGCACATCCAACTGGGAGGAGACCCAAGGGAAGACCCAGGACACGTTGGAGGGGCAATGTCTCTCGGCTGGCCAGGGAACGCCTTAGGATTCCCCCAGGAGGAGCTGGCCCAAGTGGCTGGGGAGAAGGAAGTCTGGGCCTCTCTGCTTAGCCTGCTGCCCCCGCGACCCGACCTTAGATAAGCGGAAGAGAATGGATGAATAGATGGATGTTGTTGTAGAAGGAAGTTTGTGCCATTTATATAAATTAAATCTCTTCCCTAATTTTGGATTCCAGACTGTTGATCTCCATCTTTGTTCTGGACGTATGTGACGACTGGGAGACGGCTTGACCCGCGACGGGACGGCGGGCAGCCTGATCTGCTGCCACAACACAGACCCTGGAAAGCCTCATCTCCATCCGTCTGCTGTTTTCTGTCAACCAAACGTGTGCCAAACACACACACACACACACACACACACACACACACACACACACACACACACACACACACACACACACACTCGTTGACCTTGTTGGTATAAAATGAGATGTGATTTTGGTTTAACTTGTACAGATGAGGACTGAGATCACGGGTGTTGACGAGACTTTCAGGGAACAACGCAAAATTCATCTGTGAATCTTTATTTATCCTGCGAGTGAGCCAGTATGATCAGTATGGTGACTTAATGTTAACATAAAAACAAAACCAAGGCAGCTGCTATGTTGACACAGTCTCAGCTAAACCTGGAGTGTTAATTGGTGTTTTCATTCTGCTGTCGCCTTTTACGTCTCATTCTGGTGTGTACGCAGAAGTTAAACGATCATCAGGTGTCATTTTGACTCGAACCAACAGGAATCATCAGACACACTCTTACTGTAAATATGTTTGAATTATCATATATATGTCGTTGCTTTAAAGAAAAGCCTTTATACTTCCTAACTACTGTTTTTGTGTTACCGAAGTACTTCAGATTGTTAATTGTTATTACAAAAACTAGCATTCTGGACTTGGCAGGGAAATCACATTATCCAGATGAGTAAAGTAGGAATCACATTTAACAGTTAACTGCATTTAATGTGTTTTAGCTCAAATACTATCAGTTTTCAATATCTGATTCGTGATGTGGATCTAATTATAGGAAAATTAAGACTCTTGAAAGCCTAACTCCACATTTTCCTACATGAGAAACTGCAGATAATTTACAGAAAGAACGTGAGTCTCAGTTAGCCACAATGCAACAGTAAAAGTTGTGTAGAAGCTGCAACTTTTATTAAATTGCCATTTTACTCACTTTATTTAAAAAAATTGCGCAGGAAGTCTAAAAAATGAATAGATTTCCTTTATAACCACAGTAAAAAAAAGTGGACATGTTTCAAACTGAGCTTTTTCATAAACCCATAAAACAACCTGATTAAAGAACATTCGACTTGCAAGATTAGGGAAAGCCAGGGGCTGCATACCACTCTTGCAGCTGTAAAACCTTTAGAAAGCAGAACTCCTTCTAAATGGAATGCAGCCGTCCTTAACACCCCCGTGCACAAGTCATAATATTTGCACTCAGATACGTCTCTAGACGTGCTCCAGATTAAAACCTGCAACTCATCTGATCATAACCCGTTTGATTCCCCCTTTTTTTAATTTAAGCAAAAATCTGAGAATTAGATGTGGTCCTACAGGAGCAGATTGAGCTCATGCAGCAGGTCTATGACATCGATCGAATAGAGTGCTGTAATTTTCTCCCACTCTTCGCCCCCAGATCCCACTTAATAGCCGTATATCAGATGAGTCTGACACAAGACTGCCAAATCAATTACATGATGTCTGAGTCACATCGCCGGGCATGCTGGGAAACGACACAGAGCAGAACATCGTGTAGCGTGGAAACAGGAGAGCATTTTGAAAATCCTAGAGCGGTTTCAAACAGATAAGTAACACAAAAGTATTAGAGAAGGTGTAAAAGCTTCATTTTTTTAGACATCCGGACTTTTCTACTCCAGCTGTATATTCCACTATAGTATCTACTATAGTACATGCTAGTAGGACAGAAACTATAGTACATACTGTGGTTAGTTTCCTCAATCACGTAACAGTTTTAATATAAAGTGACACATTACAACAGTATATAAAATAAACAGTATATCATTATTAATACTATATAGCCTAGATATCTATATTCTCTTTTATAAAGTGCCTCATTTTTGATTGTAGCTGTGTTGACACAGTTGATCTGAAACTAGGTTGTGAAAATGGGGTCAAAATACAAAAAGTGTGTTTTTTCTGAGTAAGAATCTGTGACAGAGCAGAAACTTCACATTGCTGCCACTCACTGGAGATCAGACTGCCTTGTCCCAAATATGAACGTTCAACTTTTTTTTTCAGTGCCTGATACTTAGCACACACACACACACACACACACACACACACACACGCACGCACGCACGCACACACACACACACACACACACACACACACACACACACTTTTGCTTGGTTTTGTTGAGAAAAAAGAAAAAAAAAGTTTCTTGCCCTGTGATTGGCCCACGTCCAACCCTCATGTCCTTAACTACCAAAACTCCTTGTTGATCGTGTCTGACGGGGAAACCTCTGACAGATGCAACTAATTAAATAATTCAGATAATAAACTTGTATAATTCTCCAGTGTGTGTAGATTTTAATGTCTGATCCTGTTTATATGACGTCTATTTTAACTTTCCGTGTTTTTAAAAGCCCTGTAAATAAAAGAACTCAGTGTTTGAGTTGACGTTTGGTTTGAGAACAATTTAAACCCAACAGCTGATCTGATGTGTGAACGTTTGTGTGATGATCAGATATTAATTCTGCTCCTGAAACACATGAACATGTCAGTTTTCTCTCATTTATTACCGCTTCTTTTTTTTTGTTGTTGTTTTGTTTATTTCTAACATTCTGCAACAAAAAGGATAAAGTTTATGAAAAGACGAAAGACTGAAACCTAAAACTAATTTTTACTTAACCAAAATGTCATAGATTTGAAATAAAATTCAAAAGTCTTTTTTGTTTTCCCGGTAAAATGAAATTGTGTTTTGACTGTTGCCAGAGCCTCTGAGGTTTTGTTGACATTGCTGAAGCTATACATTGATTATGAACATTTTTTGGGCTGCAGATGCATATAAAGGTAAATATGTTACTGTATTTGTGGATGCAATGTCAGAGCGAGACGTTTGCATGCAGGGCTCTGGCTTTTGTGTACAGGGTAAAAACCAAGGAGGCTTTCTTGATGTATTTCAGACACTAGTAGCTTTTCCCACATTTAGATTTATTATGCGTGCTTTCACGCGATTATACATTATAGTATTAAGTTTTAGTTTAAGAGAGTTGTTTCTGTGAATGAACCAGACTAACTAGACTTTTTTAAGTTTTGTCAAAAGATATTAAAAATGACCTTGTTTTTCTATTTGGTGCCAAAAGTTTGACCTTTTATATTTGAGGCCTGTGATCCTGCATCTTGATCACTAAACGAAATATTTAAAAAAAAATATCTGCTTTTCCACATATTTATTAAGGATGAATATGTATTAAACAAATCTTACCCGTGCACGCTCCTCTTTATGCTAACTATTGACAATCTCAAAAACATCAATTAGCTCCATGTTTTGTTGAGGTGATCTTTTATAATCTCTTTGTTATTACCACAGTGCAACTCTTTTAATTAGGGATTAGTGAGACTCTCTGACTGTACCTCATAATCTCGGTTCCGTTCAGACGCAACAGTTGGTGTGTCAGTAAAACCCCTCGGAGGTTGGTGCAGGAAGAGCGCCCGCGTGAAAACAAAAAACAAACACAGACATGTACAGAACTTTAATACCAAAATGTTTTAATACCATCCCATCCAGATTTGATACAAAAAGCCTCTCATCTTCTGGTCATCAGGACTCTGCTGAGTATTTACTTTGGGTGTGAAGCAGACGCGAGCGCCTTCTGAATATTTTATAGCAGCAGCACACGGTTTAAAGTGCTCAACAGACTCTAAGTGTGGGAAACGATACTGTACGTACAATCAGGATCGCAGCTGTAATTGCAACGGGAGGGCAGCAGATGTATTTTAAAGGAAAGGAGACTACTTTGATAATGATGTAAGATGAACAGGATCTAAAGGGATGTAAAGTTTACTGTGTATAAATAAAGTTTGCTTCAGGAGGGAGGGGCCGGGTGGGCGGGGCTGTGGGGTAAGGGGTTTGTTCTGTTCATGGAGAAATGGATTAAAACAAACTATTGATGATTCTTGTCTGTGATGTAGACAACGTCAACTTTTTTCTTTTGATAAAAGGCAAAATGATATTAAAAAGAAAAACTGTGAATTTTATTGGCCGTGTTTATTTTTTTATATATAATAAAATCTAAACTGAGAACACGAGTCCAGACTGCAGCGGCGTAAGCCTGCAGGTCCGAGGTTTAAAGACTAAGCTCAGGGCACATTTGTTTAATCCCAGGCTACTCTGTTTTTAACAGATGGTATTTGGGCAGAATTAAAGAGGAGAGAAGAAAAACAATAGAGACATCCGTCCAAAAATATCTGGTGTGTGATAAAACCAGGAAAGAATTCCAATCAGTTTATAACAAATCTTATTTATTCAAAATGCTGTTGACATGTTATATTAAGACATTAAAGTGACAGGGTGTATTTTTCCTGGTGATAGGGGGCAGTAGATACCTAAATCATTGCAATCAAGCAGTAATTTTGTGTTGGAGTAAGACCGTACCAACATCAGGGTCAAAAAGCCCTGGGGAGGGCAAACTTTAGCAAAATTACGAGCACATCAGACTCCCTTTCATCACTGACAATAAGTGAGGAGGTAAATGTGTAAAACAAAACATTTAAGAATGACAAAAGTTTTGTAACTGTTTGTTACAAATGAGTAAATGCATTTTGTCCTCATGGGCTTCCGTAGAAGGAAACATGACATCTAATATGGCGTCACCCAGAGACTTAGACCCTCTCCATGTATTTTAGACTTGATTTTTATAGTTATATGTTACAAAGCCGCCACTATTTTTCAACAACTCTGCTTCATTTCATTCATTTTCAACAATATTTTGATGGATATTTCCAGAAATTTAGCATTTTTGACGAATACGAGCATGAAACGAGGAAAAACTCGTAAATATCTGTAATCGTGCTGAAGGAAAATCTTCATTGGGCAACTGACTGTCTTCACGCTCTGTGATTGGTCAGTCACATAGAGCATCCACCCCTCCCTACACACAAAACTCTGCAGCCGGGAGCTCACACCGGCCCATCCACGCACACACACAAGACAGTAACTGATCTCTCTGTGCTTGCTTCACTGTTGCTCACTTTTCTTCAGTACTCCATAGGTTTTCTTCAGCTCGGTATATTTAAAGTTACTTTTTTTGTAACGTACGTGGTGCATTTGACAAGACAGAGCTGAAAACAGCTCGTGCTGCGTCGGTCACTGCCTCTGCTCCGCTCGGGTCGGGGTCGTCATTTGCATTTTTTTACTGTTTAGGCTTCGGAACGAGCCTCCGCGCCGAGAGAACAAACATCTCAGCTCTGAAGCCGATCTTCACCCGCATACGTCACACGTCACCTGATCAGGAAGCAGAAAATCCGGTGTTAGGAGATCATTTTGGGCTGTTCCTTTAAAAAAAAGTGAGGAGCAAACCGGAAAAGCTTCTGCCGATCACAATTCCACAACGGATTATGAAAGAACGGATAACGCGTGTCAAGTCCTGCACTCTTTTGTGCCTTCCCACTTGAGGGATAAACATCCACCCAGAGTTGAGGAACTGGATTTCACTCAGAGACCGAAACGATGCTTTACTTTTTGCTTTTATGTTTATTTTTCAGCATGTCAGCACGGGTCAGGTCAGGTGAAAAACCTTCAAACAGCCAACATATACCCTTAAATTAGTTTTACATAGTTTTACATCATTATTTTTAGCATTAACTTTATACAGCCTTAACAAACATCAAATAATTATCAATAATACATCTACTATTGAAATCTAATCACAGAACCTAAAAATGGACAAACCCTTTTGGGAGCAGATTTATCACCACATGAAACATTAAGAAACCCGCCACAAACAATTTGCTACAAGCATTTTCTGATTCTATAAATAACGAAACAAAGTAATTATCTCACTACTTGGCAAATAACCACAAAGTTATGGTGAAACCAAACAAATCACCCAGAATCTCAATTGTTTGGGACACGCCTAGACAAACAATCAGGTCAACAGTTTCTTATTTAATCAGCAGCAAAGTCCATACACAACCATCATATGTTATAAATTTCTCTTACCGGCTGCCTCTCTGATATTCGTAGATGTATTTAGTTCTGAAGAGACTTTCTGAATGACTGACTCAGAACACCATGCTCTCTGGTAAAGTTACCTCTTGGAGAGTGGTGCATCACCTTTATTGTCCCTGTGGAACCCCTTCTGCTGAAGATGGTTCCTACTCTGAAAAAATCCAAGCTTGACTTGACACCTCCTACACGATCCTTCCATAATATCCATGGGAGGATCGTCTGTTTGGTGATTATTCATTTGGATTCAATGTTCTGTTTGTTCTTCAACTGGTAACAGGCCGATGAGCCTTCGAACATCTCTGTGTAGGACAATGGGCATCGTTTGCTCCTTTTCCTTTAATTTGTCTTCGTTTCACGTGCCTTATGATGGGGGTGCAGTAGCTAGGAGAGACTTGAACTTCAACATCCCTCACAACGTCTTTACTGTCTGGATTTACTCCAATGACTCGTCCAAGCTTGGACTGCCCTCTTAGTGCATTTTGGTCACTTAGCCAAACAATATCACCAACTGCAACATTTCTGTGGAGAGTGTGCCACTTGTTTCTCACAAAGAGGTTAGGACCAGCAAGCTGGCTCCAATTCTTCCAGAACTGTGTCACGGTTTCTTACATTTTCCTTAGTCGACTGTAGGGATACGTAGAAAAGTCAAAGGTTTTAAAATCCCCACTCTGAGAAGCTTGGCCGAGGAGAGAGTTGGGTGTTACGTACTCTATGCAATACTCTCAGCTTTGTGTCCTTGCACCAATTGGGCGCTCATTTGTGAGATTTGCTGCAATTTGTAGGGTTGTTTGGAACTCACTGTAACTGAGTGAAGAGTCTTTGCCAATACTTTGAAGGGCTCTTTTAACAACTCGTACGGCAGCTTCTGCGGCTCCATTTCAATATGGCGAATCGGTGGGAAGAATTTTCCACACCCACTCGGTTTCTTGCTTGACTGCATAGTCCTCCAGATCCATTTTGTTCATGCTGTCTAGGCACTGGTAAAGTTCTTTCAGAACAGGTCTTGCCCCGACAAAGTTAGTTCCAAGATCGGACTCAACTTTCTTTGGGTGCCCTCGAATTGCAGTGAAACGCTGATAGGTCATGAGGAAACTTTCAGATAACAGACTGCAACGTCAACATGAATGGCATGACTAGCCATGCAGCAGAATTCAACACCCCAAACCTTCATGGGCACTCTTTTCTTGATGTCATCTTTTACTTGGTAAGGGCCAAAGAGGTCAATGGAGGTGAACTCAAAGGGTGTCGCTGGTTCACTTCTTTCTGTTGGCAAATCTCCCATAACTTGTTGACAGGCTCTTGCTTTTGCCTTTCTGTAGATTATGCAAGCATAGACAATCTTTTGGACAAGTCTTCTTCCTCTCACAACCCATGCCGTTTTCCTCATCCTTAACAGGGTCCCTGTCACTCCATCATGGGCCTTGTTGTGAGCTTCACGGGCTAACAAGGTAGAAACCCAAGCATCATAAGGCAGGATGGGAACTCCAAGTCGATCAGTTTTGAAGGATTGGACTCTTCCACCACAAATGTTGTTTTGCCATGGAGGTATTTAATTCTTCATATCGAAGAGCAGCGGTCCTCGTTGACCTTGCAAAAAGTGTCTTCGACATGTGGGCTGAGAAAACACACTCTTCAAATAATGCAGGGTGTGTCCCACCAACCACATTTGCCAGAGGGCCGTCCCACAGCACAAGGTCTCCGACAGCCTTCACCCTCTGTGGAGCAAGTTGACCTTCTCTGTGACTGGTGAGCAGACTTATCTCCTTTGGTCTCACAAACTTCCAGTGGCACATCTGGGAAGAACTTTTTTAGTTGCTCTGGGGATACATGCTTGTGAATATGTGCTATGCTATCAATTCCATAGCATATCATTTGATGAGATATGAAACTGCCTTTAGAGGTTTTCATCCTGATCTTTAGGATATATCGTTTCATCTCCACTTGAATTTTCATGCTTCTAACTCCATGAATGACATGTGTGATTTCCTCACTTCTGAGATTCAGCTTCTGTGCAGCCTTGTGGGTTATATAGTTTGTATCAGATGCTAGATCAATGAGTGCACCAATTTTTTGCCCAGCATTAGCTGTAACTTCTAGGAGCATCACGATCCCTGGCAATTCTTGCAATCCACTCGCCGTTAAGAGGTCTGATTGGTCTGTCAAGGTACTGAAAGCTCTAGATGCAATATCGGAAAATACATCTCTGCATTGTTTCTCATGTTCAGGTGAAAGTTTCTTCAGGAACTCTTCTTGCTCACATGTGTAATTCCTTATGCTTTCATCTTCCTTTGTATGCTCTCTTCTCCATCTTTGACCTACATCATTTTTCTTCACCTCTGTCTTAGGGCACAGATAGTAGTGATGATCAGGGGTTTTCCCATCTTTGCAACTCTGGCTTCTGTGTAAGTAGTCGGGCTTGCAGTATTGGCTGCCATCATGGACTTCCAGACACCTTTTACATGCCTCCAATTTACTTATTGCAGCTTTTCTTTCTGACAGTTTTAATGTACGGAATTGCTTGCAGAAATAAAGTTTTCTTTTGTGGCCTCCATCACCACAAACCACACAACCTGGCTTGTAACTGTTGGCTGACTTTGTTCGGGTGTATTTCAGATCAGGTCTGGTGTCCTTTCTGGCCTGCTCTTCATCCCGCAGTTGCTCTAGCTGCTCGTATATGCTTTTTTTGCCCTTTGAGAAATGCCAAAAGACCGTCAAATTGTTTATCTGGAACCACAACGTTGTCAGCTGCATAGATTAGCCACTCTTTTTTAAGCACTTCTGGAAGCTTACTTTCTACGGACTTAGTTACAAGAGGGTTTCTGGTGACACCTGTGTTCCCAAGGTCTTTCAAGTCTTGGAGTGCTTTCTCTACAGTTTGAATTAATTCCACAATTTTCCTTGGCTGATGACCTTTGACTGCTGGCAATCTTTGCAATTCTTCCACTATTTCAGTGGCAATGGATGCTTCATTTCCAAACCGGTTCGCTACGATACAAAAGATGTCTTCTGCAGTATTGTACATGGTGAGACGAAGTTCTCTTATAACCTTGTCCTCAATGCTGTTCAATAATTGACCTTTTTCACCTCTTTGGACCCAGTTGGTTCTCCTTGTTGCTGTAGAACTTCCCAATCCTTTTTCCACCTATGGAAATCACATTTGTTTCCAGAAAATTTGGGAAGAGATGGTTTGAATTTTATAACTGGGACAAGATAATTGCATTTGTCAGACTTTGTTTCTCAGTATGATCTTTTGTTCTTGTTTGGATGAAATCTGCTTTTCTTGAAACCAGTCTAGGGATGAGGAGTTCAAGCTTTTGGAGATGACGCTGCAGGTCCTTCTGCTCTTCAGGAGGAATCCATCTTTTCCGTCTCCTATGAACCTCCCTTGCTGTCCTCATCAAACCTTTCAGGTGATTGAGGGTGAACTCATATGCTTCCTGCTTTGTATCAGGCTGTACATCAGCTGCATGCTTGCACTCTGTCTGTGCTGCTTGCAAAGCTGTAGACACCAATGATTCCAAAGTTTTCCCAAAGAGTACTCTGGATCAGACTTTTAACTTCATTCAGTTTCTTCTCACATTCATTTGTAGTCTTTTCCAAATCATCTTGCTGCTGTTGTGTTAATGACACTTCTTTATCTGTGAACAACTCCAACTCTAGAAGGAGAGCAACTTCTAGATCTTCATTTGCTGCCATGACCTTCTCAGCCTCTGATGCGAGTTTGTCAAAACTATCTTTTGATGGTTCCTATTCTGGTAAAAATTCAAGCTTGACTTGACAACGCTTGAAACACGCGGATTCTTCCTGATGTAAGAGGTGAGTCTCCGCTTTGTTTTGGTTGTTTTGGTGTCGATATCAACCTAGCGCGCAACATTCAGTGACTCGTAAAAAAATAGTAAAAACATTGAGAAACGCTGGCAGGGAAGGCCTTTAGCGATCAGGAAATGGCTGGCAGTGAATGAGTTAAGTTACGGGGCACGTGCCCCCCAACCCCCCACCCCCCTCACCACATAAAGGCTGGCCGCCCCTGGTGCCACCCCTATACTGAGACAGTACAACATCTATGACATATAAAAAATGAAAACATAAAATCTGAAACATATAAACAATAAAATATCTAATGCAAGATGACATGCTCACAGTGAAGCTCAAATGTCTGATTGTAAGTGAATGCAGCACAGCTGCAATCAGCGGTCTCCATCTGCAGGAGTTAAGCTCTTGATGAGAAAAGAGAAATAATAACTTATTACAACGTCCGGTTGCTGTTGACTCATCGAAGTTCTGGCTAAACTATTTTTTTTTTTGTTTTGTTTCATGGCCCAAGAGGACGTTATTGATGTAAATGCGGAGAAAACTTTGGTTAAGTTGCAGGATAGATGGTTTTCTCGTTTGTCTGCTCCTGGCCACAGGCATAAGGAGATAGAAGCCCCAGTGTCCCACAGGACAGGTAAGTGGAAAGGTTTTTAATGCAGTCAGGAGATCCACCAGCTAGAGATGTTATCATTAAATCCAAGTCCAGCCCACAGATTCCTGCTGGTATTTATTTATTTTCATTTTAATCTTTCATTTCAGGCATTTGGCATTCACTATCTAGGTGACAAACCTCCTCCAGAATAAATAAACATTTTAAATAATGAACATTAGTATTGAATGCTTGAAAAGGAGTGGGAAGAAGAAGACTTGTTTAATCCCACCCATTTACACACTTATTTCCTGTATGCTTCACTGCTATTTTCATAATGTATCGTTTACATGTGCCACCCTTGTTCAAATTTGCCCCCCAAATAAAATTCTAGACACACCCCATCACACCAATAACATGTTGAATTAAAACGATGAGGAAATGACTTTCAATAAGTCATCTGGTTTTGTTTGAGTCTCTATCAACAGAGGGGTGAACCACAGTTCTACTTAAGTAAAGGAAGAAAATATTCCATCAGACCCCTGTAACCGTGGATCTTGAAAGGTAATAATGCATGAAGCAAATTAAAGAGCTGAGAACACAGAATTCCCTGCAGCTGCATCAAGAACAGAACATTCTGAGATGTCTCTGGTTTCAACTGCATTAAAGGCATGCAGTGCTGAATATTTCAAAGGTACTACTGAAAACGTGTGTGTGAAGAAAAACACCAAAACGACCATTATTTACTTTTTAGTCTCAGTGTAAACTGATATATTTAAAAGACTGCAAGTAGCATAAATAACGACTGTCAAGGCTTTCTTATTGCGTTAAAAACACAGCTTTACATGAAAACCCTTTTCCTGTATGCTTAGAAGTTAATAGCTATGTGTTAATAATGCCTGTCTTGAATGGTAGCGCCCTCATTAGAAGACAACGGCGGGGGGCGCTGCACAATCCCTCGCGGAGATTACGTTTTATTTTGAAATTTAAAAAAAACGTGAACCGGAAGTTTTATTGGCCAGTTCATGGCGTCATATTAGAGATGTTAAAAGTTTAGAGTATCACTCTGTATTTTTTAACTAACAGTAACAGCCTGTTACAGGTAAAATAAGGAGACGTCGATAAATTATTATAACTGTGTTCTGAAACAGTTTCTACTAATACTGAAGAATCATGCAAGTGTTGCTTTATTATCATTAGCATAATTATGGAGCGCAATCTAAACGCAATTTGGTACCGGGAACTTTGATCAGAGTGAGAGCTCTTCGCAGAAAACCTCTGGATTGTCTTCCTCTGTTTGACATCGTTGATGGTCAAACCATTCATTTACCACAATCGGCGAGGACAGGGACAGACATTGGACATAATGAGATAGCATAAGAAGAGCCGAGTGTGTTTTTCGGATGGTGGAAGCTAGCATGCCGTGGGCTGTAGATGCGTCACCGTTGGTTTCATAGTGGGTCTCGTGCGAGGTTTGTACAAAAAGGACTCTTTAGCTAGCTCTGGTGAAAACAGTAACTTTCTTTATTGTTTGCCAGTCTTTATGAGTTTATTATAGTAAAGTTAGTCTCTCAAATGGAAAAATAATATTTTTAACACTTAGCAATAAATAAATAAATTAAAAAACAGAATTGATCAAATCTCTGCTTTTTTATTGGCTTTTATAAACGTGTCATGAAAATGATAGCACCGTGTCGCCCCCTGGTGGTGCAACAAACGGGTGTATCCCATCGACATATCCATATATCTAATGCTACTCACGTTTCCACCTCAGGTCAAGGGTCACTCTGGCTCTAAAAGTAGAAATACTCTGAATACTCTAATAGTTGAGTCAAGCTGGAAGAAAACAGTCTTGTGAAATACTCCCATGAGTTTTGTGAGTTTTTCCTCTGTTTTTTAAAGGTTTGTGTCAGGTTAAAACATGTAAATGTTTTGAATTATATTTAAGGGCTTTGATTTTCCTTAAAGTCATGTACAGATGGCAGCAGCTGTTGTGTTTTCAACGTTTGTTGTCCAACTGTTGATTCAGCTCTATATGATAATCTGTTTAGTCAGGACAGAATAACAAAAATTTATAAGAGACTTTTTTTATCAGGTTGTTGAGAGGAGAAATCCACTTTTATGACCATGGCTCCCCATCCAGTGGTCCAGGCCATCATTGATCTTACAGCTGGTGCCATAGGTAATTACGTGTCTCTTGTCTCCTAATGTCTACAAACAATATATTTCAAAAAAAATATCCTTTGCTTGTCTATTGTAGGAGTTGGTCAACTGAGTTGTTGTTTTTGGCACCAACAATAGAAGTTATTATCAGCTGCTTGTCCGACACAGTTGGTCATTCTGATGACGCTTCTTTTTTTCCGGCTCGTTTCAAGTGATTGTTTATTTTGCAACCGTCTGCAGAGCCCCCTGATCTTTATCTCTCCTTTCAGCTCATGTCATTAGCTTTCCTGCAGGTTTCAGAACCTGAAAGCTCGTTGTGTGCCATGCACAATTCTTCTGTCAATAATTTTGGTGGTATTTTTTTTTTTTGTTTGTTTTGTTTTCTGTTGATGCCGTCAGGGGGAGCTGCATGCGTCTTCAGCGGACAGCCCCTGGACACAGCAAAGGTGAAGATGCAGACCTTTCCCAGGCTGTACCGAGGTTTCATCCACTGCATCGTGTCCACCTACAACCAAGTGGGAGTACGTGGTCTCTACCAGGGCACCACACCAGCACTGATGGCCAACATAGCAGAGAACTCAGTGCTCTTTATGAGCTACGGATTCTGTCAGCAGGTCATCCGCTTTGCAGCTGGGCTGCACCAAGAGGCTGTGCTGAGGTTTGTCACCGAGCCCCTCCTCCCTATCCAAATACAAGCATGTGTCCAGTTTGTGATTGTGTGTCTTCTTATGCATCCCTCTGTATCAGTGACATGCAGAAAGCTTGTGCTGGCTCTGTAGCATCTATCTTCTCATCTCTGGTGCTCTGCCCCACCGAGCTGGTTAAGTGTCGACTACAGGCCATGTATGAGATGGAGGCGTCAGGTAGGATCGCAAAGAGCCATAAGTAAGTGAAGCTTGGATTGCTGCGTGTTTATTTACCAGTAATGTTCCTAAAGATTTATGTCCACATAGTGCCTAAACCTGAAAGGACAGCAACAAGATGTTGGTGTAGTGTGTCTAGTTGTCCAGGTTTTATGACCAATAGGGGTGTAACGGTACGCTAAATTCGTATTCAGTGTTTTGAAGTTAGATTAATTTTCTGTATATTATTATTATATCTATTTATTTAATCTAAAGCGGCTCCTATAGTGAGCAGAACCAGGTGTCATCACAGGCTGCTGATCTAGCATGATGTCTTTAATTATTTCACAGGGTATTTGTGCAGCTATGAGTGTCACTCTCATACACACCAGTGTTGATGCTCCATGTTTTTATTTCTGCAGCGAGCCTTAAAAACTCACCTCACACCGCCCAGAGCTTCTTCTTTAAACTCGTATTAAATAACGAGCTTCCTCCGCGCCGTATTTTTGTTGTAGGATGAAAACTTTGCATCAATTGTCCCAGAGGGAAAATTCAGCAGACATGTTTGTTTACATGGGCTGCGCAGTGGCACAGTGGTTAGAGCTGTTGCCTTCCCAGCCTGGGATCTTTCTGCATGGAGTTTGCATGTTCTCCCTGTGCATGCGTGGGTTCTCTCCGGGTACTCCGGCTTCCTCCCACAGTCCAGAAACATGACTGTTAGGTTAATTGGTCTGTCTAAATTGTCCTTAGGTGTGAGTGTGTGTGTGTGTGCATGATTGTTTGTCCTGTGGGTCTCTGTTGCCCTGTGATGGACTGGCTCTCTGTCCAAGGTGTACCCCACCTGATTGCCCTTTGTCTGCTGGAGATAGGCACCAGCCCCCCGTGACCCTACGTGGACAAGCGGGTTCAGAAAATGGATGGATGGATGTTTGTTTACATCTTTGCCACTGCATGCGTGCAGTGTGAGAGAAGGGAGGGAGGGGCGAAGCGACACTCCGTTCAGCGTCTCTACAGGTGCCACAGTAGCAGCGACAGCCAGGATTGATCCGCTCTGACAGGCGTTGATCAGAATTTGCACATCACATCTTTTAAACGAAGATCGGGCACGTGCAGCCTTCATGCGTCACTCAATACGGCGTCCGTGCGGAAACTCGTCTAGGAACTTTTATCTGCTGCACTTAAATCACGCAAATAAAAACTTGTTATTTAATGGAAAAAATAAACCGAAACGGTTCGCGAGTGGACCGGACCGAACAGGCTGAACCAAAACGGTTCAACACCCCTCCGTGAACCGTTACACCCCTACTGACTAATTTATAATAGTAATTAGAAAGTAGATAGTTATTACTGTGTGTATTCCTACAGAACTTTATTCAAATGCAATAATAATAATAACAATAGTATTATTATTATTGTTGCTGTTATTAGTGTTATTATTATAGTAATAATAATAATAATAATTTGTTCTGTTTTGTTTTCAATAACCAATACAGATATTAAAAACAAACCAGTAACAGTAAAAAAAATGTTAAAAGGTCTTTATTAACAAACTTGTTAATATTCAGAAACACAAAAACAATATGATGAGAATTTAATGATCTAAAAATTAATTAGTGAAAAATTAGGCTGTGTGTAAAATATGTTCATGAATTGGTTCTAAATATTCCAAACTTTAAATAATAAAACAAAAAACGTGCAGAGTTTTGTGGTCATTTGGAGAATAAAGAAAGCAGGACTGGAAGCCTTTAGGCCTCTAGGTGGCGCTACAAGACAAACAATTTATTAAAATAGTAAATCGAGGCAGCATCTTTGGTCAGTGGTTATCTGCACACAACTAATGGTGAAAACTCAGAATAAAACGCTTGTTCTTAATGTTAATGTGACGTTTTTAGTGTGATACAAGATTTAAAGTGTTGAAAGGATGGAGGATTAATTTTTTAGTAGTGATATTATTTGTGGAAGTAGGAGAGCGGTTTATTTTTTTGTGTATAAGGCTATTTTGTACTCTTTGTTATTTATCTTGTCTTAGTTAAAGGGGGTAGGTCATATAAGATTTTTTCTTCTTCCTCCCCCTATTTCACTTGAATGCTTATATTCTAATTTGAAGTTTGTATATTTAAACTTTGAGTGAAATAAATTATTGAATTGAAAAATTGAATTTAAATTGAAACGTTAATATAATTTATAAAATAGAGCCTGATCTGTGAAGACAGCAGTAACAGTGTCTGACTGCTGTGTCTGAAGCTCCGTGTGGTCCGTGGTCAAATCCATAATGAGGAACGAGGGGTTGCAGGGGTTCTTCCAGGGTCTGACCACAACCATCGCCAGAGAGGTGCCAGGGTACTTCTGCTTCTTCGGGGCCTACGAGCTCAGCCGGACGGCGTTTGCAGACTACATGAAATGTGGCAAAGACGACATAGGTACTGGAGAAGGTTGGGCCTGCTCCGTCAGAGAGCCGGAACCAACATCTGTATCTACACTCCACACAGACGCACACTGAAGACTCATTCTGGATGAATGTTTAGATCTTAGAAATGATAAATAGCCTGAGAGAAGGACTTCCTCAGTGACCTTCTCCTGTTTGTCCTTGAAGGTGTGGCTCCGATCGTGTTCAGTGGTGGTTTCGGGGGGGCGTGCCTTTGGCTTGTGGTCTATCCCATGGACTGTGTCAAATCCAGGATTCAGGTCATGTCGATGACGGGCAAACAGGCAGGATTCTTTAAAACCTTCATGACCATCGCTCGTACTGAAGGTAAGAAAGAGCAGGAGGTAAACAAAAATTCTGTTTTAGTTCTAAGTAATCTGGAGGTTTGAATCGTGTCCTGTTCTTAGGTGTGAGGGCGCTGTACTCTGGCCTCACCCCCACCATGGTGCGCACCTTCCCGGCTAACGGGGCTCTGTTTCTGGGCTACGAGGCCAGCAGGAAGCTCATGATGAAGCAGTTTGACAGCTGAACGGGTTCACGGGAAATGCGAGTGTTTTGAGCCGCGATGGTCTGAATTGAACACTCCAACTGCAACACTTCTCTTTAAGAGTACAATCATATATTTATAAATATATTGCGTTTACGTCATTTTAACGTAACTACGTTTTTAAAACTGATTATTGATTATTTCATAAATGTTCTACCTGCATACAGGTTTAAGTCAGCCTCTGTTTAAAGAGCTGTCGACACTCCCAACAAGTTTTACCTCAGCGAGGTCGTGTCTGCACTTCCAGTGTTACATCAGTGACGCCTAACTAATCATTTGCTGCTAGAAATCAACACATTTCAGGGTTACATGTCATTGAATCCCAAATAAACACTCAAATTTTTGTTATAGTGTGAAAATGCAGCTAAACTATTTTATTCTCCTAGTTTTTCCTTTTAAATCATAACATTTCCATTGTTGCTTTTTGTCTCGTAAACAAATACCTGATGAAATCTCAACTGCCTAGTTCTGTGCCATTTTCACCCTGTGCTTCTTACAATGGTTTCTTATGCATTTATTATTATTGTGTTTTTGTTTGAAGACAAGGATTTCAATTTGTAGTTTTTATTTTTAACAAGTGTTTGTAAAAAAAATGTTAGTTCATTGTCATGTAAGCTTAAAATAAAGACCAGTCAAGATTTTAAAATGTATTTTTTCTTTATTTAATGTACAACAATCACTTTGACTTTATAATGATCAAAAAAAGAAAAGACAAATTTTGTAAATTATGAAAAATGCATATTTTTTGCACCTTGAAATGCTAAAGAAATAAATGAAAAGTAAACGATTGAGATTTTCTATCCCAAACTTTTTCACTTTCTGCCCATGAGTCACTTTAAATTTACATTTTAGAAAAGTAACAAAACTAACTTGTTTTGTCATGTTTTAAATTAGCTGCCTTAAGATATTTCACCAGTCAGGCTTAAAGAGCAAAAAGTGACGCAGAGCCTTTTAGAGGACGGAGGAGGTAAAACATAAAAATAATAATAATAATAATGTGCTTCACATCCGTGTGTTTCTAGGAAAACACTACAATATTTAACAGCTGTTTGGACAACCTCATAAAACAAAAATTAATTGTGGGTGGACAGCTGAGCTAAGAGCTGGTCAGAGAGTTTCTGGTGACCTAGCAACGCTAAAGAGTTTAAGCTATTGTTCTCAAATGTTTCCGCTTGAGCAACTTCTCATTGGACAGCTCTCTGAAACCCTCTGCTGACCAGAAACTGCACTTAACTGTTGTGGTTCAGGTAGCAACACATAGAGATGAATACGTAGATGCGCCATTGGGAGCTGGAGAGCATCGCTGCCATATTGGATGGGTTCCTCACTCTCCAAACCCAACTGAACTCCGAGTGAGCAACAGTTTTTTGTGCAGTCTACAGTTGCAACAACCAGCACACTAGTGCAAACAGATCACGTGGGATTACTATTGACTTTTCTAGCCTACCTGTTGGGATTTTATATTTTAACCTATTTAATTGTACTTGTATTTTAACTCATGCCATGCCACATGTCTGGTTTTGTGAAAAAGCATAAAATGTTTTTTGTTGGGTAAAAACCTTCCTCAGTAGAAATAAATGCACTGGGGGCAAATAAAGACCCATCAAAGATGGCGGCTCCAAAAGGCAGCGTCAGTCCACATTGCATCTACGTATATGATGCCTGTAGTGGGAGGTCTCTACCTGGTTTACAGCAACAGCTGTTTACTGTGCCAGTAGCTCATAAAAAGGCTAGCGGTTAGCTATTTCAGTTTGCTGACTGTCAATAAAAAGCACATGAAAAATAATGATTTTGCTTATTTAATTGGTGTCCTAGTGAAGCGTGCAATTAAAAGTAAGGGTAGTGTCTGGAGGCGAAGCAAAATTCTAAACCGAATTGAACATCGCTATGGCCTACACTTGTTTTAGGGAGCTGAAGGAGGCTACGAAATCATGGACTGATGGTGACCTGGCTTTGTTGCTACTAGACACGTAAGATATATATATATATATATATATATATATATATATATATATATATATATATATATATGTGTGTGTGGCCTTTTACTATGTGGCTTATTTAGTATCAGTTGACTTGTGTTAGCATTAGCTTGTTGTTAGGACTAGCTACAGCAAGCTGCAGCAGGGTTGTTTCCGACAGTTGTAATTCCGTTTTCAACCAGTAGGAGGAAAACTTATTAAAGCAACACTAAATGAGCTTAAATAGTTTAAAAACTCTTTAGTGTTGCTTTAAGATTTGAAATGCTATGAAACATTTGTTTCTGGCCTCATTAAGTTGTTAGCTAGTTTAATCAGAATTAATCTCACATGAGAGATAATAAATTACCACAACATTCCTTCAGAAACTCACTGTAGAAGATCTGAACTACTTTAACATCAGTTTAATGTATTTTTTGCAGCAAAGTACAGAATTTTCTGAGAATTTGGGACTTTGATGTAATAAATGAAGATAAATAAACATACTGCCCAAATGTCATGTTTTCAGTTTTCCTGGACAGTCCTCACAGTGCCTTTAAAAATGTAAAAATGACAAAAACATGATGATTTCTGGTTATTCACTTAATACATATGGGAACAGGTGGAATTAAACACCAGTTTCTTTAAAAATCACCTTCATATTACATCCTTCTTGATGCAGGTTCCACACAGGCAGCCGAAGAGCCCGTTGATCATCTGAGCAGCACAGAGGATCGCCTGCAGGCTGCTGGTTGCCAGCAGGGTGCTGAACAACCCGATGTGAAACGGGAGGATGTCTTTGGGCGCCGTACACATCCACCACTTTGACTTGTCTGTCAGATAACCCGTGTCACTGTGAGAAACAGACGGTTCGGTGAGGGACACAAGTCTTTGAACCCAAAAGGTCTTATCGGAGTCATTTCCCGCGTGTCACCTGTCTTTGAAAGGTGTCGTCCAAACAAGCAGGACCTGACACAGGGGCCCATTCTGCAGACCGAGAACAGCAACAGCAAAGCTGTACAGAGCTCCAGCCACACCCAGAGCAGCGAAGGCAATGGAGAGGAACATCTGAAAGGTTGAAACATTAACCAGAAACATCTCTGAGGCAGATAAGGATCAAAACAGAGCTGAGTTCAGGAAGAAACAAGGTTAAAAAAACAGGTCCTGTCACGAATATTTATGTTCATCACAGTTTCCACCCAACATAAAGCCAGTTTCTGTTTTCAGAGGAGTACAAACCGAGTTTAGATTTGTCCTCAAAGAAGAAATCTCTCAAAAATATGACGGATGTTATTGCAAAAGGGTTCAAATGAAGGCAACTGGACTTGTTTGGTTTCTTGAAGATGTGTCACTTCTCAACCGAGGAGCTTTGTCAATTCTGACTGGAATATGGGAGAGTCAAGCTTATAAGCTGTAGCTTTCTATTGTTGCTTAACAAGCAGAAACTACATATGAATAGCCCTCCTCCCTACCTCATGATGAGACGTTCAGGTCATTAACCTCTATTGTTTGGGAATTGTTGTATTGATTAGATGCAGGAGGATGTGGCCTGGACTGAAACTGGGAATTAGGGTCAGAGCTGCATTATAGGACCCTGATCCTCACAACGCCCGTGTTTCCCTGCTGCCACACACCTGATTAAATCATGTAAATCATGTGTGCTGAAGCAGATGCATGAAAAACATGCAGGTCTTTCTCGTTTGACATAAATAGCTTCCTTTTCTCTTCTCATAAACCATCATTCTCTGTCCAGAATCTGTACTTCGTCATCTTCATAAGTGTGAGAAGCGAAACAAAGAAGGCCAGTTGCCTTCATTTGAAGCCCTTTGGATCACCATGACCTGGATGAGTGAGAACCTTCACCAGCAGACAGATATCTGGTTGAATCAATAGTAAAGATAATTACTTTTTAAGACCCATTTTAATGTGTTTTCTAGCTGTTCATGAGCCACAAACATACATACAGTTTAACGTTTTAGATCCTTTTTGCTTTACGTCTGCTCACCTGCTGCAGTCTCACTTCCCCTTACTGCTTTCATGTTTACTTCCTTTTCTGTTAAATTTACATGGAGCCGAACGTTAAATATGTCTGTTCAGGACGTCTGACTCACCCCACAGCGGTTCCCACAGCAGCCCTGTTTCCCCGTCAGATGAATGTGAAGAGCAGGAATCAGCACCTGCAGCAGGACACTTGTTTAGTTTGTGTCCTAAAGTCTCACTTATTATTCCACTCTTGTAGGACTTATTAAGATATCAAGTTCTGGAAACATTACAGAAAATAGTTCTGCACAAAACACTTCTTAAAACAGAAGTTGCACCTGTCTTTGAAAACTACTTTAAAAAATTAGCCGTTGTGCTTAAAACATTCCCCAGCCACTTTTCTGAAAGATAAGATCATAACTTACCATCACTCCCCCTCCGATGAGACCCCCCATGTATTTCACCTCCTCTGTGATGTGTCCATCTTTGGCGTACTGGACGTCTCCAGCAGGAAAGAACAGCACGATGTTACAGATGATAGAAATGAGCGCCAGTGGGTACAGACTCACAGCGATGCACTGGGAGCATTTTCCAGTGCACATGTTGACCGACGGCTCTGAGATGTTTGAGCTCAGAAGGTTTCTGTTCTCTGAGGAGAAGAAAGGCTCTGCTTCACTCTCTGCTCTGACTGACCGGGACCTGCAAGGCGGAGGTGGATGTGGCTTAGCTGGAGGGAGTGGAACATCATCCTGATAACAAGAACAAACAGACTCGTGGATGGGACGCAGAAGTGACTCATCCCTGCTGTAACGATGGTACACGAGGGTCGTTTAGCTCAGTTAGAGTTGGATTTACACTTTTTGACATTTTTGTACTGGTTAAGAATGTGTCTGCAGTCAGAGAACAACACCTGCAGTTTCTGGTCACATCGATTTACACTTTTTACACACAACTTCTCTAAGTGTTCCTTTATTTTTCTCTAACCAGTTAGAACTTGACTGTCTTTTGTTGCAGCAACATTCTTCAAATGTCCTCTCGCTGACGCTCCTCGGGGGATGTTGACATTGTGAGCAGAAGCTCTGAGAAGCTTAACTTTACACACAATGAGGTGGGGAAGAATGTGTCAGACATCTGCCAAACCCTGACAGCAGTTTTAACCCGTTAGCTCATCTGGTTCAGAAATTAAACGGATTTGTTAATGTATGAAAGGAAAGAGGGAAAGAAGGAGTTCTGCTTTCCTAAACATGCCGGGTCTCTTAGCAACGGCTGGGCATGGCAGCTTTACTCACTACTGATAAGACGGCTTGTGCATGTTTAACAGGTAGGGATGTGTTTTTGTCCAAAGCAGATCAAAGGCTTTGTTTAACGGTGATATCTGGCAACAGAAGACATGTTCGGTTTTTCTTCCTCTGCCAGTTTGATGATAAATGATTAAAGGTCCGTGGTGGTTACATGGAGGAAATGTGTTCGTTTACTTTTGTTTTGAACTATCTGTGCAGAAACACAGTTCTAGGTTCATTTAAGGAATATGTAAATAATGACAGTTCATTTAAGGAACATATAAATAATGACAGTTAAGCTAGACCGACACAGAGATGCTAATAGTGTCAAAGTGACTTGACTGAACATAACTAATGTGTTTTCATGAAAAATAATCATAAGAATTTAAATACAGCAAAAGAAGAAAGGAAATGAGTTTTCTCTAAGTATTAGCAAAAGCTTTTATCCAAAGTGACTCACAGAGGTGAGGCAGCAGCTGTCTGTGGATGACTTGGAACGAACTGGCAGCCCACTGACTATCTTATCCCTTGAGCCACCACCTCCAGGCGCATGGCCAGCTCTACCCAATTTTATTCCCATAGGATAGTGGCTGGATAGTGATTCATGACTTTCTCATTTCTTATCATCCCATCCAGCTCGGCCTGAATGTTGCTATGTCTGATGATGGTGAGGAACGTTTGAAGCTCCGCATTGGACCAAAAGCTATTACTTGCAGGCATTTTCGCACAAGGAGTACTGCCAAACACAAACACTCGAACTCTGGGATTGTCGCGGGTAGTTACGTAATCTCTCCCCCAATCAGAGGACTCTAGACCTTTTACGCTGTGGCTCCGCCCAGACCAAAAATCTCTGGACCCACAACAGAAGGGGTCCTGCTCTGGCCTGCTACTGGCCCGGTCCGGGTAGGTTTTCTGGACTGGTTTAACAATCGAAACAAAATATTTAGCGACTGGATCCTTTCCATTCCATGCCAGTTTGGGCGGTGGAAAAGGCCCATGAAGGCTCCAAAGCTCCTTTGCCTTCATTTTGAGGAATGCCTGTACCCTATGTCATTCCACTGTTATAGAGATGTAGGCAACAACACATGCATAAGTGATTAGTGCAGCAGATAAGACTGTCAGGTTTCAATAACCTAAAAATATATTCAAATGTGAGATAAACATACATTTTTGTCCTTTAACTTACAAAGAATGAACAACTTTTTGACACTTTATGAATTGATAAGAAATTTAAATACAATTACCCTATCAGTAAATATGAAACAGTGTTCAGCTAATGGGTGATAATTGAGCAAGTCTGCAGTTTAGTTTAGTTTAGTTTAATTTAGTTTAATTTAGTTTAGTTTTATTGTACAAGGACAGCACAAAAGACAATGTTAAGGGCAATGTAGCTGTTGTTTTGTACAGATGTTTTCTAGCCAGAGGCCAATTTAAACCTAGTCCTTGGTCGGACGTTTAGAGACAATAAAATAAGAGCATTTATTACATTTAATTAAGTAGACTGGGTTGCTTGGCTCCAAATAGTTACAAAGTAGGAATTGAATTGTAAAGAGTGTGACTCTAACACACAAAAAAACACATGATGATGATGATGAAGGTCATTGATGTTGTCCTACAGGATGCTGTGGTTGATGTGGAGGAGAGTCTGAGTTTGGAGCATGAGGAGGTTCCCTGGGGGTGGCTTCACTAGGGAGGTCTGGTGCCCGAGGGCTATTGCTCGGGTTGCTTTGGTGGCCTTGGGGGGTTGGCTTCTGGTGGCTGTGTCTGGGGCTTTTGGAAATCTTGATGGCGGCCACTGGGTCGCTGCCTGGTGGCATGACATGTTTGTGTAAACTTGATTAAATCTAGAATCTAGGTCTAAAAACGTCTTAGTGCTGCCCCCTGTGGCAGAACAGCCATTACTGCATTTTAAACTTGTGATTGACTGGGGCTGGTACAATTCACGTCATCGGTACAGTCTCCTCCCACTCCCCCTCCCTCCCAGGATGGAAATTCCCCACACTTGGCCATGCCACTCTGTGCATCCTGGCAATGCCCACTTTCATGGCATTTTTCAAATCTTGACTAGGGGTGGAGTTACATTTTCTGATGTGTGCAGCCCCTCTTAAATCAAAAATGTGTCTGACACAAACCTGCCACCCCCAAAAGCTCTCAATTCACAACAGTCCTTAGGACAAAACATTTTAAACATTTAGGAAGATTCAACTAAGTAAAAAAAAAAACTGTTTCCTCATTCAACAGTCACACCGCTATGGGGTGCCATTTGTCAAGTCAAACAGTCATAATCTAACAGCAATATTTTTGGTTATTTAGCATATCATAAGAGAAAAAAATGGGAGTTCACTTTTTCGAAGTCATATTTTCACCATGTTATTCATACATTTATAAATGTTAAAGTTTCCAAATAAATATTTAGTTAGCAAGCTAAATATTTAATTTGTAGTTAAATATTTCTTTTGCAAACTAAATATTTAGGTCTTATCTAAATATTTAGTTTGTAAAATAAATATTTTATTCATTGACTAAATATTTAATTTACTAATTAAATGTTTATTTTGGAACTAAATATTTAATTTGTAAATTAAATATTTAATTTCAGAAATAAATATTTAGATCCCAGCTAAATATTGATTTTGGAGCTAAACATTTAGTTTGCAAAATCAGTATTTGGGAAATAAATATTTAAGTCTGACCCAAAAATATAAAATATAGTGTGGAGCTAAATAACATCGTGGAAAATAAATATTTAGCTGGTACTTAAACATTTAGCTAATATGCAAATTCGCTTGCCAATAAGCGGAAGTTGGTTACCAAAATAAAAGCTGGATCTCGCTAACTTCTTTATAAACTCTTGCTCCGAACCAGAACTTGTTTTATCTCCGGTTCTTGGACACATTTTACAACTGGCCCACTTGATGGCACTGTTTAATCTGTTTAATATCACTATTAGTGATAAACCTGTGATGTGTCAGTCTGAACTCGGTTTATCAAGCACCAGTGTGCAGAAGCTGCAGAAGAAAAAAACATCTCATTTCATAAGAAAATACTTACTAAATTTTGACTAAATTTGTTGAAACCAACTTAATAAAAAAAGAACAATTTGAAAGACATTTTCTCACTCAGCTTTAAAAATGAATATTTGTTTGGGGAAATGAATTTAACCAATGACTGCATATGTTAAACCAGTTTATTTTGCATTAATCCTATTTGAACAGATTATTTGCAATGCAGAAAAACTCGTTATCAAGCATTATAGTAATACACTGTGATGATTAGAAACATGAAAGCTGAAACCATCTCAACTTTCCAGCAGGGGATTGTCTTTTCACGCCTCTCCTCCACATGCTATCATGCTTCCTGTAAAATAAAACACATGATAATAAAACAGTAGAATGGGGTAAAGTGGGCTAGACAGTTTAGATGTTAACATTCAGCACCTGTTTGTTGCAGGTTCCACAGATGCATCCAAAGATGCCGTTGATGACCTGAGCGGCACAGAGCAGGGCCTGCAGAACGCTGGCTACTGCCAGGCTGATGAACAGTCCTATGTTGAACTGGACAACTTCTTTTGGCTCTTTGCACTGAGTCCATGTGGCATGGTTAGTCACGTAACTCAGGTCGCTGTGAAATAAAGAATAAACATGAAATTTCTTCTGGAGGGGGTTATCGACTGGCATACTGCCAACCTCTAAACATCCTTCCTCTCCTATTTCTTCTTCCGGCTCTTGGAGAGTACAGACACTTTTTTCCTCCTCTCCTCCCTATCTTATCCCAAGGCTCTTTGTCTGTCCTTGGGACAGCGCAGATTGGGATAGATTAAATTACGCCATTATTGGATCTAGAGGGGTAGGAGACTAACAGAACTTTAAGACAGAGAGGAAATTATCTCTGTCTGGCCTCAAAACAAGTTATTATCTGAATCTGGTGCCCTTGAGCCTGTGAGGCTGAAGTGATTGCTCCCCCTCAAAGGAAATGTGTAATGCTGTCGTCGCCATGGCAACTCTGTCTCCCTATCCCAGCCTGGGCGGAACTGTGACCTCTGAAGGTCGTGGAACAGTTTCCAGGAGTCACTGTGCTATTTAACCCAATTACCTCCCTCCCCTGTCCAAACGGAGGTGACGAGCACTGCTCATTGCGGCTGCATGCACTGATGTGAGGAGAGTCCCCAACCCTACTTCCCTACCTATGTTGTGTAATGTCTGAAGTCTGTTGCATTTCTGTCTGAGGCGTTTTTTGCCTAGCAAAGCTGCCCTCCCTGTGGAGGGTAACTCTGAAGTGCCTTTTTTCCTCCACCTGACTCAATCCTCATATAAACCCTCTGATGTCTATTAAGGTAGCACGACTCGGGTTGCGAATGACCACAGTCACCAATTCTTGTCATGGGTCTATGCCTATGTATGTATGTCTGATCTCAGAATTGTGTGTACTGAAAGTCAAATTTCCCTCTGGGATTAATAAAGTGTCTTTGAATTGAATTGAATTAACGTTTTACTTTCTTTAGCACTGAAAGTTCTACTCCAGTTTACCTGTTTAGTTTTGTGTGCATCTGCTCTGTCTTTTCAAAGCCCGAATCAGTTGTGTCAGATGACCGCTCTTACTGAGCCAGGTTCTGCTGGAGTTTTCTTCCTGGTAAAGCAACACTAAAGAGTTTTTAACTTCTGTCCATCCATTCATTTTCAGCCTCTTATCCAGAGTTGGGTCATGGGGGCAGCAACCTAAGCAGAGAGGCCCAGACTTCCCTTTTCCCAGCTACTTGGGCCAGCTCCTCTGGGGAAGGGGGCGTTTCCTGGCCAGCTGAGAGACATAGTCCCTCCAGCATGTCCTGGGTCTTCCCTTGGTTGTACCCCCAGTTGGACGTGCCGGAAAACCTCGCCAGGGAGGCATTCAGGAGGCATCCTGACCAGATTCCCGAGCCACCTCATCTGGCTCCTCTCGGCGTGGAGGAGCAGCAGATATACCCCTCGTGGATGACCGTTCTCACCCTGTGTCTAAGGGAGAGTCCAGCCACCCTGCAGAGAAAGCTAATTTCAGCCACTTGTATCTACAATCTCATTCTTTCTACCCAAAACTCACGACCATAGGTGAGGGTACGTAGATCGACCAGTAAATTGAGAGTCGCCTTCCAGCTCAGCTCACTCTACACCACAACAGATTGATACAATTCCCACATTACTGCAGACACAGCACCAATCTGCCCATAACAGCCTGTATCAAAGGGACTGGTACCCCATACTCCCTGTGTACCCCCCACAGGGCCCCCCAAGGGATGCGGTCGAATGGCTTCTCCAAATCCACAAAGCAGATGTAGATTGGTTGGGCGAACTTCCACGCTCCCTCCAGGACCCCACTAAGGGTATGGAGCTGGTCCAGTGTTCCATGGCCAGAACGAAAACCACAATTCTCCTCCTGAATCTGAGATTTGACAATCCGACGGACACTCCTCTCCAGAACCCCTGAATAGACCTTACCAGGAAGGCTCAGGAGTGTGATCCCCTGTAGTTGAAACACATCCTGCGGTCCCCCTTTTTAAATAGAGTTTTTAACACTTAAAGCTGTTGGTGTTTCTCAGTGTCAAGGAACCTCACCTTAATGTCTTGGGCCCGCCCCGGTCGCCTAGGAGATACGTCACCAGGAGCCGCCAAGACGTGTTCCTATGTTCATGTTCTACCGAGGCGTGTGTTTTCTGTTTGTTAGCCGTTTAGCTAGCTAAGCGAGGATACATGGGAGGTGTCTTGTAGCATAGCCTTGGTAAAAAATTAGAATACACCACGGTATTTTCAAAAGGATGGTGGATCAGAAGCTGATAGCTACTTCAGGGGCAATTTTCAAGTTTAAAAGTAAGTCAGCTAATTTCAAATGTTTTTTTAGATCCAAAGAAGTTATCTGTGGTTAGTTAGTTGCTTATTAGTTGTAGCTTCGATGGCTAGTGGGTAGTAACTCACTTATATATTTAATTTAACAAACATATACTCAATTTAAAAAGTAAAAGGCTCATTATATATTTATATTGAAACGTATACATATAAAATATAACGTTATCTCCCATGCCACATGATGTTACATGACCACTGGGGAAGCCGTGGTCACGTGATGCAAGTCTGTTCCATTTAACCGTTTTCTTTGACCAAGGAAGGACAGTGTCCTCACAAGCAAGGCGCCTGGCCTCGCAAGACATCGCTTCGCAAGGCTAGGTGCCTTGACATTGAGAAACAGCCCATGTGTTTCCAGCTGGTTTCAGTGGTTCTTGAACCAGAAATGTCAGCAACTCCACATTGAAAAAGCACTCTGTAGCTCTCTGCTGACCATAAATTGCACTTAAAAGTTTTGTAGTTCAGGTAAGTAAACCCGCAGGAGGTCTCTATGGTAAAAGATGTTTACTGTGCTGGTAGCTCATATAAAATATAGTAGTTAACTTTTTAAGATTGCCAACCATCTATAAAAAGCACACGAGAAAGAATTTAGCTTTTTTTGTTGACATGGTAAAAGGAGGTGAAGCAAAGAGCTAAAACCAGAGTGAAAATCTGTGCGGCCTGCACTAGTTTGAGGAGCTGAAGGAGGCTACAAAAACATGGACTGATGGTGCCCTGGCTTTGTTGCTGCTGGACTTGTAAGTTGTCATGGTCACTACCCCTCAGCGCCCCTCCGCTGCTCAAACCTAAGTTTGGACTCAATCTCCCACAATTCCCTTCTCTTCACTTCCTTTATGTCACCCGCCAACTCTACAAAGGGCGGCTCCACATCCTGGCTAACCATTCAGTCATCGATTCTTCCGGATTACTGAACTGTGTCCAAAGCTACTAGAAATCCTACCAATGCTGCACATACCAGTGAGTGTGCTGATCTTCCTTCTTTCGGGAATAACTGTGCGACCCGTTTACATCAAGTTACATACAGTTGTTCCTATAACAACCGCGTGTATGCTGTTCTCCCAACGCTAGTCTTCTCCGCATCTGGGTCAAACATTCTCACGCTACATCCGAACTACCGATCAGCTCAGTCTGCTTAGTCCTGACATAAGTAATGAGATTTTTTTCGTCCAACAGTGCAGAATGTTTTACTTTGCGGTTTATTTTAGTATCAGTTGACTCGTGTTAGCTTTAGCTCATTTTTAGCACTGGCCACAGCAGGTTGTTTACAAAAGTTGTAGTTCTGTTTTTAGCCAGCAGGAAGGAGAAGCACAAAACTTATTGAGTGTTGCTCTAAAAGGGATATTTCCTCTCCACTGTCACTACATGCTTATTTTGAGGGATTGCTGTAAAGACACTGAGACAACAGAGCAAAAGCTGCAAGTCTGTGACGTTTTGCTTAGAAAGAAAACTTTTAACTAATTTTAATAATGAACTCGGTGCACCAGCAGGTTCAGTTGTAAAGTGTCTTGATGTTACTTGGGTTGTGAATGAATAAACTGATTTCAGATTATTAAGTCAACAATTTCATTGCTTTAGCTCATCACCTATTACTGAAAGGCGTGTCCCATTTCCCTTCATCAGTGAAGCAAAGAGGGCCAGAAGACAAGCCGACCAGCGCCACAATGAAACTGTACACGGCTCCCGCCACACCCACAGCAGCAAATACGATGGAGAAGAACATCTGCCACATTCAAACAAGAATAAATCAGAAACATTTGATCAGAATCTAAAACAAACTTTTAAACCATCAAGTTTAGGAATAAAAAAAAGCTTATTTCCTTTTTGACTAAGAATAATTTGTCTGATTTCAATGACCTTATTACAAGAGGATCTTCACACAGGCACTCATTGGTTTTTATATTAACTGGGTTTACGTTCTCTGCATCAAAAAGGAAGCACATATTGTGCAACGATGATGCAGCTTAACACAGCAAATTATATTCTGCTTCCACCCTGAGCCTAATTTCCCATTTTTAATGTAGTTTAACTGGTAATGTGACTAGTTAGAACATTTTCTTCACATGAACAGGTGTAACTACGCCTGACGGACTCACCCCCAAACGATTTCCACAGCATCCCCGTTCTCCAATCAGGTGAACGTAAAAGGCTGTGATCAGCACCTGGATTGGTGTTGACAGGGGTGGTAAAAATGTTCAGCATTTTTTATCACGTCTACTAAAATCATGAAACAGATCTTCCTTTCTAGCTTATCCAAAACTCACCATGACGCCTCCTCCGATGATGCCCCCCATGTATTTCACCTCCTGGGTGATGTGATCTTCCTGGACATACTTGACACTCCAGCCTGGAAAGAACAGTAGAGTGTTGCAGAGGATGGACATAAGCACCAGTGGGTACAGACTTATGGCAATGCAGAGGGAGCATTTTCCAGTGCACATGTTGTCAGAGTAAAGAGTGACCAACTAATGTAAAACATCCTTGTTCTGTAATTTGTAGCTCAGATAGTTCCTGTTTTGTTTTGTTTTTTCTTTTGAGATGACATGAATAAATACCAAGATTTCTTGAGGAGTATTATGGGGGCAGAAAAAGTAGAAATAGTTCAAATGACTTATTTATAAAATTACTTTAAGAACAGATGCACAGTGGCTCAGGTGGCTGCACTACTGCCTCTCATCAAAATGGGTGCAGGTTTGAATCCCGGCTGTGGCCTTTCTGCTTGCTGTAAAGCACATTGATTTGCCTTTGTGTAGAAAATGTGCTATAAATAAACCTGTTTTTTCTCATCTTTTTGTGTGGGGTTAGCATGTTCTCTCTATGCAGGTTTTCTCTTAATACTACAGTTTCTTCCCACAAACCAGAAACATGCATGTTAGGTTCATTGGTGTCTCACTGGGAGGGGCTCAGAGTAGACCCGCTGCTCCTCTAGCAGACTCTCTGTAAACCTTGAGAGCATTGACTCTTGTTCTACCTCTTCAAAAATGGAAAATACTGTCCTTCACTTATCTTTTTTTACTATATATATAGCATCAAATCACGACAAGAGTTGTCTCAGGGGTCTTCACAAAGTAAACATTCCAATACAGTTCAGGTCATTAAGCCAATCTGTAAAATGTTTCCTATATAAGGAACCCTGCAGATTGCATCGAGTCACTGACTAGTGTCAGAGTCTTTACAGCAATCCTCATACTGAGCAAGCATGCAGCAACAGTGGAGAGGAAAACTCCCTTTTAACAGAGGATCCTGAGTCAATATAAGCAGCCATCTGCCATGACTCACTGGGGATTGAAAAAACAGAGCAGACATACGTACACCAACATCCACCTACACACACACATCCACACCAAGTGTCAGGCTGATCAGACTGGATGAAGGAGACGAACAAGGTGAGACGTTTAACAGTTTTATTATTTCTCTGTGAGGAAGAAACGATGACTGAGATGAGAAGCCGGTCACGGCGTCTTCCATATATAGCCTTGCTTGGCTGTGACGTGGAGGGAATCCCCGCGAGGAGCACGCTGGGAGCTCCCCACGAGGGGCATGTCGGGAGTTGTGGTCCGAAGGTCAGCCGGGAGATACCTGAGTCCTGACAGGACCCCCCGGTCCAGGGACGGCTCCAGAAGTCCCAGCGCGACCCCGGCGGACCCAGAAGTCAGAGATCAGGGAAGGGTCCAGAATGGACCGAGCCGGCTCCCAGGAGCGTTCCTCGGGGCCATAGTCCTTCCAGTCCACCAGGTACTGCCAGCCCCGACCCCTGCGGCGAGCGTCCAGGATGCGCCGGACGGTGTAGATAGGCTCACCGTCGAGGAAGCGGGCAGGAGGCGGCGCCGGAGCCGGAGGCGGGAGAAGGGAGGACTCCACGTAGGGCTTGAGACGGGAGGTATGGAAGGTGGGATGGATGCGGAGAGTAGCCGGCAGCCGCAACCGGTACGTGACCGGGTTGATGACCCTTTGGATGGGGTATGGGCCGAGGAACCGAGGGGCGAGTTTCTTGGATCCGGCACGGACCCGAAGGTCAGCCGTGGACACCCAGACCTTGTCCCCAGGAGCATAGGAGGGACCAGGACGGTGTCGACGGAGATGCTGGTGAGCATAGCTGGTGTTAGCTATGGTTATGGAGGCTCGTGCTTTGATCCAGGCGCTCTTGCAGCGTCTCACCATGGCTTCCGCTGCCGGAACGGCGACCTCGGGTTCTTGGTGGGCAAAGACCGGGGGCTGGAAGCCATAGCAGACCTCGAAAGGGGACAGCCGAGTGGCAGATGAGGTGTGAAGATTGTGGGACAGCTCCGCCCAGAGGAGGTATTTAGGCCACTGCGAGGGTTGAGCCGAGACAAAACAACGAAGGTACCGACCCAGCTGTTGGTTAGCCCGCTCCGTCTGGCCATTGGTCTGCGGGTGGTAGCCTGAAGATAGACTGACCGATGCTCCCATCAGCCGACAGAAAGCTTTCCAGAACCGGGCCGTGAACTGGGGCCCCCGATCCGAGACCACGTCGACTGGGAACCCGTGGAGGCGCACCACGTTCTCCAGGAACAGTTCCGCTGTGCGTTGGGCTGAGGGGAGACCCGGAAGGGCGATGAAATGGACAGACTTGGAAAAGCGGTCCGTAACCGTCATGACAGTGTTGAGGTTATTGACCGGCGGGAGACCCGTGACGAAGTCCAGCCCCACGTGGGACCAGGGGCGGCTGGGCACCGGAAGAGGTCGGAGGGCACCAGCCGAGGCCTGGTTGGGGTTCTTGGAGCGGGCACAGACGTCACAGGCGCTGGTGTATTCTTTCACATCCCTCGCCATGCCTGGCCACCAGAGGGCTCGCTGGAGGAATTTAAGAGTTCTGGAGAAACCAGCGTGGCCAGACAGGCGTGATGAGTGGGCCCAGGACAACGCCTCGCTGCGACAGGCCGTGGGGACATAGAGGCGACCGCGGGGGTCTCTGGAGGCGCGGGGTCGTCCCGGAGGGCGTTCTGGATAGCTTCCTCCAACGGCCACCTCAGTTGGCCCAGGAAGTGGTGTTCCGGGAGGATTGGCGCTGGCTCGGACGAGGGCGTGGAGTGGGTGAATTGGCGGGAGAGGGCGTCCGCCTTCTGGGTCTTGGCTCCCGGGCGGTAGGCGAGATGGAAGTCGTAGGGTTCAAAGAAGAGGGCCCAGCGAGCCTGGCGAGGCTTAAGCTGCTTGGCAGATTTAATGTGGGTCAGGTTCTGATGGTCAGTCCAGATCGTGAAAGGCCGAGTGGTGCCCAGAAGCCACTGCCTCCATTCCTCCAATGCCCATTTTATGGCCAGTAACTCACGGTCGCCCACACCGTACTTCTGCTGGGTGGTGGAAAACTTCCTGGAGAAGTAGGCGCAGAGATGGAGCCTGTCGTCAGGCCCGCCTTGAGACAGGATGGCGCCGGCGCCGACGTCAGAGGCGTCGACCTCGACCACAAAGGGAACTGCAGGATCTGGATGGCGGAGGATCGGGGCCGAGGTAAAGCGGGTGACCAGGTGGCGGAAGGCCCGAATGGCGTCGGGAGTTAGACGAAACAGCTGGCCAGGGGAGCCTGGTCGAGTGAGAGAGGTGAGAGGGGCTACGAGGGTGCTATAGTTCTTTATAAAACGGCGGTAAAAGTTGCAGAAACCCAGAAAACTCTGCAGTTGTTTCAGGCTGGTTGGCAAGGGCCAGTCCTTCACCGCCTGGATTTTCTGAGGGTCCATGGTTATCCCTTCGTCCGAGATCATGTAGCCCAGGAAGGATATGGACTGCTGATGGAAGGAGCATTTCTCGGGTTTACAGTACAGGTTGTGGTCCAGGAGCCGGGTCAGGACGGCGTGAACATGATGGATGTGTTCGGCCTCGGATTTGGAGTAGATCAGTATATCGTCCAGATAGGCGAACACCCACCGTCCCAGCATGTCGCGGAGGACATCATTAATGAGACGTTGGAAGACAGCAGGGCTATTGCATAGTCCGAAGGGCATAACCAGGTACTCCCAGTGGCCGGTGGGTGTTATGAACGCGGTCTTCCACTCATCCCCGGCCTTTATACGGACCAGATTGTAGGCGCTCCGGAGATCCAGTTTCGTAAAGATCCGTGCCTGGGAGATGGCATCCAGAGCGGTAGTGAGGAGCGGCAGAGGATGGCGATCTTTGACCGTGATCTTGTTCAGACCCCGATAGTCTATGCAGGGGCGAAGATCGCCTTCCTTTTTCTTCACGAAGAAGAAGCCAGCGGCACCCAGAGAGGAGGAGGGTCGGATGAACCCCTGCTGGAGGGCCTGGGCGATGTATTCTTCCATCGCTTTGGTCTCGGGAGGCGCGAGAGAGAAAAGGCGCCCACGGGGAGGACTGGTTCCGGGTAGCAGCTTGATCTCCATATCATATGGCCGGTGAGGTGGCAGGGAGGTGGCGCGCCGCTTGTCGAACACCGCGGCCAGGTCCCGATAGGGCAGCGGCAGGTGGGGCGGTGTGGAGCCGGGGCCCCCGTCCGGAAGACCCGCCGAGGATGGAGGAGGAACGAGGTGGGTCTGGCACGAGGTCCCCCAGCCCAGCAGGCGGTTCTGGGACCAGGAAATATGAGGGTCGTGGAGACGGAGCCAGGGGAACCCCAGGATTAGAGGAGAAGAGGGAGCAGAAATGACCAGGAAATGGAGGGTCTCCTGGTGGCCTTGGGTGATCATACGGAGTGACTGGGTTCGGTCTCGGACTGGGTAGGGTTGGAGAGGCCTACTGTCCACCGAGGTCACTGGTATAACTCTCTCCAGGGGTTGTAGGGGGATCCGTAGGCGTTTTGCCAGATCTAGGTCCATGAAATTGTCCGCGGCCCCCGAGTCCACCAATGCATTTACGTGGAGTGAGGCCTCACCATGGAGGAGAGTGACAGGAATAAGGAGACGGTTAGTAGCGACAGGGGTAGAAGAAGACCCAGACTGAGCGACCCCAATACTCAGTGGGGCCCCCCGTTTCCCGATCGTAGCGGGCAGTCCAGGCGTCGGTGGTCGGGAGAGCCACAGTAGGCACAGAGGCCCTCGCGCCACCGTCGTTGTCTCTCCTTGGGGGGAAGGTGGCCGAGCTGCATGGGCTCCTCCGCCAGCATGGGTACAGGAGCTGGCGTGGGTGAACGAGGGCGAGGCACCGGCGTCCTGGGTGGACGCGTGGATAACTTGGGTCGAACCATAACCCGCTGGTCGATGCGCAGCGCCAGATCAACCATCTCATCCAGGGTCTGAGGCAGCTCCCTTCCCGCCAACTCATCACGGATGTAGGGTGCCAGCCCCTCCAGGAAGGCGGCCCGCAGAGCGGAGTCATTCCACTGCAGCTTGGCGGAGATGGTGCGAAACTCCGACGCATAAGCGCACACCGAGCGTTCTCGCTGGCGGAGTTTAAGAAGGCGTGTCTCTGCTCCCACTTCGCTGCTGGGGGGAACAAAGGTCTTCCGGAGAGCGGACACAAACGCAGCATAGTCGTTGCAGGCAGGGGATTTGGAATTGTAAAGCGCAGCAGCCCACTCCGCGGCGCGTCCGGAGAGCAGGGAGGTGAGATGCGCCACTCGGGAGCGCGCAGATGGGTAGCGTCCAGGTTGGCACTCGAACTGCATGTCCAGCGTGGCGAGCAGACCATCGGGGCTCCCCGTCTCCCCGTTCCACCTCTCCGGCAGGCTGAAGTGGGGCTCCTCCCTAGTAGCAGAGCGGGTTGGCTGCTGGAGTGCAGCGATCTGTTGCTGCTGATCATTTGCCTGTTGTTGGAGAGCCGTGAGAGCCGTGGATAGACGCAGGGTGTGGTCGGACAAGGAGTTCACCTTGGTGTTGAGCTGATCTACCATGGAACGCAGCTGCACGTTCTCGTGGCGGAGACGATTGATCTCCGTCGAATCTACTCGGATCTCAGTCATCCTGTCAGGCTGATCAGACTGGATGAAGGAGACGAACAAGGTGAGACGTTTAACAGTTTTATTATTTCTCTGTGAGGAAGAAACGATGACTGAGATGAGAAGCCGGTCACGGCGTCTTCCATATATAGCCTTGCTTGGCTGTGACGTGGAGGGAATCCCCGCGAGGAACACGCTGGGAGCTCCCCACGAGGGGCATGTCGGGAGTTGTGGTCCGAAGGTCAGCCGGGAGATACCTGAGTCCTGACACCAAGCCCCCACAATGCGGGTGAAAAATTGAGACCAACGCGGAAATGAAATAAATTGCAGTTCCACCCTCATCCGCTGGGGGCTGGTGTCAGAAGCGAGCAAATCCTCATTGACTCCCATGTTAAAAATACCAATTTCACAGCAGAAATAAACATGTTTACAGCCTGGTACCAGAACATTTTTTTTGTTTAAATTATCTAGTTTACACTCATGACAACTCTGAGGGGGGTGAATTTTTTCTCTCACTCTTCTGTTTAAGTGTATTAAAAGCCTAAAATTCTGTATAATTAATGAGCATCCGACCCACGTGACCACAGAGCTAGCTCCGTGGAAAGGCCTCAGTAGAGCCTCGGTCTGGCCTGGAAACTGTTCCGGGATTTTGAGTCTCTGTGTTTGTGTATTCTTTTTTGGATATTTTTTGTGCAATTGTTGGACAAAATG